CCCCGGCCGTTTTAAGGTCTAGCTATGTATATCTGGCGTGCTTCACACCAGTCAATTGGCCACCATGCTGCAGCTTGTTTGGAGAAAATTTGGTGTCTGTGTAGGTATGCTACAGTACAGCATGCGGCCTGCAGCCAGCTATCTGCAGACTTTTTGCCTTGGTGCTGCGTGGTGCAAGTTAGCGAGAGTATAACGCCGCGATGGATTGGTGGGCGGTGTCTGGCCCTGTTATCTCTCTTCGGTCGTTCGCATACGCAGAGATAGGGTGCCCTCCCTCCAAGCCAGCAATTCTGTCCTTCCCGGTGGCAGTATCCCCAACGGACTCGATTGTGCCGCCTGGCGGTACCCTTTCACCGGTCGGATGGCTCGTGTCACCCTGGCGTGCTCGAAAAGAGAGGGTGGCTTCATTTCTGGACCGCTTTGGGTCGATATGCGTGTGGATCTTTCGAGATGACGGGAATGCGTGTCTTTCGCTGGAACTTTCGCCATTCTCCTCGCATTTCTTCGTCATATTTCTCGGTTATTGGGGGACTATCCGATCGACCGGTGTTATTGCTGGCGATGTAGCAACAGTTTGTGTTGCGGAGTAAACTTCGAGCACTGCATTGAGATGCTACAATTGCCCTATGACTGCACAGCACCATTTCAAGATCCGCCAGGGTCTCTTCCGCTAGCCATCCAAATCTCTCAGCGACTGCTGTTCCACCGGCACACCCCAGTGCGTGCGGCTAACTACTTGCCGTTCCGGCCCGCGTATAGGCACTGCTATCGCCTGCGTAGAAGGCTGTCTAAGAGCAAGCCCGCACGCTGTAACCCGGGCCTTAGACGGACTTCTGGGTCTGTTGCTATTGAGTCTCGATTCCAGTGAAACGGATCTTCAAGGCAGTTCGTTGTAGTGATAGCCTAGTGTAACCGCCGTTTTTGACAATCCTCGCTAGCTTGTAGCCCATTGTTGTTGCCCCCTTCATGCGATACAAATAGCCCCTATTCTCCTCTAAAGGTACTATAACAGCGGAAACGTCGTCATTGCAAGTATGATATGGAGCTATTTCAAATTTGTTGATGTGAGGAGCAAGGAGGGCTCTTTTTCTGTCTTAGGATTGCGGCCTTTTAATCGTTGGCTTTACAATGCTTGGACAGAAATTATTTAGTTTAAAGAAGGAACTACGCGTATAAGCCCGTTAATCTTAGGCCTCAAACTCCAGTACTTCAGGTGGGTGTTCCTCATGTGCAGCATCTGCTGTTTCAATCTCTTAGGGGTAGCTTAGAGAAGTCGAGTACATTAAATCTTGAGAATGCTCTAACTATCACGAAAGTTACGATAACAACACAGAACCACTGCATCATACCTAAATGTTTTGTTCAAAAATACCACAACAACAGTATCAGAAAGAGTCGAGTCTAGGTTTATGAACTTCACCAGTCCGAGGATCACCTTGATGTTGATTGGGCAATGACATCTATGAGATCTATTTCATACTCAGCTTTCTCTAATTCGTAAGGGAAACTCTTGATCGTGTCTCAAGGTTTGTGGGGCAAGCTCATCCCTGAAGCAGAATGGTGTAATTTGCAGCTTTTCAGACTGTTGGACGAGGACCGGTGTGAATAATTCACGATGAGGAGCCCAAAATATTAGAATCAAGATGGCTGAGAAGAGAAACTCGCATCATGGTGTTCACAACTTTGCTGGAAAGAGATATCTAGAAACGTCCACATACGTCTATGCGGGGAAGCATCACTCCAATGTGGAGGGTCGTGTCTGACGTGTCTACGTCAGAACAGTGTGTAGTTCAGAGGCTGATATGGGGTGCATATGCAGAGGAGGGGTGGTCATCAGTGGTTGTGGCTCGTTAAGACTTGCACAGATGCAAGTCTTCTCGACACGCCCTCTCACATAGCGCCTAGTGTTGCAGAAACGACGATGTAGACGATACAGCACTTGACGCTGCCTTGAAAGTGTGAACGACGATCCGATGTTCGGTGCATTTAGGTGGATGTTGGTGGTTTCCACCACCACAGTATGGCCTTGCCGATCGGTACAAAAGGGTCTGGCCAGAACGCAGCCTCATCCGAAAATAAGGGTCCCTGCAGCGCACAGTTCAGTGTGTCCCGATAAACACGCCTAGAACGCCCATCAGCCAAGCTAGCGAATCCAACACCCCCCACCATCAGGAAAATAATCAGGATGATGAAATCGATTGATCGTCAAGGCTTTCTTCACCACGTCTCATCGAGATGCCATGCATTGATTTACATCACTGTGTTTGCCCTGACTTCACTTTCGGCATTGAGACCTGATCTACAAGCATGAAGAGTCTAGATTCTAAATCCTTCTGAAGTCAGCTTGCAGGGAAGTGTGAACAGCGCCTGCTCGTTTCGAACGCTTCGATAATCTGCAAGCGGCTCGCCACCATCTCAGCCGGAATTTATTCATGATCCTTGGCGCGGGACCCTGAAAATTGATTGTCGGCATGATCGGCATTCCGTTGGGTGACCTATCTCCCTGCTCTCCCCGACGCTTGTGACATTTGACTACTCAATGGCTGGGATTTCTAACAAAGCGGCATCTGAGAATGGACTAACGTCATTGAAGCTATTTATGTGATGATAGCTTGCGTGATAAGCTCACGACATTCCAGTTGATCATGATCTGGCCATCTCAGCAATGATGGGGACCCCAGTGGGGGTTCTCTGCTTGTACGTGGCGTATGATTGATAAGTGACCAGTGGCGTGATCATATTGAAGATAACAAGTGCGGCAGCTTGACAATGTATCTCGTTGATTGGCGTCTGGCACCTCCAGCAGCAGGATGTCAGCACGTGGGCTATCCCTAGGCAAGCAGTTGCGAAGAGTAATGGAAGGCCGTCGCCGAGCCGTCCTACGAAAAATACACGAAAATCGGCATTCTCGCTGTTCCGTCCTTCCCGCGTACTTATGTTGGAAGCCACGGGTCAGACTCCACATAAGATCATGAATAGCTTTAGCAGGCTAGCTTAGGACCTTGACAGCATGAACCGTTTCACTTCAAGATTTCTAGCACACTGTAGTGTGTTGTCAAAGTCACTGTGCGCCTAGATACTGTACTCTATTCACGATAGATAAGAGAACCGTGTCCACTAGTGGGCCCGATATGGGTCAAGGGGATCAGATCATATTCATTGCTGACTCGTCCCCCGGTTCGCCGATACCAACGGCACGGTCCTTGTCTTTCCGGCGGGTGTGAACGTAGGCCGTGTAGATTGTGCGCGTAGACGTACGTCTCTGCCAGACTGGAATTACTATGTGGCCCGGTGAGAGAATGCTGTTATGCATGGCACAGGTTGCAGCCTTTGAATCAATGAGTGCATTACGTACAAAGGCTGGCCATGCCGTTAGAGAGGTGAGGTAGTGAGGTTGAATGTGTCAGAAGCTTGGTTTTGATGCGTAGAGTGCGCATGTGTTGATGAGAGCCAAATCAAGGACTCTTTCCACGCAGTCTCTACACTGCGGATCATTCAACAGTTTCATGGAGACTTAAGCACACTTCTATACCGCTCAGAGATCGTACAGCTAGAAAGTGGCTCAAAGGGCCAACCAGGTTTGATAAAGGCTCGATTCCTAGCAAAGGCATAAGTCTGGCCTTTTGGATGTCAAATTGATTTTTACTACACCATTGGCAAAGACTTATGTGATATGTTCTAATTCTATTACTGTAGCAGTTGAGAAGTTGATGTTTGACTGTAGTAGTAAGGCACGAAAGTTTCCTCTATGACTTGCAAAATGATTGTCAATTATCGTATTACTATGCTTAAAAACGGAAACGTCGAGGCTCTATTCATCTGAGGATCATGAGAGGAGCATACATCGTGATGTGTCACAAATCTCATCACTCAGGTCAATTAAATCGCTACACGATAACCATTCACAAGGCCAGCACGATTTATTTGATAATGAGAGGTTCCGGTTTCTTCAACCTGACACAACAGTCTTCACAGTAGACTTAATATCGTCGTCTTTTCTCACTTTAACCAGTAGTCACACTGTAACGTTCTCAATATAAGTCCTCCTTCTGATGGTTGTGGAGTCTCTGAACAAATAAACGTGACAAGTTTCAATAGTGGCAACTTCTTAGAGCTGTATTACTGCAATGAGCCTCAAGGTCTGCGTAACATTAAAGTCCTTGACAGATCTGTCACAGCTGTGGCTGCGAACCTTGACAGCAAACCCAACGTAGCCGCCGTCGCCATGAACCTTCCCCGTCTAAGTGTGGTTAGTGTGACAACAACCACAAACTCCATGAGTTCAAAAGTCTCTGCTTCACAGGCAAATGCTCCGGACGCTAGGCCAGCACAATATGGGATTGTTGAGGTTCGAAGCATGATCCTAATCATCTCATGGGGCTCGTCTAGATACCGATCTTCCTGCAGTATCGAAGACTTAAGCTCATCCTGAATTAAGCGTTGACCTGTGCTGATGAAACGCATAAACTCTGACCTGGTTAGATAGAATTTGTACCATTTATTCTCATGGAATCCCCTATAGTGGGAGCGTAAAGTAATGACATGATCCAAGTCTTTCCTAATTCGATTGCGAAATGATGAATTTTGTGGAGGACGCCTATATGGTAACGGCGAATCCGAACGCAAGGATGAGTCCGACATCATTCCCACAATCAGTGAGAGAATTTCTTTTGCAACTTCCGGGTAAGCATAAGGAGTGAAAATCCTTCAGCAACTCAAGACAGAATTCATGCTTGATAATTGATTGTTGCGGACCGAGGAACTCCAAAGGCTCCAACTCCTGGATCACCCGATACTATATAAGCCCAAAGAACTGAACTCGTGAGTTAATCTTAACTATTATCTCAGTTTTCTGATTCCTCTCCTTGCCTGCGTCTATACGGAGATGCTGAGACTTCGTGTACCCTGAGGCCGCCTGCTGTTCCGAGTCATCCAATCACAGGCCGAGTGACATCAGGCTCAACCATCATTGACTCAGCGTCTCCTGCATCAATCACACTTTACTGCATCCTCTTGAGCTCCTCCTCAATCTTCGGCCAAATTTGCGGCAGGAGCACTCCAGTAATCCAGTAGTTGCCTGCCGCGTCTTTCCCTGAGATGTTGTACACATTGCGCATTGTCGGCGGGGGGGTGACGGGAGCAGAGTGATAATATACTGGGTGGCCCGGTTTGGGGACGACGAGTCCAGGCTTCCCGCCCTTGATGATCGCCGGACTGAAATCAACCACATCAAAGAACTTGGCCTTTGTCCAACTGCTGAAAGTCATCATGATGCTCCTGGGTTGAAGAACAAGGGCCGGTCGCCCCGCCGAAGCCATTGTTTCGCGCATTGTGCGCAGCATCCCTCGAACTTGTCCCTCGGTGATCTGCGCTGCGAGATTCGTTCGCAGCTTCAGCGCGAGCTTTCCAAGAGGCTGTGTCAGGAGCTCGCCGGCGGTAAACAGCGTCCAGCTCGGGAAGACAAAGTTGCCAATATAAACGGCGCCTGCCTTGAAGATGCTGGGCAGCCGAGACCGCACTTCAAACACATTCATTACGCTTACACCCTGTTTGGAGCTGGGTGATAGGTGCAGGCAAGCCATGCGTGTTGCCCAAGCAGTGAGCACGTCACCCTCGCTGAGGAACGGCTTCTCGTCTGCATTCTTTGCCTCCGCAGCTAGTTCGTTAATCGCACGTTCACGCAGTCCCTTGACGGAGGCAGCTGGTAGGAAGATGATCCGCGGTTCTTGCTTTCGAACCCATATAATTTCCCACACGAAGCGCAGCACCCAAATAAGCATGCTTATGCCAGCAATTGCCTGGTCTTTGTACATCCAACGCTCTTCTTGTTCAGGTACGGATCCTGTGCCGACCGTCTCGAGCGGGTCGTTTTGCAAGCCCCCAAGTGGCGTTACCTCACCTTCACGTCCGGCGAGCACCTTACACCAATTGGTAACGAGCGCATGGAGGCCCATGGCGTCAGTCGTAATGTGCGGCCATGCCAGCGACACGAGTGTCGCGTCCATGAAGGAGATAACATGAAGCGCCAGCTGTGGGTTGTCGGTGCAGGTGTAGTCTTCGAAGACGCGTGGTGTGTCCTGTCGCACAGCCAAGTTCATGAACTCGTCACCAAAGTCGTGGACATATGGGCGGTCGCTCGCCTGCGGGAGGCGGGACGCGAGAGGGTGTTCGGCAATCGAGATGCCGAATGTCTCATGAGAATACCCTACCGCAGGGCGTTCCGGGGTGAACTCCTGGGGGATATGGATCTCGAGCTTGCCATCTTTCTGTTTGGTATACTAGTTAGTTGGAATGCTCCTCTAATGCCTGCAGTGAACCATACTGTTTCCCTCAAGCGGCCGCCAAGTCGCCTCCATCCACCAATGGAAAGCAGCTTCTGGAGCGAGTTGTTCAACTTATCCGCATCTAGGACCTCGTTGAAGCGAAGAGTCCAGGAGATGATGAGCGTGCGGTTCGTGGCCGAGTCGTCAAAGAAGTGTACCGGGAGGACTTCGTCGGTCGAGACGCGCGGTGGCGCTACCCGCTGGGGCCCGCTGCCAAAGATGCCCTTCAATTGGCCTGAGAACGCCATGTCAAAAGGTTAGGTAGAAACCGTCTTCTCCACAGCGTCTAGGATGGAGCAAAGCAATTGAGCTCGGGAACGAAACTATGGCTGGATAGACAAGTTTCGAGCAAAGCTGTGCCTTTCTGAACCCCCTCTCTCCCCCTGAGTCCTTCGAGCCATATCGGTGGCCCTGTCCTGGGCGTGAGCTAGGGCCCACGATCAAACGCGCCGCCATCCCGCCGAAGGATCGCAGTCATTTTTCTGGCGTGATCCTACGAGGCCCACTCTAAGACACCGCTCCGGAAATCTCGTGTGTACGATGATATCAACCTGATTGAGAGAAGGCGATGCAACGCTTGCTCGCGAATAGCATGGTAGTGATCGAATCAAAGTGTCTGTGCACGGAGTCAAGCCTGATAAGTACACGGAATATGGAACTGGGAATAGGGCTGCCCGGGGACTGCGTTGTGATTCCAATTCCTGCCAGATTGAGTTTACGGGATCGGTTGAGTTAAGTCGACTGCGCAAGTACTTTAGACTGTGGCCTCGTGCACTTGACGACTGAGATGCTGTCGCTTTACGCCATAACTTTGCACTATTATTATTGATACTTGCTGGGACGAAAGGCCATCCTAATCCTATTGTGATACATTCGAAGTTTACTCAGTTACACGGCTCGACAGAGATTCACGTTTTCCCTCAAATGCTCACCCGAGACTGTGTCAGTCCATGATGTACAATTCAACGCCAGGCTCCTCTACTATATTTGAGTTCGTCTTTATTTAAGTTGTGCTCCCTGGACAAGCCACTGATATGTGTCTTTGATTTTGCAAATGCCACCTGCTTAGGATGAATTTCTCACTCCTGTCATTGTCCCCAAATCCTCCTTTAGAAGCACTCCGCTGATTTCTAGGGCCTGTGTAGGTTGTAAAATGTACAGCATCCTCGCCCACTCGATTTGGCTGAGATTTCTCCATGCATGCATTGTGGCTCGTTGGACGCAAACATCTCCGCGCTTTAGAATCCGTGTCTCTCCAGAGTCTAGGATGAGCTCCACCTCGCCCTCAACAACGACGCCGTAGTCAAAATTACGGTACGGTGCATTGGGGATGTAAGACCCGGAGACATGTCGACATAACGTAGAACGGTGCCATCTGAGACTGTGAGTCCTGGAGAGTTACGCAGATAATCTTGATACACTTGGATATCAGCTCTCCCCTGTGAGTTGTGTGGGAAACCCTTTGGTGACGTAGTACTGGGCGAATGCGGCGGTCTTGTCAGGTAGATCATAGAAAGGAGCATCATCGGCGATGGAAGCATCTATTATGGCTTTACCGGACTCATCATTGGACGTGATGAATCGTTTTGGGTGACTGAGCTTTCCCTGAAGTGCCATTGCGAAAGCTGGCGAAATTACCACAAAAGAATTATCTCCGATTTATACTACACAAACACGACTTCTTTGCCTAGAGATATTTGAAATATATTGTGCTTTGGTGCTTGATGATCATGTTTTAACGTTGCCCAAGTGTCGTTGTTGCGGCTTCTAGTCGGGAGTGTTCCTCGGGGCCGGCCTCAACGAACTCGGGAAGTGGACCGAGCCGATTCGAAGAGCCACAGCGGAAGTTGGTGGGCCCGACAAAGCATGGCGACATGATAAATCTGGCGTGATGCACCAAATTTTCAATTTAGAAGTAGGAATTTATCATCTTGTCACCTCGATGTGAGTACAGCCTCTCTCAGTTTTCTTGGAGGTACCGCCTCGACAAGATAATAACGTAATGCCATCACTCTATGCTAGCCATTTCTCGGATCGCAACGTTCCTTTTGGAATTGCATCGTCAGAGAAACACCCAGAACGACAGGCAGTCACTCGACTGGAGGATTCAGTCATATTTCTTTCCGACCTAGCGTCGAGTGGCCTATTCTCACACGTGCAAGGCATTTCAGATACTGTCTTCTCCTATACATTCCTCAATGAGTTCGCTGCTCTGGACAAAAAGGCACATACAGCCGTTCGCAAAAGTATCCAGGATACATTCCATAAGCATGGTATTGCAGGCTTCCCACGAAGCAGTGTAGAGGATATATCGGCGGTTACCATGCACATGCCAGTAAATGTGGGGGACTTCGCAGGTATGCGTTATTATCACCTCAAGCTGGGTCCTTTGCACATTCGGTCTTCTGACCAAGACAACAGATTTCTCTTGCAGTCTCGAACATGTTAAGAATGCAGGGCGTATCATCATCAATGATGAACGTCCACCGCCAGCATTTTTCAACCTACCAATTGTATACCAGGGACGCGCCAGCTCCGTTGTTGTCTCTGGAACTCCTATTGAGCGTCCAATGGGCCAATTCAGAGATAACACGGCGCCAGGTGCGCCGGTAGTATTTGAAGCATCTAGGGCAGTAGACTACGAAATGGAATTGGCCGCTGTGATCGGCAAACCCTTGGGAATGCGTCAGAGGCTGAAAGCTAGCGAAGCGGATGATCATATTTTTGGATTTGTGGTCCTCAATGATTGGAGTGGTAAGTTTTCCTTTTTGGTCTCTTACGCTTTTTTGCCCTGAACGGCTATGAACCGGATTGCTCATGTGAAGTATAGCCCGAGACATCCAAGCCTTTGAGATGATACCGCTTGGCCCCGCCAATGGTAAGAATTTAGGAACTACAATTTCGCCGTGGATCGTGACACTCGATGCTCTGGAACCTCACCGACTTCCCACACCGCCACGGACTGTTCCTGTACCAGCCCATCTGGAAGATACAAACAATGGCGCCTATGCCATTCGCATGCAAGTAGAGGTCATGGCAGAACCCGATGTCGCAGTAACCGGGACTTCAGAAGTACAGTCACTCTACTGGACTGTGAGGCAGATGGTTGCCCATGTCGTCAGTGCTGGAAGTGCGCTGCGGACGGGTGATCTACTGGCGACGGGGACTGTGAGTGGACCGGGAAAGGGTACGCATGGATGCTTACTAGAAGCTACTCAAGGCGGTGCCACACCAATCCAGCTTGTAGATGGGGTTAATAGGACATATTTGGAAGACGGAGATATCGTGAGAATGACTGCTTATGCAGGAGCTGCTGATTCGGGTGTTGGTTGGGGTGAATGCATTGGCAAGCTCACTCCTGCTCGGCGAAATATTCACTAAGTAGACATTTAAAACTAGATCTTTCACGCTGGGGACTTCCTAAAAATGAGGCGATTTCCTTTTATTCAGCATAAAAGATCTCGAACTCCGAGTATACAAAAGTAGCCGCCTTGGAAAAATCACTATAGCATCGGCGGCCCTGGTGTACTGTTTTAGGACGTTACTGCGACTTGCCGGTTGGATAGACGAAATCTTGTGAAGTATCAACTTGCCTTGCGGGGATGGACGGCCAGTGTGATATGTCATCACCCTGTCGTAGTCTGTATAGGTACTGGGCGTGATCCCTTGCCTGCCACGAGACACCCACAGGAGCTTGATTTGCTCATCTTAGAACACATTGTGGAGATGCATGTACTTGCTGAAAACATTCTCTACGGCAACACGTGCATTAGCCTATTTCAAGAATAAGACATGCTTAACTCAGCTAGAATTCATAGAGATGACGTACTCGCTGGGCTAGGCACACTCCTGAGTCACTTTGCGCGTGGCCCAACAATACCATGTTGAATTTTGCATGTACGCCATCAAATCTTCCGTTCCTTTAAAGGAGCGCACGATATCAAGGACAGAGTCTTTAATAAATGACTTCGCGTTATGGCCCTGGCCCCGATCAAAGTAGGAGAGAGGTTACGGCGCTGTATGGTTCCCCGCAAACATAAGATTTCAGCTTGCGCCGAGCCCCTTTCCAAGACAAGATTGATTACATGAACCTAATCTAGTATAAGTAATTCTACCCATCTTGCAGCTTAGTATGTAGTAGGAATACAATCCTTAATCCTTAATTGTACGGAACAGTATACGAATGAATGGAAGCATGGCTTTTTGGCCAAGAGTAATACAGTAGATTGTATACAACTTATTCCAATGTGACTAGCACAATTGGAAAAGCGGGAAATCTTCGGTTCGGATCAATTCTTGGATCTGGCTCGCCTGAGTAAGGACATGTGAGTTCCGAGGAGTAAATGGTGTTGCATGATTGGCTCCTCTGCTACGCTATGAAGGCGCCTGTAGATCTGTCCGAAATTCTGGCTCCCGTGATCAATATTTAGGATAAAGAGTCTATCAGGTCAATTGACCTACTCGACGATTTGATCGTGTCGTGTTAGGCTCGCTACAACCATGGTTTACATCCGGATGGTTGCGAAGGGTGGCGGTGGTGGTAGTGTGGCTGACTAGCAGGCTGGGCAAGACTTAGTTACCTAATGAGCGACCACAAGAATTTCTTTCCCACTACAACTGCATGATTGTTCGCATTCTTTGGCAGAAATCCATCGCCGTCGTAAATTTAGGCAACGAACATCAGCTACCAGGAAGACGCCTGAATATTCTCGATTAGATCTCGAAAACTTGGCTCAATTATTTGACCATTGACCAGGTGTACGGGTTGGTATTGGCATTCGGTGCTGCCTAGAGGAACCCTCTCCAGCAGCTCTCAGCCAGCTCTGGATCGGATAAGCGACCGTCACAGATATTCCTGGGGAAAACAATGGCACCAAAAGAAGAACATCAAAGCGAAGGCAAGGACACGAGGAGCCCTCCGCACGTGTCAGTCTTGCAAAAGCTTCGCGAAACGCTGCGCACTTTCACAAATCCTCCCAAAGACCTCAACAATAAGCCCGAACATTCCGGTATGCTTATTGCAATGTGGCCGAGACTTCTAGACGACCTTTGGCGTAGACACGATGACTGTTATCCTGATGTATCATGTTCGCATGCCCCAGATACCGAGAAGTCGGAAAGCACGACGATAGAATCTCCTCACGAAGAAGAGAATGGATCTCATAATGCTGAACCTAGACCAGCGGAGCTCCAACAGCTATACTCAGGGAACCATCCGACATATGACATCAAGGCTGGGTGGTCGTTGAAAGAGGCGACTGAAGATGCCATAGCCATGTTTCTCTACAGTGACTTTTGCTCTATAACTGGCATTGATTACCGCTTGAGTGGCCAAGTTGTATCAGCTCTATTGAACAAGAATTGCCAACTCCTCTTGGATGAGAGGTACCTTGGTTCACTATCGGCGGCCGAATTCTCAGAACAGGCGGGCTGCGTGCAGAAATTCAAACACAATGATTCGACTGATTTGGAGAAGCTTCTGAAGGAATCGAAAGGCAAATATAATACCACTATCGTGATCGTCAATGGCCTTGATAGGTAAGATTCACTCGTAATGTGAGGGCATATGCGATGACATTAACAGCACAGCGTGGAAGGCGATGTACCGCCGTTATCAGAATTGCAGCGTCTCAAGCACGAGCATGGATTTGCGCTAATCTGCGACCAAACTCACTCATTCTTAGCCATAGGCGAAACGGGTCGTGGATGCGCCGAGTACTGGAATGAAACGTATCCTGACCAAATAATCGGCCCTGTTATTGACCTGCATGTCGGGATACTGTCCAAGACGACTGAAAGCACGGTTAACTTCATATGTGGAGCAGCGGTGCTTGAAGGGCCTATGAGGAGACGAATAGAAGCGCTTGGCCAACTCAGTATCCAAAACGATTCTTTCGAAGTTATGTCTTCTACTCTTGTGCAAGTGCTGTGGACGTTGCTCCAACCTACTTGGCTAGCACGGAATTTGCGGCAGTGGAAAGCCACTTGTCGGTGCTTGCGTGACGAGCTATCGAAATTCGGGATCTTCGTGTATGGAGAATCCGATGCTCCTCTGCTTCCAGTATTCACTGGCCCCCCGAGTCTTTCGAATGACTTGAGCCAGGCGCTTTCACGGCACGGTGTTCTTGCCACACCTATCATGACGCCGCATGTTCCATATTGGGAGAGTAGGGTATGTGTTAGGCTTCCCCCGGCTTTAGGAGAGGAAGAGGCCCGCCAATTTCTTGGTACTGTGATATCGGCCGCCTGCGAAGTCGGCCTCTGCCATCGGTTTGAAGCCATGTCCCAGCAAATCTACACATCTGACAAGCGTAACCGTCACAGCGACGTGCGTACTAGTGAGGCCGCGGAGACGAAGAATGCATACCGTCTCATTCACGATCTGATATCACAAGAGCCTGTGGCCGAGCCGTATGGAGTACCCGACAATAATATCGCAGGTAGCATCGACTTCGACAGTGGCTGAAAGATGCCAGAGGCCACGACGCTCACAATGGCGTTTAGGAAAGCAAGAATACCCTCTATTTGATCTAAAAATCGATTTTTGATCATTGTATCAACAAAGACAGTTCTCTCGACGTGTTGATTCTAAATTAGTGGACCAAAGGCACTCCGCCCAATTAGATGCACAGAGAGGCGTCTGATCAAATTGACGTCCCACAAGAGCCAACAGTAATGATCTCACATATGGCCTATAAGGATCATATTCGAAGGGCCTGAAGCTGGGTCTAAATAGCTGTCGGACTTGAAGAATTGAGATACTGGTTCCGCTATGGCCACATTGTTGGAAACGTGTGCAGTTCCTACTCTAGGTAAATTAGTCTGCTGCTTTCTCGATGAGCTTGTGAGAGTTACTGACGCGTTCAGCGCTATTGAACGGCATTCTGGGTCAATTTACCTTGCCGAAGTCGCTTTGTCTCTGGTGGCTGATCCTTCAAGGCTTTCGTATTTGACCTGAAGTTTACTTTCCGTTCTCTTTTCCGGTAATATCTTTTCAGCCTGTAAAGAGTCAGCTGTGAGTTCAATGATGAGAAAAGCTGAGTGCTAAAGTGGTTGTCGGGTAGATCGAATCTTGATAAAGCTTCGACTTACCTCGAGTGGGCAATGCAAGCTTCCCTTCAACTCGACCCGCCAGCTTGTCTTGGGGACTAAGGGCGCCTCTGACCTCGAAGCGCATATCGAGAAGCTCTTATTTATGAGCACTTTGTCGTGGTAGACTAAAAAAAAAAAAAAAAAAGGGATAGAGCGCGGCGGAACAAGACAGAAACTCACAGCTGGGCAAGTTGCTTCTCTTGACTGTTGTGATGTGGTAGCCCGGTCGATACTCCACGCTCTTCAGGGCAACTCCCAGCTACACGCTTTGTTTTTATTTTAGATTCAAACAAAGTACTCGTTTCCTTTCCACATCTTAGCAGGAACACGTCAGGCTCTCGAATCTCTCCTAAATTTCTGACAATTGTGAGCTGAAAATACATCGACAAGGCCTCCCTCTTCATGTCTTGAGGAGATCATACAAACGCTCACCTTCAGGCTCATCCTAAGATGTCTACCAAGATGAACAGCGATGAGAGTAATAGTGAGCGCGAGCGCGAGTTTGAGATCAACTGCAAGGTAAGTTTGTGGACTGCGTCCAACTCAGATCATGTTCGAGTTCTTTGGACTAACTATGATTTCACTACAGGCTCGCGCAAGAATGGGAGCTGCTATCGAAGCATGGCTTTCTGGTGTCAGACCGGCTACTCCCCCGCCGGAGGACCCGCTGCCACGAGGCCGTCAGAAATTGCCTGGTGATATTTTCTTCATCGTCGCCACCTACCTGAAACGGCCTAGAGATATCTACCACTTGCTGTTGTGCTCTCGAGAGATGTACTTGTGCTTGAGGACGCAGCTGCTCAAGACTGACGTCGGCTTCGACAAAACATCTATCGGAAAGCACACTCAGAGGGGCTGTACATCGGCCTTGGTGTGGTCGATTGAGCGAGGCGTGACCGAGAACATCATACCGCTCATCAAGAAGGCTTGGATGACCAGAAACAAAGACTACCTTAACGGAATGTCCTACCGAAGCAAACGGATCAAATCGATCTCCCCTCTGCACGCTGCTGTCTTGAAGGGTGACCTCAAGACCGTCAAACTCCTAGTGAGATCTGGCTGTGATCTGAACATCATGTACATCGGCCCTCCTGCTCTCTTCCTCACCTGCAGTCATGGTGCGCACTACGACTGTAGAAGACCCAACAACCAGTGCAAGAGTGCCGTGACCATGGCTATCGAAGGCAATCATATGCGAATCACCTCATTCCTTCTTCGACAACGCGGCATCAGACTCGACCACGGCGTCACCGCACTGCATGCCGCAGTCTTGGCTCAGCAACCCCGTGTCGTGCAGCGACTGTTGGATATGGGACAGAACCCGAATCGCTACACGGCAAATCAGCACCTCCAGAACTTCACGGCGCTTCAACTTGCTGTGAGCGTTGGCGATGACAATTCCGAGATCATCGAGATGTTGTGCGAGGCAGGCGCAAACATGGAGGTCATTGATCAGAGACATCGAACACCGCTTCGCTGGGCAATCGTCAGAAACCGCCGAAAGCATGCAGCTACGTTGGTGGCTTGCGGAGCTGCGACGGACGATTTCACTCTCTGGAGTAAAGACAAAGAGCTGCTGAAGCAGTGGATCGGAACCCTTCCAACTTGATCAACGGCTTCAAACGAGGTTATCGGCATGTATTCATCTTTGCTTTATGGCTTGTGCAATGGTTAGGAGGAACTTGACTAGGGTGTATGGCACTGGTTGCAAATGTTTGTGCAACGGGAATCGGACATGAGAATTCTACAGCTAGCTGACTGAACGGGCTTTGATGCCCTCATACCAAAATAAAATGTTTTGAGTTGCCCATTTTTGCCCAATTTATCGCAATATATATTGACGTGTACTGGTGTATCGATGATGTTTCAAATACATAAGGATGTCGATGTAGTTCAAAGGCTAGAGCCAACCCAAGGCAATGAACGTAAAACTCACAGACTGATACTTTATCATCACGATGGTAAGAAAAAGGAACGGATGAATGTCTTAGATCGTGGTTTAAGTGATGGGTGAAAGATCGGCCGCATTTATTTGCTATCAACACGCTCTCGGGGTAATTGAGCCGGCCCCCCGTAAGCTTCTACGTCAGCCACGCCCTAAGATGTGACAATATTACATTGTCAAACATAAATACTTGCCAATCTCGTTGTGTAGTAAGCTTTCTTCGTCTAAAGCCATTTGGTTGTGAAATCAATTTTGGTCCAAAGTGAGTGAGTGCACCCCAGCTCTTTGAGCCAGACCCCGCAATTCTGACCGAAGACATCTAGTACGACAGACTCATGATTGCGTCTCATATCCTCTCCGTACTTGCTGTCTCGATCGCGCCGGCACTTGGACATGCAAGATGTGATGATGTACTCAGATATGCTTCTCCGGAATCAGTCGGAATGCTCGCACAACCACTGAGAGACATGGTCGCAAACCTCACTGGCTACACGACTTGGTACAACTGGACAAGTCATTCCTATTATCAGGTTGTTCCAATCGAACCGGGCGGCGTAACCATTGTTAGTCATAACTCGGCTATCGTCAGTAAGTTTGCATTCGGCAAGAGGAATGTTTACGCCAGTGTCAACGGCTTGAACGTGACATATCTTCCTGTCGACGAACAAGAAGACGCAACTATAGACACGATCTATGACATGGCGTCCTTGACGAAGATCTTCACTAGTGTTGCAGCCCTCATTCAGATTGACAAGGGAGATTTTGAATTGAATGACACTGTTGCATCTCACTTCCCCCGATTCGCAGCAAACGGCAAGAGTAACGTCACGATCCTCCAGCTTGTAACTCACACATCTGGATTCGATGCCGATCCATCTCCTTCATTAGCAAACAAGACGGCGTACAAGACCTATGAAGAACGAATCGTTGCAATACTCGATACTAGTCTGATCAACGAACCCGGTTCAACATACCTCTATTCGGATCTCAATTACATGTCCTTGATGCTTCTTCTCGAACACATCACTGGTAATTCTCTGGATGAACTCATTTACAACTTCACTTCGCGCTTAGGAATGAGCTCGACATTCTTCAACCGCGGAAACATTGAGGGACCAGCTTTGCCATTCTACGAGAGGATGGCAGCCGAGGAGTTCCAGATCGCTGTTTTGGGTCCATCGGAGCCAGCGCGGCCCCAGCCCGTGAGAGGTACCGTTCACGATGAAAACGCCTGGGCACTCGACGGCGTGTCAGGTCATGCCGGGCTCTTCTCTACTGTTGGTGACACAGCTAAGCTCTGTCAGATGATTCTGAACAACGGGACATACGGCGGAGTGCGGTACCTGAAAGAGGAGACGGTAGGCCTCATCTTCACCAATTTCAACACACGCTTCCCTGGCGATGAACATGGTGTAGGCTTTGAGCTGAACCAGTATTACACTTCTGGTCCGATGGCCAGCTTACTCGCAGCCAGCCACACGGGCTTCACTGGGACGAGTATGGTCATCGACCGCGGGAGTAACACATTCTTTCTGCACTTTTCGAACCGCGTTCACCCATCGCGAACATGGTCTTCGAACAATATTGTGCGGGAGGCAGTGGGCTATTGGGTGGCCAAGTCTCTCGGCAAGGAGATTGCGCAGAGCCCATTTCCTTGAGTTTGACAACAACACCTGAGTGAGGAATGTTGTAGCAAGGGGACTGATAACGACGGTGTCCCATTTTATGTAATGTTTGCATGCGGACAAGGTTATTGCAGTATCAGGCCGCTATGCATGAGTTCTTCAACTATATGTAAGGTACACTTAGTCATGCTCAATTGAAGTCAACGTGTCGCTCTATTTCTCTACAAAACTCTTCCTGATTTCGATCATCAGCACATTATTCAGCCCGCCAGCCTTTGGGATTCGTTGTAGTGAGAAACGAAACGGCTTCGATGCCAGCTTGGTTCCTTGCCGTCACATGTTGGAAAGGTTCACCTTGAAGGTTACGCTCGGTATGACGAGCGTGAGGTGCTGTGAGGTGTCACAACTCCCCCACCACCATCAAGTCCGAATGGTGCAGAAAACCTGCCGGATGGTGTGGTGTGGCTGAAAGACGCAACCCTCTTACACCTGTACCATTGGCCAAGTTGGCACAACCACTATCGCTAGCCACGCCGGAATTACCATTGGCGGATAACAGGCCTGCAGAGTCTCTGGTGACGGCCTCACACAACGAATCGCGCAACCTCGGGTCGACCCACCCAGCTGTCAATGGCTCAACTGACAGTCTAGGCGGCGCACCAAGCCCTGGGCAAGATAAGTCGTGTCTGTATCGTGTTTGCTGCGCCGCAGGCATACTGAAACAAGGGCCGCTCAGGTCCCGCGATGAGCTGCAGCCGGCAGCGGGAGGACCAGGGTGGTTCAGGTCGTTCAGCGCCCAACGCATCCTATAGCAATGCCAGGTAATAGCGGACATGGGTTAGGGAACCAGATGGGCGGGCAGCTCTCATCAGATGATCCACTATGTCTCACATATATCCTAGCCGATAGCGTTGCATCTTCCTCGTAGCTCAGCACATGGCATCTCGTCGTGGTGTTCGAAGCGACTGTTGAGATAAGAGCTGTGCGCAGCCTTGGAACCATGAAACCTCGAGAGTCGTGAATGCCCGGGACGCCAGACCACAACGCTCCAGAACCCAGATGGCGATAATTTATTTCTTGAGGATTGCCGAGAAAGGCTTCGCGGGCTTGCACGCACGTCAGGATCGAGTGGTCACTCAGATAATCACAAGACCATTTACGACAATCACGTATGTTGTTACACTTGGTGGGCCGACGACAACTCCAACCGAGACCGGCATTACGACGACTGCAGCGCCGTTGCCGCCAGCCGCAACGACAACGACAACGGTCGCTGTTCCAGCGTCCTCTAAATCGTCTTCTCTCAGCCAGAACGAGATCGGCGCAATAATCGGTTCAGTCATTGCTTTGTTCATTATTGTTCTGTTGATATGGTACTGCCTCTCCGTTCGCGCGCAGACTGCAATTCGCGGCGCGGCGGCGGAGGCACGCTCGGACGGAAGCTATGAGACAATGACATCGGACACGAATCTTTCCCATGATCCGTGGACGAATCGGCGACCTAATTTGAATCCACCGCCGACGAGGATCCCGCCGACATCTAGGCCGGCAACGTATCGTGCGTCGCCATTCCCGCAGTTCAGGGGCGTTGGGCGGTACCCCTGAGAGGCAAATGATTGAGGACTGTTGGCGTTATTGCTGTGCTTTGAATATAGCCACCGCAAAGGTCGACCTCTGAGCATCCGCGATCATGACGGGGTCGACGCTTCAATTCGCAAAGAAGCGTGTCCGCTTGCTAGTCTCACACTTATAGCAGTTGCAAAGTGATTGTCGAATGGAAGCAGAGGCGCCGATTTCTCTCTTTGGAAGGAACTCTTTGCTTTGGAAGTAACGGGAAGCCTGGAGATTGCGGACGCATATCACGCAGATCGAGCCGAGGAAGGAGCGCCTCGGGTGGTGATAGGACCAGACTTCCGCCCGGGAACTCCTCTAGAGTTAGTCACCTTTTTCGTCCTCGATGTGTTCATAACACTTCACAGAGGACTCACATCTCCGCTGGACAACTTATTCCCCTACCGCAACTCAGTCTGCGCGATTGTGAAGCGTTGTTAGCACTGGTTCGAACTCGACTATCCGCAAAGATGAAGGTTTGTCAAGACCTTGGTCATTTTAAGTATCTGGTCGTGCTAACAGAACCACCCAGATCATCATTAACGCTCTTTGCCTCCTAGGCATACGTTGTCAAGTCCGCGACCCATTCAGCAACAGCAACGTGGAAGACACGACAACCTCTGCTGTAGTCTCCCAGTCCACCGCCAGCAATGCCGTGTCCGCGAGTGTGGCTAGCTGCAATCTGAACACCACGCTCTGGATGAACTGCGGGAGCCCAGAGGGTGCCATGCGCTGCCTCCTCGAGGGAACCACCTGCCTGCCGGATTGTCACATACACACTTACGATCACTGGTGTGACGAGCACTGCAGCTGTGCCGACCACAATACCGGCTTCTATGCTGTCACCAACCCGATCGAACTGCCTCCTACACAGCCAAATCATGACGACGTCGAGATCCGAGTACACGATCAACCGGATTTATTCGATACCACCGATATCAACGCCGGCCCGAGCTGCAAGCTTTCATGTCCGTCGGACAAGATCAGAACGTTTTGCGTCGGGTATGCAGCTGCTCACTGCAAGCAGAACTGTGTGTTAGGTGTCACGGGCGTCGATGGACCAGTTTGCGCAGCGTTCTGTTCTTGTTCTTCTATCGATGCCAATTAATTGCATGCCGTCGGATAATACTGTCAGTCTAGCCTGCCGAATGCCATTCGGGCTAGGAATACAGACACCTGCATCAGTGGAATGACGAAGCTTATGGAGCGGACAGAAGCCAGGATGTTACGCTAGGGATTATACTATGGTATTACGATATTGACGGACACTGTTGGAACAAAGAAGATATTCATTCGGATATGTATGTGCTCGGAGCATATATCAATGTGGCTTCAATTTGCTATGATTTTGTCTTTTTGCTGGGTTTACAAGTGTGTTATGTAGCATCATCCATCAACTTACAACAGGCAATCAAATGACCGCGAACTCGAATTGATACCCGTCTTTCTTGTTAAATAAATACTTGACAGGACCTCTCTTTGTAAAGTAACTCCGAGGCGAGCGAGTTCATTGGTTGTGCCATGATAGGTCTCATAATTGATACTGAAAAATTACATGTAACTCCTTTGCACCAGCATTCCCTTTTGTATCTTCTACACCGATTCAACCGATCGATTCACTCATGTAAGCCTTCGAACAATCGAACGCATAGAACTGCCGACGCCGCCGCCACGCTGCCCAAGATGACCATTTGAGCTCCTTCCCATGTGCTTCGCCTTACGTCCTTCCAAGGGAAAGAGCGCTTGCGTTCCGACCACACAGCTTCCTCGCTCCTGCTTTCCTGGTTTACCACAAAGTCCTTCGTGAAACCAAAAACGAACAAAGCGACGATGCAAACAATGAAGCTCCAGAGGAGACCAGTGCCAACCTGGCTGACGAATAGATACGGTGCCAGGGGGAGGATTCCGCCGAGCAGGTAACCCAGGGCCACAGAGAGGCCGACTAGGATTGGCGAGGCAAGCTGGGAATCCTCGTCGGCATCGTGCGCACACTCCTCAAGCACTTGGACGACGCTGGGATTGCGGTACAGATGCTCCTTCACGAGATCGGCCAGCTCGTCGGGTAGATCTAGGGGGGCCAGGTATTCCCGGACCACAGCACTCTTCTCGTCTGCGACAAGCCCAGCCTTTTCTGGGTCCTCAGCTGAGGCGTCGTCCTCTTCGTGGTCTTGGGCTCTGACCAAAGCTGCGTTCTCGCCACGCGCCGACAAGTACCCGCCAATGCCCATGCTGATGCTTCCGGCGCAAATCTCGGCCATCCCCGCATAAATAACGGTCTCGGTCTGGCCAAGCGACGATAGACCGGCCGTGAGTGCAAATGGCACCGTGAGACCATCGGCGAAGCCCAGCGTGAAGTCGGCAAGGAAACGTGTCAGAGACGGCATGACGAATAACGGCGCGGATGACTTGGATGTGGCGTGCCGTTGCGCAGCGTGCAGGTTGAGCTGATCATTCTCGATCTCCGAGAAGTCTCTGTGGCTCACTCGTTCGGTCTCGGTCTCGTTCTCAGAGTCGGACGGCGCCCTGTTGGTGATGGGGGAGTATAGCGACATACTGCCGTCGTCTCCACGGCTGCTCAGAAAGAGCGACTTGAAAACGCCTTTGACGGGTATCTTGTATAACTAGCTGGATCTAGTGTAGACGATGCGAATGGGGCAATGTCATGTGGGATTTTAAGAAGAGCTACTATCAGAGGACGAAAAGCCAGCCCGTGGCAAGACAGACGGACGACGGATTCCGCAACTCATTACTTATGTCGCTCTGCGATGCCTTGTGTTCTCTCCAAAATAGAGCGAACTTGGGAGCTGGTGCCCCGTGCTATCTGCTATCTCCCATCGACTGCATGCAGGTCCTCAATTAAACTGAAAGCTTGACCGAAGGTCACACCTGGAGCAGCCAGCGTGATCGATACGGGCACGATGATTGGAGCAGGGCATCCTTCGTGCTACCGTGATCCCAACCCACTGTCCGGGGGCCTGACCGTTAGCACCCCGCGACCTGCACGCTACCAACCATCTACGGGGCACTCCCCTGAGCGCCACACTCAACGTGGTTAGCAATACTCTGGCGATGATTGGTTACGGGGGTGGACATGCCCTGCACCGACCTGCTCCTATGCAGTACTATGCAGTAGTTCTGGAAGCTGGCCCCAATGCCAAACAACAACGATCACACGTGGCTTGGCTCATCCGCAAAGCTTGTCGGCGGCCACGACCTCGGTTCCCTGCAACGGCGCGCCTGCTTTGTTGCTTGTTATTTTATTAGAGAACTAGCTAACTGCCTTCCCGTACGGATGGCTCGGGACGCCGGCGAGACGGGGTGGTCTCCGCTCCAGAGTAACATTATTGTTGCTTTGCAGAGAGATGGCCGAGCACGTGTGCCAGCTGCTCCTCTTGACCATTTGCTTGCCGACAAGTGCCGGCATACTACGGTGACCAAGACTTTCGCATCGAGCAATTTGGCTGGCATCTTCTACTTTCCAATCAGTGCCCATATTTCATTGCTTACAATGATGTGAGCCCCACATAGATAAAACCTTCAATCGACGGTATATTTCATGTTGTTTATTTTAGTTGATTGATGACGGACTATCTATGGATGCACTTCAATCCTCAAAGCTTGGACCTGCTTTGTGACAATGACTCTCCTGCGCTGCAGCATTAGCTCTCGTGACTGTCCGGTGCGCCCCATCCCCGCCGCCCGGGCGTGTTCACTTGCAGTTGCTCGCCAAGCCGGAGGTTGAGCACCCCCTTCCCACCCACATTGACGAGCCTCTTCTTCCCGCTCGGATGATCCAAAAGGGCCAGATTGAGACCTGCCTTGCCTGGCTCACCACCCGCAAGGCCATACGGCTTTGTAGCACGGCGGTCGGTGTTGAGAGTGAAAGTCATGTTGGCTCTTGCTTCTATGATGCGAGTTGCGCCGTGGCCGCCTGAATGGAGACCTAGCCAACCAGATCCATGACGGATGCCAAACTTTCTGACCAGAACGGGAATTCGTTTCTCCAAAACTTCAACGTCAGTGGCTCGGGTGTTAGTCATGTGCTACCCTGATGTTAGCGGTCCAGGTCTCACAATATAATCAATGTCAGCAACAGGTGGTTTCATAAGGACTTACAGTACGAATGGCCGAAACACCATTCCACGTGGGACCGGCGCCACTACCGCCGCAGATAGTCTCTCCATACATAAACATATAACCAGCGAACTTTTCGCCAGGCTTAGCCTTCAAGCCCCCATACATCTGAATTCCGTTCATTGTTCCTTGGCTATTGCATTGGGCCCCAGATGTTCTATGCCGATTCAGCCCCTCAATACCGCCCAGGCCTGTACTTTTGTAGCGCGTGCTTTTTCACGGCCGAAGTCTTGATTGCCATTTGGTATTCCTGGGTCCAGTGGGAGAATCGACGGCGTGACAAGAAAGCGGATGCCTAGGGGTTGACTCTCGAGCAACGAAATCTCGAAGGTTGTTTGATGGGCCTTACATGATATGACAGACAGAGAGGTGAGTGTCAACATTCAAAGTTCTAAAAATTCGCAAGGCTGACTGACTAGAATTCTCACTGTCGCTATTGGTATTGAGTTGAAAAGCACAAGAATCCTCGTGTCAAACATATAGGCCGTAGCTATTTGTCACTTTGAACACCTTGGGCTGTCTAAGAATATCTTTTGAGGGTTGATTTATGTCAAAATATCTGTAACAGCCTACGATCCGGCCCTACATCTCCTCCCACTCAATTAGGAGAGTATATAGCACTTGACTTCCTACTCATCCGTACCATGATACATAGTGGATATTACACGTGAATTCTTTGCCTTCTGTTGTTCCATCGTTTACTAAATTGACTTGTGGTGGTATTGCAAAGTTTATTGTCGCGAATGAATTTCTCGATGCCTTTGTCGCAGCCATAGCAAGCACATATCTTCAACATTGTTTTAGCAACCATAGTCCCAGCAAATTAATAACCAGTTTTCTTACCTCGGCAGGACCTCCTTGGCCACACAGGAAGAGAGCGGTGGCATTGTTGCTCCCAATTGCTCCGTTGTAGCAAGCACTGCTGTCTATCAGATCTGTACATTCGTCACTGCTCACATCGCATGGACCAACTGCTGAAGTTGAGGCGACCCAAAGGGCAACGAGGACAATTCGGCAACGCATAATGTTGTACGGTGTTGCTTTACTAAAGTGAACTTCAACAGATAAAGGACAGTGTCTCGAAGTACCTCATTTATATGTCTCCTAGCCCTACTTACCCAAAATACACTTACTTCCGGAGCAGCTTTGTCCTGACTTTATCAATTGCGTGGTCTGTAATCGGAATATCGTCCGAGATTAGACTTGCTAATTGAGCAAAATATTCATATTGCATTCTCTTGACCGGGATCTACATGATTAGCCGATTTGCTTCATACATTCGTCAGTAAGGCCGCAATATAGAAGTAGCACCTTGACAATGGCGGCTGATAGCCGGGACGAGCCCCGGCAATAAAGCATTTGTGATGAATTCAGTGGGTCCAGATCAAATTATACCGCACACGGGTTGAGTTTTCTTTTGTTGCAAAGAATCTCTCGACTGGTACATAATCAACATTCAATGCCTGCACATTCTGAATCTTAACTCACGAGTGTCGTTTCCTTCCATGACTAATTTTTTCAGCACCAAATTACTTCTCAGCCATCGAATGAACCAACTATCAATACCAACACCCATCTCTCTGACTCGGATCTCCGGAGACGATATTGGACGACAATGTCCATATAGAAAGTATCAATTACATACCATTCAACCATGTTCTCTACTAGCTCTCCTGCCTCAATCTCCGACTGGCTTTTGGGCATACCAAAAGTAATAGTTGAAATATCTGTGTACACTGGTATCTTCCATCCCGTTCCGGGCTAACGCCAGCGTAACCTGGCTCTCCACCTGTGACATGCCGAGTGCCTCATATGGTCGACCAGCAAAAACTGGCAGAACGTCGTGAACGGCTAATTTTTGATACAGCCCAATTAGTCGAAGTGTTTTGTCTTTCGCCCAGATACCTATCGGAACCTTCCTCACTATACAATGAATATTCTCGAATCCGGCTCCACGAAGCATGGGTTCCATATCTGGTGCAAGCTTCGTATTCATGCCGAATTCGGCGAACCCCTGCTCGAGGAGCTCATATACTCGCTTGACGGGGTCGTCTTCGGGCATTGTACCATCATCGCAAAGTGGTTCAGCACTAAGTTCTTGGAATTCTACCCATCCCCCTGGCTTCAGGCTTCTGAGAACACAGCAATTCATTAGCCTGCTAGGTGACTAAGGATTCGTCAAGCAGACTAGCTTACCGGTAAGTGTGTTGTAAGACTTTCGGGACATCTTTCAGAATTACAGTCATAAATCGGAAGTGTACCAAGTCACAGTCTCGAATCACCCATTCACTCTCACAGTCGTCCACTAAGAATTCGACATTTGGAGGCACCCAGATAGGTTGGATAGGGGAGACATCCATTCCGCGAACGCGGGCATTTGGGTATCGATCACCCACTGAAACACAGAACACCATCATTAACGGCGACACATTGAAGATGAGCGAACAGCATAATAGACCAACCGTCAATAGCCCAGATACCTAGTTGTCTGTTGTTAGTCGCTTTACAAATTCCGAGGGTAGCATAGGGCTATCTGACCAGTCCCAGTTCCAATATCAAGAATTTGTTCCGGCTCTTCACCGATAGGTGCATAGAATAAAGCACCATCAGTAAGTTCTAGCAACATACTGTGTTTCATATCTTCCCTATTTTGTTCGAAATCATCGTTTGGAATCGGGTATCGGCTGTTCTTAAACGCATGATAGCGGCGGCCGTGCTCATAGGTATGAGCGTAGATCGTCGAGTCTGCGCAAGCAGTTCCGTTCGTGACTGCCTCATAAGGGTCCGTCGAATCGAATTCGTCTTTATCGACGGGCTCAGCGGCGGGCTCAATTGGTTCGTCAGCTGAGGCGTGCGCCGCTTGTGTAGCGTTCGGGTGGTCCGCACACATTGCACAGCTCCCGCGAGCGCTGAGCCGCGCGGGGGTGTGCCGATGAAGCACAACCGAAGTCGTAAGCAGAGTCAAGGCCGCCGAATGCAAGGACGCCCGTTCGTCGATGGCGATTTGACGTTCCAAGCTTCTGCGACCAGTTATCGTCCTCAATATACACTTGGAAATCCGAGTCCCCCGCAAGTTTAATACAGGATGGCCTAGCGAATGTCAAGAGTCGAAGGAAGCTGAATCGTAGGCGAGGGGCTTGATCAACCCCACCTAAGCTCCATGGAGCACATGTCTTTGGTGTGCGGAGTAATTGCAAGCCCGCAGCCTACACCGCTTGTACTCTACTGGTAGATCCATTCCATTCTTGGGATCATGCAGATAATATGCCATGGGTGCTCGCAACTTATCAGCTAAAGACTAGCTTTATCTATGATGATTCGCGAACCAGTCTGTTTTGCACATGCCCTGTGTTATGATATGATGAAACCCAGTGTAATATACATATTAATACACGAGGCTTAGTAGCTGTATCCCAATGCTTCAACAAGTCGACCTCCATCCGAAGACGTGTACAATCCGCTTAGGTTTTCACGCAATTGCCGCTGATTAAATCACTACTTTGAATGTGAAATGATAAATATTACATTCAGAAAAGATCGCGGTCACGATAGCTCTGGCACAGATTCAACCCCTCTTTCAAGCTGTCTATTTCCGTTTCCAATTTACGTCTCGCCTTCTCAACCGCAGGCGACTCCGCAGCAAGTGATCTGAGCTGAGCTTCAGTCATCGCTGCAACTGTTTCGGCTTGGAAAACCTTCGGTATGTATCGCATCAACTGCTTCTCGACACCTAATGCTATGACGTTTCCGGTAAAGGTTTTGAGAGACAACTAGCTACCTTGTGAGCAAAATAAAATGATTAAAGGACATTTTTCTTTTCAGCCTACCTCATAGTATGCAATCATATGATCGATAACATGTTCTATTCCGAACTTGCTTTTCTCGGTCGAATTTCTTTTCTCGTTAACCCAGGCTCTAGCATAGCTCTTATTACCTAATATGGCTTCTTTATTTATCCCAACAAGGTCGGCATCGTATTGCACTCGTAACCTGTTAAGCTGAGTATGAAGACGTGCTTTGATGCGTTCTTGACTTCGCGTTTCAAAGTCAGTCTCGAGTGGTAGCAAAAATCCAGCATCATCCGATGCTGGCAAGAGTTCGTCTAATTTGGCTTGCAATGTGCTTTTTCTGTTCTGAAAGAACGGGTCGACGAAACCGCGGACGATTCGATCTCGGGTTTCAGGATCCGATCCAATAACATAATTCAGCAGTTCCTTCACGAAATGCCTTGTAGCCTCAACTACCAAATCAATATGACGGCTTGAAATGCATTTCCAGGGCCTGGACCTTTTGCGGAACAGTTTGAGCGTCGCTGTGGTACTAGGTTCGCCAGGAAACTCAAGCCCCTGGGAGATAGAAGCCTCTTCCTCGGCTTCTAATTTGAAATCGCTTTCTGTAATCTCTTCGGGGTCGTCGAAGTGGTAATCCTTTTCGAGTAAAGTTTGCAAGCGTTTATGGTGTTTTTCCAAGCTAGTCGCTGCATCTGGAGCCCCATCGTCCCACTTGATTGATTGTAGATGACCCTTGGTATTCATAGAAATGACAAAGGCTCGGTTCATTTCCCGGATCTGAGCTCGAAGCCTTCTACTAGAGTCATCTGACTTGATTTTGCTAAACGTTTTGTCCTCGCTTTCACTAAAGAAATCATCTAAGTAATTACCAAGGATTGCACTTGTGGCGAGGTTTTCGAAACGTTGGCCGATGTTCGTAAGATAAACCCTTATCTCCTCTGTATTTGATCGTCGTTTACCAATTTGGTCCAGTTTTTTCTGCCGTGCATTAACTGCTTGCTCCATTGTTTCGATTACCGACGGCAATTCCTCAGCGATGTGTTTGTAGAGAACGCTTCCAAGTTTGACACGAAGGGACTCAACCCCCAGATTCTCCTTTGGAAAACTTGCCCAAGGACCGGAACTCAGAAATTCTGCCTCGGACGCGTCTCGCTTATCATCCGACCAGTTTTTCTCGCTCTCAGATCTGTTTTTGAGAACGTGCCACTCGTGCTTCAGATAATATGACTTGTTCCTGTTGCCCACTAGTGTCAAGTATGTCTCCTCGCTTGAGGTCCCGTGTTCCAATCTGTCAGGTTGTGTAACAACGCCGATGGTGCGTTCCAACCTTGGATCGACATCTGGTTTGCGTGCTTCGGAAAGTACTTGCTGCATGACAGGGTCCACCTTTGCCGACACGACAGCAAGAATGATGCTGTTCTTTTGGCGCATGTACTTCAACACCAAGTCATTGACGATGGCACGGTCGGTTGCTGTCTGAGTCTCATTCTCAGCGTGATAGAACCCTGGAAGATCTACCAAGCTCAAGTCTGGGACGTCCGGATCGGAGATCTTGATACGAAGGACATCTTTTGAAAAGCCTCTCCCCTTGCGAATTCCCATGAGCTGTTTGGCGACTCCCACGATCTCCCTTAACTTCTCTTTGGTGTCGAAGGAGCCTAGCTTCTCACTGGCCTCCTTTCTTATGATATCCAATGGCTCAGTGTCCCAGTCAATGCTAACGGCAATGGCTATCTTTTTGGAATTTCGGAGAACCAGCTCCGTAGCAAAGCGAGTGCAGAGACCGCCATCCACTGGGAAGCGCACCCTTGAAATGGCTTCAAGGACAGAGCTTTTGCCGGACGATTGATCGCCAACAACGATAATTTGGGGTAGGGCCACAATGCGACCGACGCCTAGCCCCCTTAGCGCATCAATCTTGTCAAACAGCTCCTTTTGAGGTTCATGAAGTGACTTCAACGCAGCAACTGTAGGATCTATTGTTGCTTCGCCCATGATGTATTCTTGGCACGTTGATTGAATTTGTGTTCTTAGAGAATGAGACGGTTGAAATTGTCAAAAGATGAGATTGAGGAGATTTGAAATGATCTATTACAGTCCATCGAACCATTCTGACTCTTAAATAGGTTTGATTTCAGTTCATTATTCTCAGTTGAAGCGTTTTGATTACGAATGTTAGCGTAAGTTGTCGCCCACCCCTAGGTCCACCGCTGTATCAAGAGTTGCTTCTAAAACCAACAAATTAACCTCATTGGCTGGCCAGTACCAACACTCTGGCTCCAACAATAGCCACACTCGCCAATGTTGCAGGTCTCTAAATTCTAGGAGGCTATGTCGCACTAGTCTAAACTTTCTTTACAACCATTTGGCCTCGTTTCACAAAAACGGCGCTTCGATGTGCGTGCGTCACCTCCAAGCGCCTGGATGTGCATGGCATGACGGCCTGAACGCCTCAGGCCGCGCAGCTTATACTCATTTGAGACTCCAAGCGGCTAAACGTGCATCTGGTGGATGTCAATATCGGACAGCGTTGATTTTCCAACACCTTGTGAAGTACGTATTCACCGTGACCCAAAGGGGCACATTATTGAATCACGTTCGTTGCGAAAAGCTCAATGAAAGTCACTGCAGGGGTAAATGCGAGGCATGACATTGGCATGCACAGTAAGAGACGAAAACATGCTATCAAATCGACATCGATATGCTTCAAACTTTCACGTCATTTGTTTTATATGAAGACCGGTTTTGTATATGTTGCATTCAGTTTCAACCGTCTACTTATTTACGTTTTCTATCCTTAGTCTTCACTCCATGTGCGAGGCCAGCGATGGATGACGAAGCATCCAGAGCACCTGTCGAAAGTCTTGGCCAGGTCATACAGCTTCCTCAATTGATATGGTCAAGGAATCTACATACCATGATGAGATTGGAGGAACTCCACATCAAGTTGCCCCGCCTTTCGTCAAATTGTTGGCCTTCCGAAATTGGCAGAGTAGACCCGCCATTTCGAAAACCCCCAACATGCCGCGGGGCCTTCAAACCATCAAGCCATCACAATGCCACTTTACACATCGTAAACCTAGTCTCCAATCATGACCTCGTGCTTTAACGTCCCTATCAATCTCTCGCGCTTAGAGAATGATCGCCTCAAACTGGTCCCGCTAAAGGTAAGCATCCGCCAATTGGAGCGCTAGTACACACAGGCAGTTCATACATGGCCAGGATAATCTCGAGGAATGGGGCGCGGCCTGGGTCGAGGACGGAATTCGCAACTCAAAAACCTACGACTGGCTTACTTATGGCCCCTTCGCTAGTGGCGCTGAATATGTATTGTGGTACAATGACAACTGCCGCAACGACACCAGCACCCTCCTTTTAGCTATCCTTCTCAAGGCTGGCACCGTCACTCGCAGAGACCCAGTCACTGGTGAGACGGCCAGTGCCGAAATCGCCGACGGAACCTTTGCTGGGCTCTGCGGCATTGTCAGCCAGCCCGAGCGCGCTACCATGGACATGGGGCAGCTGCTGGTTAGCAGCTTCCAGCGAACATTTGTAGGCACACACTCTAATGCTTTGATATTGCATTACTGCTTGGACAGCCCTGCGGAAGGAGGACTGGGGTTGAGGAGGGTGCAGTGGCAAGCGAACGCGAGCAATACAGCGAGTGTGAATGCGGCCAAGAGGCTGGGGTTCCAGTGGGAGGGCCTAATACGGTGGCAGCAGGTGTTACCGATAGGCAAGGTGGGAAGCGAGGGTGCCGGAATGGATAGAGAGGGTTTGCCGAGGACTGGTTGGGATGGAAGAGAATGGGGCGCTGGCAGACACACTGCCATGTTGAGTATTTGCTGGGAGGATTGGGTAGATGGTGGGAGAGAGCATATCGATGCACTCGTTAGAAGGTAATTATACTGTTAACAAGTGAGGATTGAACTTCCGTATTAGGTCACCCTGTAAGCATCCTCAAGCGACCACCCGCTGCTATCTTACCCGGGCAATTTTTGACTCCAAAATGAAGAATTCCTCTGAAGTTTTCTCCATTCCTCATATCTCAAATACTCCCGTCAAAACAGCCCATATTCAGAATGAAATGGTGTATGAATTCACCAAGAAACAACAGGTAGCACTCCACCATAATATGGCTACGAAAATGCGGGGGACCTAAGCCCTGGATCATCAGTGCTTGTGGCATGCTCTTGGTTTTCACGATTACTTTCTTCACCCTTGGCAGAATCGAGCCTTCCTTGATGCTCGCAGTGCCACAGGAAAATGAAAACACATTCTTGCGCTTGGACTGTGGCAATAGCATACCCGAAGCTCGTGGGAATTCATGTCTCTACGATGTCATGGCTGCAGCTTGGGTACCTGAGCCTTGTTACCAGCCGGCGGTGGCAGATCGGTACCTCGCTATGCACCCATGGAAGTTTTACGCTGATCCCGAAGGCAAGGATGAAATTGAAATTAAAGAGGTGCAAAATGGGGACTATGTTCACATGTGGACAAGTAATGCTTTTCATGTAGCGTACTGCCTGTATGCGTGGGAGAGGTACTTGGTCGCAATCGACAGCGGTTTGCCGGTTAATAGTCAGGCAAGCGTTGCTCACCATGCTGCGCATTGCAGCATGTTTGCAATGAATGACAATATCACTCGCGAAGCAGTTCAAACGGAGATTAAAGTTGCATACTTTTCCTGCCCGGCTGAATAAGGAATACCATGACACCGGGAGGAAGCTTGGCGCAAAATGTTAGATGACAGGTCCTCACGTTTAAGTCAGGACGAGATGCGGATTCCCTCAACCAATCATGTAGGCTAAGATGATGACTGCATCGGAGCAGACAGTCGAATAAGGAGTTCAAGATTAGCGTCTTAGCAACGGACAACAACCCTCCCATGCCAGATCTCAGTGAATTCATGATATATCCATCATTGGTGAATGAGATGACAGTGAATACAGGCGAAGGTTAGGTGTTGTCAGCAACGACCTAAGAGATTCAGATACGGCTGACATTCAATGAGTTATCTTTGCTTCATCTTGTAACCGGGCTTCGAGAGCCCTTGACTGCTTTCGTTGTTTGCGTTGTTCAATCTTAGGTTCGGAGACTTACACGGCCACTGCGCAATTTAGCGCACGAACGCAGGACTCTGACCTACCTCTAAGTGGAAGAATTGCGGCCCGATGCAAGACACTGCGTAACTTGAGACCACGCTTCATCATCCATAGCCACGCTGCCTTTTTAAGGTGAAACTCGTCCACGGTGAAACCGTTGGATGAGAGCAATTGCGTTGCATGGGCAGAATGGCTTGACTTGCATTAGTGCCAGAAGCACGCGGATGCCCCCCATATTTACTATACAGCCATTAGGCATTTTCTTCAGGGAGGCGGAGCACATCACCTCGATCTTCTGTAAATGGCCTCTCAGGTAGCCAATATAGTACCATTCAGAACGATTGTCCTGGGTGACTGGCTGCTATCAAAATAACTGGTGGGCCAGGCCGATCCATTGGATTTACGCCATCGGATTGTACGTATGGTCAAGCCACCACTTTGCAAGGGGCCGAAGACATCCGCTTACAGGGCACCTGGCCAGCCGGCCACTGCTCGTCACCCACCCCCCCGCAGCTCCAGGTCATTGCAGGAGGAAGGGTTCCTGCCATTGCTTGGGATGCAAAATTAGTCGTTTCAATTGGGAAACTTGATCCGTGTGACACCGGCGCCTGGGATCGCGAGCAGCCGGGGTCGCGGGAAGACCTTATCGCTAGAGTACGTGGACCCTAGGTTTCTGAAAACTTTCAATTTCTACCGCACTTCACCCATGTCATCTGTTCTACACGGTACCTTGACATTGAAGATACAGCGACCGAACACAAGGTTTTAGCATGCAATAAGAGCGACAAGGCCAGTGATCGAAAATTCCAGAAGATATTAGTTACTGCTTTAGTCAGAGTTAAGTTTCGATTTTCAAACAAGTGAACCCTGGAAGTGCCGTATTTGGATGGATCATACATCATTGGTGCGATGCCAGTTTCGATATATCCAAGATTTTGGAATTTGCGAACTTCTTCTACATATACATAGACCACTGAAGCGGACAGATATCACTGCCGAACCGCTCAATCATTAGGTGTTGATTTGTAGCCTCACTGCGAGGTTCATACCCGTGCAGCGCTGCGTCCGGGGAACCAGTCCCACTGCAGGGGCTGAATGCCTTTGTTTCGCTGCCTCGTTGCGTGAATGACGCAGTCTGCTCGAGGACGTTGAGAGAATCGAGGCTGCATGTTTCTGGAAGATCCACGCCAAGCCGCCCCGGGCCGCCAGACGTCTGTCGCCGTCGCTCACCTCTGCTTGTAGGCACAAAGCGTCCTGAATATTCGCCTCTACGCCCGGCCTCAGCTCAAGAAATACGGAGCAATGGCCTGCCTTTCTGGCCACAGACCTTCTCTCCTTTCTCCTTTTCTTTGCTGCTCATCCTAAACCCCTCTCATCAGGTGTCTTGTTCGAAGACTGAACATCGCTGAGTTGTTACTAAAAACGCGACTTCGACAACCAGCAACATTCGGGATTGCATCAGCCCCTAGGTGGGCAGCAAGGTAAGCGTCCTAGCTCCACCATCACCCTCCCTGCTAGTTGGCAAGGTTTATCTTAGTCCCCGTAACGTTGGCTAATCGATCTGGGACAGGCACTGTCACTTTGACCGTGTGGTTGACAAACGAGCCACACCACTCTACCTCGCAACGCTACCGCGCCACATTTGTCCTGTCACTCTTGCTAGGCTTCCTCGAAGCTTATTGAATGTGATTCAGCCTCTCATCGGCGTACGGAGAAACTAGATTCCCTGCATTCAAGTAGCAGAAGGTCATCATGTCCGGCTGGTCGGCGCCTCAGACTGGGTCGGCTCCGGGCACTGACGACTTCGCTACAGATGTCAATTATGCCTGGAATCCTGACTTCGACGCACTGGAACATTTCAACGAGTTTGGTAACGAAGCCAACCTTCTCAATGGGGTTGGGCTTGGTTTCAATAACGAATCTGATTTCGGGAACTTCTACGCCTACAACTTCGGACCCACTCCGGATCAACAGCCCGTGTGGGGCGCCGTTGTACCGGCCGGGCTCACCGTCACTCTGGGCGACAACGCCGGGCTCATGACAAACCCAGACAGCCCCGGAACTGCCACTACGGTCAGTAGTCCCGGCCCAGGTGAGGCTCCCACACGGTTGCTATTGAGAAGAAGGCTGCCCCGGCCAAGGTATGTTATCGGGCTTTTTAACATCCAAATTTCACATCTCGTCGTCGATGCACGCCAAATTTGCTAACTTTTATCAGGCGCTCCCCGCCACCACCACGAGTGCAGTGTACCGTATGCACCAAAACTTTCCGCGATAACCACACGTTGCAACGGCACATGAATTCGTGCCACGGAGATGATAAGTACATTTGTGCTTGTGGTCATGTATGCGTAGCTCGCAAAGATAATTATCGCCGGCATCTGGCGGAATGCGAGCACCAGGGCCAGAATCCAATCTGGATATGCATCTGTGGTAAACAGAGTGCTCACAAAGGGGCGCATGAGGAGCACTTTGAAGACTGTCGCTTTGGACAAGCCCGTGGTCGAGGACGACCCCCAAAACAGTGAGAGCATGGGCTCATGCATGTCTTTCCCTCTCAGCTTGGCGGTCTCCTTTTATCTTGGATCGGGTGCCTTGATTCTTTTGGTTTTATGTTTTTGTTTCACACTGGAAACCAGCCTCTAGCCCTTGACGGGGTTTTTCCCTACCGGAGGGTAGTTTTTACCTGTCACCATTGTTGCGGACGAGATCTGTGTCCCTATCTCAGCTGCAAGACCGTTGCGAAGAGGTGTCAACAGAGACGATCTCTAGATTTCCATTGTCGCAAATTGATTTCAATCAAAGCACTGCAGTCTTCCTATGAGCCATTGAAGTATCAACTAATCATAAGATGGGCTTAACATAACAAACCAGCTCCAGCGATTTCAAAGAATCACTCCGATGTTGTAGATTTCATGAGACTCAGTGCTGCAATATAAATATTCTTGGAACGATGTAGATTGAAATGATAGAAGCCATGTCTGATGTTCGATCCCTCAACACGTCCGGAAAGTTACGCATATGGTGAGTTGAGGCGATTTATGGTAGCCAAAGGAGATTCTAAGAAAGTAAAATAACCGGGGCAATTGAGGCTATTTATTTAGGTCCAATCGCTGCAAGCGCTGGTAGGCGGCCACCAAACATCATTTACGGATCACATTCACCGAACTGGGGGGGAGTTTTGAGAATGGCAGACTGTTCAAGAGCCAATTAGACCACTCCTTGTCGGTGACTGGTGGACGAGCTGTGCGCAATGTCAAACTCACTGTGAGGCGAATTGTTTTGAAAGGTTGGCTATCAATTTTCGCCTCAACTGGATCAACGTTCAAGCCTTGGTCAACGTATGATGTTTTTGAAGAATGATCTAGTGTCGGCTTGGTTCTCACCGAACTTCCATGACTAACTTATGATTTTCTCATTCGTTTGATGTTTGGGCTGTAAGAAAAATTCGCCTCAGATTCCGCAGGAGCTTTCACAACATCACATCTCTCAACTTTTGAGTATAAATTCGATGTCGGAAGCCGTCCAAATGCTTTCGAACCGTTGCCTATGTAGCTCGATTCCGAATCCTGATTCTTCCATAAAATGAGAGAGGAGACCTTGAGGGGCGAACTTATCCTCATTCGCGTGTTACAACCAAAATGGTACATTTTACCTGCCATGCGCGTGATTCACATGCGGCCTTGAAACGATCACACTGGCCTCAGGGATCAAGTAATCTTCAAAACCTACAAGTTCACGACGAATCTTTTGTTGGTTTTGTTGTTGGCAATCATTCGCAATCCCCATGCTACCAGATCCAATTCCTACTGGCACAAAATGAGCAGCGACGTATCTATCGTGTTAGCGACATCAGTGACCCCGAGGAATCTACATTGGAAGCTACAGTTCTCGATGCCTCAGAGGCACAGGTCAGCTCGGCTGCTATGAGACGAGCCATTAAGCGTATTTTTCGCTCCCAGAATTATCACTGCGAAATTGTCCAAGGGGATAAGCGATTTCTCATCTCTAACGTACAAAGGAATGAAGCGGAAAGACGGAATCTCTGGGCACTTCCTAACAAAAAGATTGTCAATCACCCGAGCAGCGACTTCCCCAGACTGTCCGAACAAAACGGAAGATTAGGTCAGGCAGAGCAAGGCTTGCCTGAGCCATGCACCTTGAGTTATGCAGAAGTCGCCGGAGGAGAGCTCGGGAGACGGAAAAGTGCCCCTATCAGCATCCCGAATGGCGGCAGTTGCTCTAGATCCACGTCAGGCACGCCTTCTACAGGTGACTCAACAGAGACCAGTTTGACCTACGCGCAGAAACTTGCAAGTGGCCTGACCTTAAAGGAACATTCAAAAACAGTGAAGGGAGTCAAACAACGAGGACGACGCCAGAGAATGCGCCAGGACAGACGCTCAAAGGGTGAGCCATAATAAATTTGAAGGAGACTTTATCGAAGGGCTTTTAGACCAACGAGAACAACTCCTGGTTTTGCAGGAGGCAACTTTCAAGGTCCGTCTCTTCGAACAACCTTGAAATATTATGGAGTGCACAAGCTTCCTTTTTAGAGGTTGCAGATTGTAAATCTACTTGATCCGCCTGAGAGAACGTTGCGTTTTGTGAGCTATTCTCATTCTCTTCCTTGACTTCTGCTTAGGTGGTCCCATGAATTGGACGTGCTACTTGAAGACTCGTCGTGTCACCGTATGTCTGCAAATTGTGTCCTCAACCCTTCTGTCAACCATGGCAATACAGCATAGTAACAATACAATGAATTTAGGCTGGACACGAAAAGGGGGACTTTACATTTGATTAGAGAATCTAAAATTAACAGCAGCAGCCAAAATTAATGGTTGGTGTATTGTGCACGAATAGGATGTTTGCCAAGCCGAGATTCTTGGCACAGCCAGGGAGGTCATCGAATGAAAATGCGCGCCCCATGCCCCTGAGACCTCAGCTCAGGTACCACAACCTATCTTTAGGCGAGCTGATCCCGACTATAGTACCACACGCATGCACGATGAAACCGCCAAAATACATACGATCAATACGGCGTAAGAAAAAGAAAGCATTGGTTGTGGTTTTTTGCCGCGTTGTTGTTTCTGCCGCTTTTGCAACATGGTTATTCCCTTCAAGGTCGGCGGATGAAATTAGAAGGCGGCCAAGAGTTGCCATCCGAGCATCGTAGTGGTGCTTCATTAAGAGTACTTCAGTGAAAGCTTGAGAATGGAGTAAGACGGGGTGATTTTTATTTTGAAAGGGAGGAATCAACATATTCCAACGAGCTGTCAACGCATATATAAAAGATTAGAAAGACCAAGCGGACTTTCGAGTTTTGAGGATGCTTCTCAATATACCCTGTACAAGCACACACCTATCCAAGCTTCTTTCTACGAACGAACTCTTAAATTTCTATCTCAGTAACACAAAAGCAGCCACTAGAAAATGCATTTCAGTCTTTTCACAATCACACTTGCACTGGCTGGCACGACGCTCGCTAGCCCAGCACTGCTACCTCGAGCAGATGGCTACTGCAACACAGACAAGGTCGTCACTGGTGTTGGCGGCTATACCATTCATTATCCGGCCCTCAGCTCCGGAGGCTCCTGCATCATGAACAAGGGTGCAGAAGGAAAGGGCGTGAAGGACCTCCAAACATCGCTCAATCATTGCTACGGCAAGAGCCTGAGTGTGGACGGTGACTATGGAGACAAGACGAAGGCGGCTGTGCTGGCCGCTCAGAAGTCAATTGGGCAAGGCCTCTCCAAGGATGGCATTTGGGGCCCAGCTACTGGGAGTAAAATGAATTGGTGGGGAAGCAAAAAGGTTGCACAGGGAACTGAGACAGCATATAGCTGCATCAAGGCTATACTGTAGTCGGACCAAGTGAGACACGGAGGTTATTTCAACCGATGCTTGGGTACCTATAATGAGAAACAAGAGATGCTTTGTGGAATTGGGTTTGGATTTAGTGGATGCATATGTCTAAAAGCAGTGTAGCCCTGATATACCATGTATGTTGTCTAACAGCTGACTAGCCAGTTACGCTGAAGAATCATGGTTCATTTCACCTGATTGAGCGTCAATCCTCACATGTCCTAAAGGGCATCCTGGCCCTGCTCTTATTATGACATTATCGCTATTATGTCGGCTCCTTAAAGTGGGTAGAAGTAAGCGTATAATGTCTGAAGTTATTAGAAAAAGAAAAGGCGGTTCCTATAGGTGTATGTTTAGTAGGACGTCTACTTTAAAAAAAAAAACAAATATAAAAGGAAAAGATAAGCCAAAGAAGCTTTCATATATTATGTATTATGGTCTTATTACCTTTCTTTCTACTAAGTTTATATACTATACTTAGATATCAAAATCTCCCATATAACCTACATTTTCTATAAGAGTAAGTTATCAACGTTTATTAACTATCAAAACGTTGGCTAATTTTTCGATAGTAGAAAAAGATAGTAAATAATTTAGATTATAATAATATATCAAAAAAGCTATCAAAATCTCTAGCTAAAGCCAACAAAAAGCTAAGGAAGAATATAGAGATGACAGTGACAAATTCGAAAGGTTTAGCCCACCTGGGCAGGTGTTGAAGGCAGTCTTTGAACAGCTTGAGGAAAGCAGCTGCTCAATTCCGTCCGCTTGCCTAAACCATCCCTGCGTCGTACTGCAATAATGGCTAGTACTCCATTGACGATCTCTAGGGTGATTATGCCGCCTAGAAATGAGCAGTGGATGAAGAGACCCAGCCAAATGGCGACCACCGAGGCTCGGCGGAACACCTTTTTCACACGCACACAGAGAGCTACAAAAGTTGAAACCCCTGCTCTCATCCCATATAAATATACTATACTAGTACTCCAATGGCCCATGATTGTCAGATTGCAGAGCATGCGATTGAAGAAGAATCACTGTATCTTCATCACTTGCATCAATTCTACCGAGTCATTGCTTAACCCAGGTAACAGTCGCGCAACTCGAACAACCATATCATTGACTGGCCGGTCGAGTCGGCATCTGCTTCCACCACTGGTTAACAACTACGCACCGGAAGGACCTAAGCGCGACGTGACAATGTCGCTGCGAGAGACGGCACCGAACGAGTCGGCCGGCCATGGCCATGGCCAGAAGACACCCTCCGAGAAAGACACGGATGCAGAGCTGGAAACGAGCGTCGACAGCGCGAAGGAGACCGACAACTTGCCGCGTGTAGAGGCTGAGGCTGAGGCGGCAGACAAGTACCCGCACGGCGGACGGCTGGTGGTGATCATGGCAGCTCTTTGCAGTGCCATGTTCCTTACTGCTCTCGATCAGGTAAGCATACCTCAGCCGCTCTCGTACCCCCACGTCTAGCACAAGGCGGCTGCGGACGGGATCCGAACGTGATGCCGGACGTCGTGGGATGTTTCGCTAATTCAACCAACACGGACAGACGATCATTGGCACGGCCATTCCCAGGATAACAGACGAATTCCATGGTCTTGACAAGGTATCGTGGTATGCATCAGCGTACTTCATGACCTTCGGCGGCTCGCAGCCGTCATGGGGCAAGGTGTACCGCTACCTGCCGCTCAAGATGACCTATCTGGTGTCCCTGTTCATCTTCGAGTTGGGCAGCCTGATCTGCGGCGTGGCGCCCTCGGCCAACGCGCTGATCGTGGGCCGGGCGCTGGCCGGGCTGGGCGGTGCTGGCCTCGCGACTGGAGTCCTAACCATCATCGCCTTCTCAGCGCCGTCCGAGATGCGGCCCATGCTGATCGGCATCAACGGCTCCATGTACGGCATCGCGTCTGTGTGCGGGCCGCTTCTCGGCGGCGTATTTACTCACAAGGTCACCTGGCGCTGGTGCTTCTACATCAATCTGCCAATTGGCGGCGTCGCTGCCATCGCCATCGTCTTCTTCCTGAAGCCCCCCAGCGCCGCCAAGCCGGTCAAAACCACCCTTGCAGAGAAGCTGTTGCAACTAGACCCGGCGGGGATCGCCCTCTGCATGGGGCTGATCGTATCGTATGGCCTAGCACTCGAGTACGGCGGGCAGAGCAGAGCGTGGAATAGCAGCACCGTCATCGGCCTGCTGGTAGGCTTCGTCCTCATCGGCGCCGCATTCGCCGCCTGGGAGATATACCAGAGCGACCGGGCCATGCTCCCGCGCCGCATCCTCTCGCAGCGCAAGGTCTGGTCCTGCAGCCTGTACGCCTTCGTCCTGGCCGGCTCGTACTTCATCTCGCTCTACTACCTGCCCATCTACTTCCAGAGCATCCAGAACGTCAACGCGCTCGTCTCGGGCGTCCACAACCTCCCCGCCGTCATCAGCATCGTCTTCTCCACCATCGGGGCGGGCGCGATCGTCTCCAAGACGGGCCACGCGATACCCGTCGCGGCGGTTGGCTCGGTGCTTGCCACCGTAGGCGCCGGCCTCTTCTATACCTTAGACGAAGGCACCTCGATTGGGAAGTGGATCGGATATCAGATCATCGCCAGTTTGGGATGGGGCCTTTCGTATCAGATGCCCAACATGATAGGCCAGTCCGGAACCCCGGACAGCGACCTTTCGACTGTCAACGGTATTATTCTCTGTAAGTTACATCCTTCTCTCCAGATCCAAAATGAGCCACAGCTAATCTTTGGCCATCTTCGTTACTTAGTCTTTCAAGTTCTGGGAGGTAGCTTCGGTATAACCGCCTCACAGAGCGGTTTCAACAACCAGCTGATTCGCACAGCGGCCACTACTGCCCCGACAGTCAGCGCGGCGGCACTCCTCGGGACGGGCGCCACCGATATTCACACCGCCTTCTCCGCCAACCAGATTCCCGGCATTGTGCTGGCATACTTGGCCGGCCTCCGCGTGGTGTGGGCCATTACCATCAGCTTGGCCGGGGTCTCGCTTCTTGTCACGGCGGCCGTCAGCTGGAAGAGGCTCCATGGCGTGACTGCGGGCGGTGCGGTGGCCTGAACACCGCCCTAACTTGTGGCCTTGCTGTCCTGTTATGGGGGTTCAAAACACGATACTTGAGAATCAATAGCGGCGGGGCTTTGGGATCCATTGCGTATTCGGGGTTATACCATTCATTTGTAGCTAGATGTGACACAAGACTGTTTTAGATAGCTGTGACGCTTACTTCTTTGTAATATTATCTTTTTGATGTCGGACTTGATGCGTTGAAAATGCTCATCTCCTTGAGATCGATAGGTATAGAGTTATATATATGGAATATCATCGTAGAGAAGAGGCAAGTCAATACAATGCATCTACTTATACAGGGGTTTCCGGAAGACTGTTGCTTGACAGTAGACGACGGTAAAGCTACCTCGCATTGAAGAAATCTAAATCCACCCCCTGAAATGCCCAATCGTCAGCGCCCTCGATCAAGCTCGGATTCCAGTATTGCTGAAGCGGAAACTCCTCGAGGCCAAGATGGCGTAAGTCCGCCATGGGCTGTCCCGAGTCTAGGCTTGCTGTCGACGCCTCGCCTGCCACGGCTGCTCCAACGGCTACATGCGATGGCAGTTGTAGAAGATTCGAGGAAATCATTTCGCTGCGTACGCCATCGCCGGGCAGTATCGGTATGTGAAACTCTCTGCCACCCTGGGGCTCCGAAACGGGCCATCTCCGCTCGGCTTCGGGCTGGATAGGCGACTGAGGAAAAGCAGCGGCAGCATCGTCCACTTGGCCCGGCACCGCGTTTGCGGGACTTTCACGTTTGATGATCACGACGCCAAAGTACGGGATCGAGATACGAAGCACCATGATCCCCTCCCACAGGCCCTCGTACTCCCCGTCGTCAAAGTGCTGGCTCCTGCCGGGCTGCTGGACGCACTGGGCCGTGTAGCGCCCGCCCTCGGCGGCGTCGTCCTCGAGCATCAGCAGACAGCGCAGAATCCTCACGCTCGCCCCGCTGATGGGGCTATCGTTGGCCCGGTGGACACTCTTCATGGCGTCGAGGATCTGCTCCATGGTCGTACGGTCGCAGAGGCGCTGGTGCTCCAGGACAGCGCTGCTGGGCTGGGCCGGGCGGCGCAGGTGGCTGTCCAGATGCGCCAGCAGCAGCGTGATGGCGGCCATCAGCGAGAGGAAGTCGAACGTCAGGCACGAGCCCGACCCCTGTCTTAGGGAGCGGTAGCTTAGGTAGCGGATGAGGACTTCCCTGTTCGCGTTCATGCAGGCGAGCTTCGACGAGTCGCTAGAGCAGTCCCCGTTGAACTTGAGAAGCCGGGGGAGATGGAGCTGGTTGATGAGGTTGTAGTGAAACACCTGCGACATGCCGAGCCACGTCTCCTTGTACTCCTCCTGCGAGTCTTGTTCGTGGTGGTGAAAGTTGGGATGCAGCCAGAATTTGACCGGCATGCTCTTAGCGGCCCGAAGCAAGTCCGCATCGAGTGCTGAGGTCATGGCGCATTCCTCTCCCGGGAGTAGCTCCCGTCCATCCATGCGCTCCAGGATGCGGGCCGCAATGACGGCGTGGGCTCGGTCTAGGCGGTCGAGTGGATCGTCATGGGCAATGTCGAGAGACTTGGGCTCTATATTGACATCCGTGCTCGCCTGCGGGAACCCAAGCACCAGGCAGTAGTATCTGTCACAGTACAGGATTCGAAACCATACCGTCTCGCGGATGATCTCGGTCCTGGGATCAATTGTCTTGAACTTGCGGTTGCAAGATTGGTGGATGCCCATCTGCTGGGCAACCAACAAGGCCCTTCGGTTGGCAAGCCAAGCCCCCCGGAGGTATCCGCCGCCCTCATGGAAGGTTGCCTCCATTTGCATGCACGCAAGGCTCTCGAGTGTACCGTGGAACTCTTCGTTGGTCGTGACCAAGGCAATGGCTGCATCGACCAGACGTTCCATGATGACAGCATGCGGCTCGGAGAGACCGACGTCCCCGAGGGTGTTGTGGCAATTTTGCTTCTGGAGGGCCAAAGCCATGCACAGCATCTGCTTGGCTGTGAGGATGGGGTGAGTGTTGATGGTGGCAGGCTCCAAGTCCATGGGTCCTACATGTGGCAGCGACACTCCAGAGCTGTCGGGTCTCGAAACCCGTAGCCACATGTACAGCGGGACGGTCCGAAGTGCCTTGAGGAGTATATCTGTGTCTCGCTTGGACGGGTAAGCAAGAAGCAGGGCGCGGGATATTTCCCCATGGTCTCTTCTGTTTCGCACGATCCTCGTGAGGCTAGTCGGTCGATTATTGCACTCTTCATCCTGCTTGCTCAGTTAGATGCAACTTCTACCCTGTCAAGGCCAGTGGAGAATCTGCAAGTACCTCCAAAGTCGCATCAGTCAGGCAGGGCGTTGGAATGCCCGGCTGACGACTGGGCGTTGAGCTGGCCTCATCTGTGGGTTGACCGCCGCCGACACGCTGCGCCAGGTTGCTTACAAGTGCCTCGACCCTCCCTAGGCGGTCGACGATGGCCTCGTCTTGGCGTGGCTCCGGAGTGATGAGCTCTTCAGGCACATCTTGCCCGACGCATATGGAGCCCCGCCGCTGACAGTTGGAACAGACCCTACTCTGAGGAGATGGGAACGAGCACCGAACCTTTCGGCGCTTGCACGGCCAACAGCTGCGCGTCCCTTTCCGGATCTTCCTGCGCCTGTCCGAGAGTTCGGGTTCGGAGTCCGGGGATGACGGCTCGAGTGCCCTTGGATGCCGACTTATTCCAGAATCCATAAACTCAAATTCTTGTGAAAGCTGAAGAGAAAGCCAAACCATAAGGTAACATTATGCTGCTTCATGAATATGTTCATTGCTTGGGTTTCCTAAGAGCGCTTCCGCCGAGATTGCTCGGATGCTGTCTCCACCGAGCCTCGGCGGAAGAATTGGGACGCTTACATTCATGCCCACCCTACAGCAAACGTGTGGCGTACCTGGAGCTACTCTCAAGCACAACAATTGGAGTCAAGGTCCAGGCCGGGATCCGGGTGGCCCTTCTCGAAGTTTATCAAAGGGGAGTTGTATGTACATCAGCAAGTAAGGTCCAACTTTATTCGCCTGCGTTGCTATTGTAGAAGCGCTGCAAAGCACGTTAAATACTACCTGGATTAAATCAATGTCAAGCGTCGCTAATAGCTGCAACAACACTCCCATCTATAAAACAGCTTTACTTCGATTGGCATGCTCTCCTTTATCCCCCCTCTCTTCACTCATCTTCAATCAGTGACAATCACTACCAGGATCCGCCATGCTACCAGCAAATATCGCCCCTATCTATCGATCAACACGGAATCCCCCATAAATTCTATCAAACAACCGTCAAGATCGGAAGCATAAAGAGACGTTGCCTGTTCGCTTGGCTAGCTGATCTGTTTGATAAAGGGAAAAGGGTCAGCCATATCGAGGAAGGCACGCATTTGCATCCGGACAGCGCAGGATATCATTATCGATTGTGTGTCTCTCGCTCGCTGGCTAGCAGGCTCATATGGAGCTCGAATGTGTTGGGCTCCTAGTTGCTCTTTTTGTTGACACCCCCGAGATTATCCTGAACAGTGCCCCCAATGCTTCCCTCGGTCGTAAACTGTTTGCCAATGACACCATCCTTGTCTAATGGCCCCCCAATCTTCTGCGCCATGCCGCCAATGGCACCTTGCTCTATCGATGGCGTCAGCTTCCGAGATTGTCCAACCAGATACGCATTTCCGCCTGCGACCATACCTGTGAATTGCTTGCCGATAGATCCATCAGCGTCAAGTGCTTTGGGCGCGTCATCGCCCACACCGGCAGTGGCGGGCGTTTTGGTGGAGGAGGCCATACCGCCATCTGCCTTGGGACCATAGCGCTCAGACATTTTTACTGTAAAAATTATTGTTGTTTGAGATCTTAAGCGAAAAACTTCTCAATTTTATCTCAAACAAGAAGTAATACATGAGGAAAATTCGAGATCATTGAAATAGGGAAAAAGGCTGGTCTATTTCTCAACAGATGCACTATCATGACGACATGAAGGCACGTGTTCTAAGCCTCTCATTTTCGATGAGGTCATCATGAGCACCACTCTTCGTAGATGGCCACAGGCTGCCAGTGAGTCAGCAGCCTGTAAAAGCCGAAAGGGGGTGGCTTGAGAACCCTAACCCTGTGCTTGCGTTTGCATCAGCTCATGAACAGTGGTCTGCCTAACTTTATGATGAACAAACCTCTTACTGTAGGTTTGTCTTAACCGCTTTCAAGTTAGTTTAGATGATACAACTCATTCTTTCCCAGACAGGACAGTTGATTGTCTTTGTAGTATAATAATGTGCCTTGTAAGCTGGCTTAAAAGATTCTGATGTATGAACTTAATATAGGTAGCAATCTTCTATTTATTAGATAATCTACTATGAAGTATGTGCCTCATCCAGACAACATAATCACTCTCATCATGTGTTCAATGTTCTTCATAGGTCTAAGTGACTTTCAAAGTATCGATGATGAAAGGTGGGTCTTTGATTGCAATTATGTCTAGAAGTTTGCAATGATCAGAACAGGAGTTACTTTATCGTGCTTGATACATATACACGGTGCGATGAGATCCTTTGATCAAGTTGGAATGAGTCAAATTCTTATCTTACAAACAATTATATAAGAGTACAGAAAGAAAGGCAAGGCAAAGCCTCACAAGGATCAGCTGTTCGGGATTCGAATGTCAAGCTCAAGTGGAGAGGACTAAGCTTAGGAACACTTGCTATCAACTCAGGCTGACTAGCATAAAGTATACCAGGTAAACATAGGGGGGAGTTTCAGCGACCACGTGAACCTGTCGTCGCCCACCTTTCCAAGACATTCCCCGGGGTTCTTTTGTTTACCTCCTTAACGCCCGTGACTCGCTCGCCAACCCTCACTCGTGAACGACGATCACACTCTCGATTTCATTTTTCTATCCACCCACCTCATCGACGATTAGGGTTTTCTGACAAAGCCTTTTTGTTTGTATTTGCCTTGGCAGAAAACCCTGAAACTGTGCCTCACTTTATCCTCTACTAAACCTGCAGCGACACTACCCGACAATACCGCTGTACCCGTCGACCACCACGATGTCAGAGCCGGCATCCTTCGATACCCTTCCTCTGGAGGTAATGGGCATGATCATGGTTGACCTTTCACTTGAGGATGTGAAACATGTAATCCAGTCATCCAAGAAAGGGCTGGAAGGTCTGCAGGCTCAGCGCCGCACAATTCTCGCCAGGGCGGTCAAGAATACAATCGCGCCAGAGGCCTAGGATGCCGCTGTTGCTTTTGTTCGATGTCCTATACATGTGGAACTTGTCCCAGAGTATGTATTCTCCCTTTGCGATGAATGCCATAATACCCTTGTTCATCAGGTCGTGGCTGTTCTGTGCAGTATTGTCTTTCACCCATCCAGGCTTCATATTCGATCATCGATTCGCCTCAAACGAGATTGGTTGAATTTTCATCATGGCCAAAAAGCTAAACATTACTTAATCAGGAACGAGCGCAGTCAAGAGAAGTTTGGTCTTCGTCCGATTCTCAAAGGCAAGATGGCTCTAACCACTTGCCCCGAAAGAAAGCAAGTGATGACCGCCTTCCTTGACCAGGTCTCATCTGGTGAGCTGAGAGATGCTGAGCTGTGCGACGAAGACGAAGTTATCGCTGTCTGCAAGCTTTGGAATCTCGTCAAAGGATTCATCGCAGACTTCTCCCAGCGAACCATTGAGAAAATTGAAGCTTTTGCCATCTGGCCCAAGATCAAGTCAGCCAACACTCGAGTGAATCTCGTAAATGATCCCACTTCTCTACACGATATCAGCTTTCTCAAGACAATCCACCAAAATGAGCTTGCTCGTCTGCAGCGTGGATTCTTCGGCTTCGAGCTCATCTGTCGTGTTGTCCGCCCCCGACAGATCTACACACAGACCTTCTCCCCCAGACTGTTCAAGAAAATGCTGCGATCTCTTTTCCCACGATGGCAGGTAGAGGAGCTGGCTACGGTCTGGGACTATCTTCGCAATCAGTATCTCCACGTTCGGCACGAATGGAGTGCAGCTTGCATTTCATCCCTCCCTCGGCCTGCTCAAATCGAGGACATCCTCAACCCATATGCGGCGCTTGTTACTCCTGGAGACAGCGTTAGCATCGACGAATTCCCGACTGAAGACAACGGGCGTTTTACCGCACCTTCTACATGCTGCTTCGGGGCACTCCCTGGCCTAGGCCTCGCTTTCTTCTCTAAGCTCCTACACCAGGATCCCCAGACTCGACATGATACTCTCCGAGACTTGAGACACATCTTGGCTCCATGGAAATCCCGTTCTTCCCACTGGGTAGGCCCCCAGATTCTGGTTGATTTGCTATGGCTACAAGTCAACGTTGTACGAGACAGGGATGCCTACCTCACCCAGCAGTGCGCTTCTTTCGGCCCCGACCACTGGAATGCCGGCTGGACGCTCTATACCCGCTGGTACAACAACTCGGATCTGCGGCGTGCCGGTGTCATTTTCTGGGAGTTCAAACGCCTCTTCGCCATCCTCTGCCTACCAAAGGAGACCTACAAGGCTCACAAGATTGTCAGCGCGAGACCCGACCTCCGACTTGCTAATCTCGCCATGCACCCACATCCTCTCCCGCTGCTTCCTGTGAGCTACGAACATCTCGCAGGATGGTTTGTTCTCAAGGACGACTGGGAGGCATTCGAGAGGGCTTGGGGCAACAAGACCTACGAGAAAGAGGCTAGGGAGGAAGCAACTGTCAAGTTCCTGCAAGACCTCGAGAACCCTGAGCGAGCCTAAGTTTTCCAATCAGCCTGACAAGCTGAGATTCCGTGTCAGCAATCTTCTTGTTGATGATCAGCTGCCTCTTTGGTGGAACCTATAGTCAGATCCATGACACGACCAGTGGCACTGGCTTGCATTGAGATTCTCCTAAGTGTCACAACATGGCACTCGCATTCCATTCCTAATTTACACCATGTACACTAGTCCGCGACAAAGGTCGCACACGCAGGAGATGTCTTCTGGAGAAGATCGTCCTGAAAAGATCGTCTTCTTAGGGATGAACTTTAGGGAGATCGTTTTGAGAGAGGCTGCTTTGAGAGAGGCTACTCTCAGGAACGCCCCTTACCGAGGCTACGAGATGAATTTGTCTACTTTGCTCATCTGGTGGTCAAACCACGCACCGACGTGTTGAGTTATCTGAAGTCCTCAACACACATGTATCATAGCTTGTCAGAAGTCCAAACCCAACGACGCGTGTTTCCATAAACTTTTTCATCCGTATTGCTGTTTACAGACGCACTGGTGATCCCTTGAAAGCTCTAAATGCGCCCGCTCTATTCCCATGCTCATGCAAATCGCTTGTCCTGGAACAACTGGCCCAAACTAACCCAGCTGCGGCCTCCTTCCTATGTACGGTCTAACTTCCAGCCTCGAAGCTGGCGATGATCACTATGTTCAGACCAAGATCATTTCTATCCGTCTTCCCCATGATTCGATACTCCTAGATGACCAATGTGTCCGATAACTGTCATTGCAGCAACCTGCCATTGCCCGGATATCCTATGGCTGTGTTAACCCTCTCTTCGATGCTGAACTTCTTCTCTCTGGCCACGACCAGCTCGTATATCTTTGCTGAATACCTCAAGCAAACCAACACAAGCATCGCGCGAGACCGCGAACAGCCGCGGTTGAACCCGTCATATTGAGTAATTTGCCGGCCCTCATGGCCATCCCATTTGTGCTCTCCATGCTGATATAAACAACCAATAGACCACCCGACCTCATCCCAATCCCAAGCTCTTCAACGCATCCATCAACTTCTTCACAGTGACCGGTCTCGTCAGGAAGACGTTGACGCCGCTAGCGAACGAGTCTTGTTCGATATCCCTGCCGACGAGGCCAGTGAGGGCAATGACAGGGACAGGTCTAATCTGGCTTGCGCGCTCAAACTCCCTTATCCGACGCGTGGCCTCGAGGCCATCCATGACGGGCATGGAGATGTCCGTGACGACGCAGCTGTAGTGGCTCGGACACGCACTGTACTTCTCCAGCGCCTCGAGGCCATGGACGGCGGTGCTATAGGGGAGCTTGAGCTTCTTCATATATGCGGTGAGAATCTAATTGCTCATGTTAGCACGATTGATAATTGATGAGATCCAAAATACCATACCTTCAAGTTGATGAGATTGTCGTCAACCAGAAGAATACCAGGGAGTGTCTCAGCGGGCTTGACGATGGTGACTTCAGGCGCGATCGCAACCGGCACCGCCCTGATTGGCACCTCTGTGGTCATTTGTGCAGGAAGGTGCGCCGCGGACACCACAGTTACAACCTTGGGCTCATTGCCTATTAGAGGCTGGATCTCGATAACGGGTTCAGGATTGAGATCTTCGGCTGCCGATGCAGATGCAGATAGAGGGAGCTCGGCCGCCTTCTTCAGCGCCTCATCGTGTCGCGTAAGGCAGCGAGAAAGAGTCGTCGCAAGTTTCCGAGGTTCAATACTAACAAACGTCAGCGAGGAAAACGTCAGCATGTGGTTGGGGTTGTCTTACGGCTCGGACATGAACTCAAGTGTTGCGTGTGAGTCCATTTTCTTAGCTATCTTGGCCATTTTGTGCGCAATCGTCGGCGTCGGACAGACGGCAATCACGGGTTTCGATGCAACCATTGCCAAGCTCTCCAGCTCCGCCACTGACGTGCTGGCATCGCCGTGAATAATACAATCGGGCACATCGTGCTGAGCGTCCGAGTCGGATGAAACTTCGAGATGCAGCAAGTCATGACAGATATTGCGCATCAGGTCCGTCTGCGATGAGTTGACGTTTTCGTCCAATTGCACATCATTCGCCGTGTTGCGAGTCGCGCTGAAACCGTGGAGGCCCACGCGCACCCCAGAAAACGACTTGACTTCCTTTTCGAACTGCCCAGCGTCATTTGTATCTTGCTCGCCGCGCGGCAGCGGGAAGGATACTGTGATGGTGGTGCCGCAGCCTACCTGGCTCGCGACGTTGATACTCCCTCCAAGGGTAGTGGTGATTTGCCGAACAAGACTGAGACCCAGGCCAGTGCCAGGAGCAAAATGGTCTTCCTGGCAGAACGGGGTAAACAGATTGTTGCGGAGGTATTCCTCGCCGATGCCCTTTCCTGTGTCAGAGACAGTGAGGACGACCTTGGATCCCATACCCGGCTGGCGTCTGGAAATAGCTTCTTGTGCCAATGCAATCTTAATAAAGCCTGAGCTAGTAAACTTCAAGGAGTTGCCGAATAAATTCATCACGATACGTCTGAAAGCACCTGGGTGCGTAAGGAAAACCCATCCTGCAGACGGGTCGATGTCGAGGTATATCTGCACAGCTCCAGTATTGCTTGCGCCTTCTCCAAATTGGCTGTCCTGTCTGGCAGATATGCCCGATCCAATAGAGTCTCCTCGGCGTTCCATACCATTGTCTGACTGAGCTGCCGACTGCTTGTGGAAGGACTTGACCGTCATTCGTTCGTGGCTGTAACCTGCAAGGACGCTTTCGACAACTTCTCCAACTAGGAGGTCAAGACGTACAGCCACGTTCTCAGACCTCGGGAGGACTTGCAGCGACCCGTTTTCTGCCAAAGGCCGCCTCTGCCAGGATGTGCTGTTTCTTCGTTCGGCTGTCGTCGACGACTGTAGGTAATGATTGATCTTACTGTAATCGAGAAGCTATCACAGGTCAGTTTGGCAGGCAAAGACGTACATGATGTTCCGGAAACTCACATGCTCAATAGTGTCCAGTAAAGTCCTGCCCGATGTCTCAATCGTGTGAAGAACGCTTGTTTGGGCCGTGTCCAGATCAGTGTCTCGTAGTAGCTCCGCAGCCCCGACGAGTCCATGTAGGGGACTTCTCATTTCGTGGCTCAGAGAACCGAGGATACTGGTCTTGACCTTATCCGCGGCCGTTGTATTGAGCCGCGTCACTTCCGCCATGGTAGTCAAGGCGAAAACTCGAAGGAAGCCCAGCTCGCCTTCCACAGTGAAGTTTCGAGTCGGGGTCTTGGTCCAGATGAAGCCGCCGCCATACCAGCGATTGCGTGTTGAATCCCACAGTGGAACGAGAGCCACACTCCGCGCGCCTGGAAACATCTTGATAATATGCTTGGATGCATCCCACTTTGCTAGAGTGGGAGTCTGGGTGGGTTTCGAAACAGTGCTTTCAGCATCATTCTCCGTATTGTCGTCCGAAGTAGCCGCGCCATCGTCCTCGAAATTGAATATCTTGCCGTGCGGGTAGCGACGAAGCAAGCGGTGGAACATCGTGTCTGAGAGCTCACCAAAGTCATGGGGCGCGTCTCCGTTAATGCTGGATGTTTGGGAGGTCGAGAATCCCAAGACTTTGCACGGCTCTTCTTCCAGGTCGCTGAGCGAGGCGTGGCTTCCCTCCTCGGGGCTGGAGTCCTGCAAAGCCGCTCTCCCGAGCACGGGCGGCGACCGTTTTGGCCGCGCATTGCCCACGAGACCGCCAAACGAACGGACGGTGGCATCGAGGAAGACCGTTCCTTCCACCTCAAGGGATTGCCGAATAATATTGGCGGCTTTGGAGAAGACGAGACCGACTTCGGCCATCCGCATATCGGTCGAGCTAACGCGCGACACTTGGGTGCCGTCACGCGACGGCATGCCAGGCGTAAGCTTCGGATCGGTCAGAGACAGGACGCTCTCGGCGGTGGCAGTTCTATGTTGTAAGATCGGCCGCTTGATCTGCTGGAGGACATCCGGCTCCGAGTCGCGGCGTACAGTCTGCTGTTTGCGGTTCAAAGCGCCCTCCTTGACGCCGGGAATGTCCATGAAGGACGACGGATTGGGGTTCAGGTGCCAGCTCGACAAGGTCGCCTCGCCCTCGACGAAGTTGCCCATGCCGCAGACCATGCGCTCAGTGCGTCGATGCAGCTCGTTCGACCGCTTCAGCTCCAAGTAGTCCATGACGGTCCGTGACATTGCCTGCAGGAACTCCTTCTCTTCTTCGGTGAGGCCATCTCTCGGCTTGTCGTCAAAGATGCAATACACGCCAATGTTGATTCCCGTGGGCGAGCGGATGGGCACCCCAGCGTAGAAGCGGTTGTACGGCTTGTCCTCGATGAAGGGGCGGTCGCAGAATCTACCATCGTGGCCCAGATCCGGAACAACGGAGACCGGGAGCTGGTCAAATTTGTTCTCAGAGGACTCCTCCCAGGGCGTTGGGAGGGTCGGGGCACTGGTGAGGACATGCTCGCAGATGCCGAAGGAGCGCGGGATAGAGGTGCCACACAGCCATAGTTCGTTGTTCTTGGGGGCAGTTTTCGGGCGCAGGGGCGAGGAGCAAGCAGCCTCGGCGACAATGTGCTGGCGGTGCCGGTCGAATAGAGAGATCAGGGCGCGGGAGGCATTGAGGCGGAAGGCTCCGAGCTGTGCGAATGCGGTGAGGGCTGAGTCCGGAGCGGAAGACAGGAGGGTCGTCGGGATCGGGCGCTGGGGGTCATTGAGCGCCGCCGAGGTCGCCTCTAGACGATCATATCTACAGAAGACGAACGCATGCAGTCAGCCGTGACATGTTCCTAAAACATTGGATTTGGGTTGAGGAGAGTCGAGAGTCGAAACGCACTTGAAGGTCTCGCGCTCCCGGGCGGTTTCCGAGACGGACTTCGCTGTGGTCATCCTTTGTTCAAGGCGGCCAGATACCAGCTGCAGCCACTGAGCATCGCGAGGTACACGGCCAATTCAATTCAATTCACTCGATTCCCGGGTGCGTTATGAGGATCGTATCTCTCAGCCAAGTCGTCCTTTTCTTTTCTTTTGGGGAAAACCGAGAGGGTGGGATGGGGGAGTGGCAACTTGGGGAAGAATGGCCCGGCCGCTAGAGTCTAGACACAAATGAAGGCGGGCGGGACGGGACTGCCTGGTGCTGGATATCTCAAATACCAGACTGTACTCCAACCCTCTCACTCGCCTGGTAATTACTTAACTAGACTGCCTAGGTAACTTAGCTAAATTGAACCAAGAATGGGTAGACGGCTAAGGGTAGCGTATCTGGCGTATCTGGCGTATCTGGCGTATCTGGCGCACCTCCTTCCTCCTGCCTAGCATTACCATGCAGTACATGGAGTTACGGGGATGTTACGGTGTATAACGGAGGAGGCTCCAGCTCCCCGCCGGCCGCCATTTCGCCGTCCCTCCTTCTTTCCTTCCTTCCTTCCAAGGTTCTAGGGTTCCAGGGTTCCTTCCCAAAGAGAAAACGTGGGCGACAACCTTGGAAGTGCAGGTGGCCACAGGTGGCCACAGGTGGCAGACCATGAAAATGAGCTGACCAGTCAGATCTTGACCTGGAACAGCGATGCCCATGGCCCATGAATGAGAGAGACCTCGGGAGGCACTCTATGGCCCCCTTTGGCTTCCCCTTTGGCTTCCACTCTGGCTTCTTGACTACTATGCAGTAGCTTGCTCAGAATCAAGATTTTGGGCAACGACTGGACCCGCGCTGGGCCGTAACGTTAGTGGGCGTTCAGTCACTCCACACTGCATTGCATCGCTGGTGCGCGGCTCGCACGGGGTTTTCTGCTTTTCTGCAAGGTGGGCTGGGCGGCTCCTTGCAGGTCCCCTACTATCTCCTACTGTCCCCTACTGTCGAGGTCCCTGGGAATGCGACCCCTTCGACCCCCCTGCTGCACCGTGTCGTGTAACTGTCCGAGGCGAGGGGCGCTAAGATGAGTCGTGCCCGCCGCTAGCCTGCCCGGGCCCCAGAGCCACGATTCGCGCTCTTCCCAAGATTCTCTCCCATCCCGGCCTCTCGGGCAGCCAGTCAAATGGGCCCAAATCACGATCGTCACTTCCCCCAAATCTCAATCTCATCTCATCTCCAAACTCGGCCGCGTGCTTATTAAACAAGAGATAAGATCGATGCAGCCCCAGGGTTAGGTGAGTTGGGCATCAATCAATCAATATTCTCTTGATAGCTGCCACCTCCAAGATGAACATCAATAAACTGCGCTTCGTAGACTCCTGCCTTTCTCGTGAGAAATTATCACGACCCAGGTTGTGGCATGGTCATTTTCACTCCTCTAGAGTGGGCCTCATCTCATGCACCTTATTTCCTGTACTGTTATATGACATGACAAGCCCGCACAGGTTTGGAAGAGTGCATTGTAACAGATCAGGTGTATTTCGCAGGCCAGCCCATCTCCGTGCTATTTGTGGCAGCATGGGGAGCTACCGGTAGTAGAGGACGACAAGCTTCAACTTAAGAGTTGAAATGATAATAGCTCCTGGTGTTGCCTGGTTCATATGCAGGACTACAATTACCTTTTTATCGTTTCATAATACATGCGTCAGAATTTCCTGTGATTTGATGATCTCTGCCTACTCAGTGTCGATGGCTCAGGACCCAGGTCCAAGGAAAGTCATCGGGATCGACGACGCGCTATCGAAGCTACCTGAAGGGTCTGTTTGCTGGGAATTGGACAGGCGTTACTGGGGAGCATATCCTTCCAATCGAAAGCTATGCCACTTTCCCCAATTCGGGATCGTCTTCCTCCATCACTTCCTAGCTCTCAGCTCATCTGAGCAACGACACCTCTTAATCGGTTCGTCTTTGGGGGAAGCTCAAATGAGGGGCGCCGTCGGAACTCCAGAAGTACACGAAGACACATCGAGGACATCATGTTCCACTGTAGTGACAATCTATGACGTTGCTACCTACACAACAATTCGGGTGATGGGACGGAGCCTGGAGCGAACCCGGTCTTCAACTTCGTCATGTCTTCAACTAAACTTCGGCCAGACTACCGCAATGACATTCCTAAGTTCGAGGACCAATGGGATGCCCACAAGCTTCGAGACCTGGGCTGGGTGTTCTGGGAAGACGAGGATCGGCGTAAGTCTCTAGGTCTGCACGAGCACATCGGTCTTAAATATATCAAACCAGAGCCCCCTGTGCAAGACTGGTTCTCCGGCACCAAAGCGTCCCTCTGGAGGGACTTGTACGTTTCGGCGGACACCTAGAATGTTTTCACGCTGTCTATGGTTCACAATCCTGTTTGGGGTGAGGTAGAAGGATATCCTGCATTCATCGCGGCGATTGAAGACGTCGTGCAGGTAATCGAGACGCTTGAGCAAGGAGGTCTGAAGACGCTGAATTGATGGCTCTATGAAAGCAGAAGCGGTATCAACTTTCTCTGCTCTCTTTGAATGTATTCATGCCATTTGGCGTCAATGACTAGATAAGCTGGATATCCTGGCTGAATTCAGTGGCCCAGCTCCACGTTATCTATCTAGAAAACACCCTCCGCGAGCAGTGTAATGTACCAACACAAATCACAGTACTGTCAACTGTTAGTGTCATTCATATAAACAGAAAATCACAAGCAAATCATCTTTCCATCCGGTGCCATGAAGCGTGCTTGGGTTACATTAACGAATGCTGTTTCCCCGCATTCAAGTTGCCAAATGAAGACAACCATCACACAACACTTGTCCGAATCTGGAACAACCTCGCCCAATCTCATGATCTAGATGGTGGTTTATATGCAAGAGACTGTGAAAGTCAGAACACCGGTCAACTCATGCCTCGGGTTTTTCAAACTCCCCGATGCTCTTACGTATCCATTTATTTCTGTAGTTCTCGCCATAAAAGCTGCCATTGTTCCAGCTATAGCATAACCCTGATATACTTTGACGCCGCGTAGTAGACATAACCTAAGGCTTACGACTCAAGATGACTGACTATGCGAAACCTTTTTACACCTGCCACGAAGTCAGCCAAACGTGCCCGGTAGAAGCAACAGTGCTCGGATATTACCCCAACTTCGGTGTGAATATCACCCTCGCCGTCGGCTTCGGGGCGTGCCTCTTTTTCACATCAACGGTTGGTTTATGGAAACGGACCTGGGGATACACGGCTTTTGTCACAATAGGCTGCGCTTTAGAAGTTGCTGGTAAGTACACAACCGCCTCAACACTTCAGCCTGTGGGTGCTTGTCGTCGCCCGCGATCCCACAGCGTCGCAGCTCACTGGCAGCTAGGGTATGTGAGTCGCATCGTCTTACATGGCAATCCATGGAACAGCGACGCATTTCAGGTCCAGATCATCTCAATCATCCTCGCGCCGACGCTGCTCTGCGTCTCCATATACTTGACGCTCAAACATCTGTGCCTGTCGATCAACCCGACGCTATCACGCATCCGTCCAGATCTCTACCCCTTCATATTCCTACCGGTCGACCTGGGTTGTTTGACAGTCCAAGCAATCGGCGGCAGCTTAGCTTCGGTTGCCGCACATGACCACCCCAATCTACTCGAGCATGGTAATCGGACCATCATTGCTGGCATTTCCCTGCAAGTCATCGTACTCAGTGCATTTGGTATTGTGTCTGCAGATTACTTCTTCAGAGTGTACAAGTATATCAAAAGCGGCAGCGCGTCAGCCGCAGCTCTTTCTGTCTGGCGTGATGGAAAGCTCCGAGTATTCTGCTCGGCTGTGGTCACTGCGTATCTGGGCATCCTCATTAGATGCATTTACCGGTATGATCTCCTTGCCGAATACTAACCTTGGTCGTTCTGTGCTGACATTACCAAGCATTGCCGAGATGGCGGGCGGCTGGGGGTATGTTTCTGACCGTCGCGAGCAGGGACTGATAACACATGCGCTGACTGACATAGAAATCCCATAATGCGCGATGAGATCAGCTTCATTGTATTGGAAGGATTGTAAGTGGAGTGCTCTTTCCCTCTGGCCATTCATAGAGAATTCCAGCTAAATGTGCAGTAGCATGATTTTGATCCCAGCTATCTCCCTGGCATCCTTTCAACCGGGTATTATGTTCCCCCAAATGGCTACCAAGATGAGCTTGAGTCTAGTTATGAGATGGCGACGAAGGGCAGGTTTATCGGAGCAGCCATCGCCGAACAGAACCGTTGACCCGGTCCCGAAGAATGAACAGCCATTGACAGCCCAGAGTAATGCTGAGATGCAACAAACATCTCCCTCTACTGAGGCCCATTAGTTTGGAGAGACATTAGTGATTGGAATCGTTGTCACTGTTCACTTAGGTAAACATCGCTTCATCGTACCATTCGTGGTGGAATGAACTAAGTAGGTCTATAAAGAGTCCATGATATCCGCCCTATTTGTGATAAGACATTGTGTTCATAATCAAAACAAGGGGCCCGGTCATATTATAGTCCCAGAGTTTGTCGGAGTTCCAAGATATTTGATATAGGCTATAGCTACATATGAATTTCCTTCCATATATCTACCTCGGTCGCTCGCCGCCCTCTGAACCTCGTCTGAGGCGTAGGAATCTTGGGTGAGCCCCACCGAGTTGAGATAGACATGCACATTTCTGCAAAAACTCGGTAGTTGTCGGGATTCACAAGAGCATCCTCAATCTCCGTAAGTGCGAGGTAATAACAGCGGTTGTACCCGTATCCTTTGACTCCTTGGCCAAATTGAGCGTTCTCCTGGTCGAGGTCTTTCCAGCAATGAGTTAGAAATTTCTTATCAATAGAATCATATAGGGCTTGACTTACACTTGGTAGTGTCAATAGCATGGATCATCTCGTGTAGTATTGTGCCTGAAGCAGACTTATAGTCATCAGGATTAGGAGGTGATCCGCTTGTGCTGTAGTCCAGATTCAGCATCCCATGATAGTCGCTTGTGAATTGGTTGGTGCAGAATAGTATCCCGTTCACCGACCCCAGTATCTGATCATTAGACATGTAATTGCCCCTGAAGGTCTGGCCTAGTGTTTTCCCATCTGTACATGGCCTCGAATTCTCGCCTTGTGCTAAAATGTGTATTAGTACCTCTCTTGAGAAAGATATGATATGTAAGTGACATAACATACAATTACCAGCTGAAAATTGCAAAATAATGGTGTCTTCGGTCCCTGGAATCGAGTAATGCCAGACGCCGGTGGTATCTAAGGCCGATTTAACACCCAAAACGTTAAATTTTCATGGCTGCATCTCTTACAGTCTCCCACAACTCCCCAAGTCAAACTATTTCCAGTGCAGAAGAAATAGCCTGCATTTCCTGACATGAGTCCTTGAACGGCACCATATACGCCTAGATTGTGCTTAGCAAATCACGGCGTGTCAGTTGACTGCGCGAGAAATTACCTGATACCTCGTTGAGCCTGACTTTAGAAGCGTCATCTAAGCCAGTGATCTTGGAAAACCCGAACTTGGCACCAAACATGGCCTTAGCATTATCCGCACCACGAGAGGTCTTCGTCAGTGGAACAATGGTATCTGCGTTCACTACCATATTGATAGAGGACACGGCGTTCTGTGCCATCAGCACCGCGTTATCCCACATGTCATCGATAGAAGCGCCCTGCACCGTGATGCCCTCGCAGCCGATTGTAGTCCACGTAACGGCAGCCTGACATTGTGCAAAGGTGAGGAAGCTCAGTCCACCCTTGAGGAATTTTGCAATCTGCATCGCGGACAGAACGTTGGACAAGAGCACTTGACGGATGGCAGCAGCTTGCGCTTGGAACCTTTTGCAGCAGCTTTAGGATTTGTATTAGAGTGCTCATGATTACATGCCCCATGGTCTAGATTAGACATGGGCTCATTGTACACTAGCCTGGGTACAGCGTCGCGTGTTCTATTTCCTGCGTGTCCAAAGACCCATTTTCGGCCGGCTTTTACGGGACGACGATAGCATTAAACTGCCCAATGTCAAGGAGATTGCTTCCCAAACGGACGGTATCCACGGAAATACTACAAGGATTTGCGGCACAGACATATTTTTCCGGCACTAAGATCCCAAATCGAGGCGCTCCAGAAGGATTTACGGCACAGGGCTGGCTATTGAGCACTAACTGGGGCCAAAACTGGGGGATGCCACGAGATTTTGCGGCGTCGACAAGCTTTTATAGCATAGACTATTGTACCTTTTTTAAAACTGGCGAACTCGTCAGCGCTACAATATGTTGTAACGACTCGAAGGATGCATGCTCTGGACCTGTCTACGGTCGTACTCCGGAGTCTGTATCTTATGCTCATTCGCCCGTCGCTGGTTTTGCTGATGTTCGGGTCACGCTCCATGCAGGTACTATTGTAAGGCACAGTAGGATATGCCAAGCCATACCCACCTGGTTTGACTCTATTATTGACCCATATAGTTGGCTTTTACCATAACGTTACCTCCTACTAATTAGAAGTCATTAGTCAAGTGATTGTATCAGATGCTTTCTACCCTTGCATACTAGGATTGACCCATCTAAGACTGGGAAGTTGTCGCGTGAGTAAGGTTCTAAGATAAGAGTAGAATTGAGGCACAGCTATGCACAGTTAGCAGGTACAGCCCTGCCTCGGCTCCGGGTTCCTGGACCTTTGTCTTCACGAGTTGATAATCTTTGGAGCCCCCCTTCAACTAGCCAGTGGCTGTCTCAGACGCATGCGCCAAAGTCGTCAGACGACCACACACATGGACAAATTGGTAAAAGGCCTTTGGCTGGCCGCCTCGGTCCTTTTTTGCTTTTCAAGTGTTGGATCAGCGTTACCAGCTACTAGTCAATATGCTGAGGACCTGCCGGCCAACTTCAGCCACCCCTTTGCTCAATTTGGAATGGCTAGCAAGAAGAGAACGGATAAGAACATTGAGCTGCGAATCTTACCGCTTGGTGCTTCTATCATGAGTGGCACTGGCTCGAGCACTGGCAATGGGTAGGCTTTCCTCGACTTTGAAATTTCAGTGTTGTCCAGACTAACCATTCCACAGGTGTCGAAAGCCTCTCAGGGATGCTTTAAGACTTGACGGTTGGAGCGTTGACATAGTCGGCAGCCTCCACAGCGGCACTATGGTTGACCACGACATGGAAGCTGTCCCTGGAGATGTGCTCACGCAGATTCTTGCCAGAGTGCCACACTCCACTGGTTTCAAGGTCAGTGCGCGTCCAAGAGTAGAGAAGGCTCTATCTTGTTAGTGCCCGGAAAGGAAAGGAGAGACGCTGATCTCGATTCTGCATAGCCAAATATTGTCATCATAAATGGTGGCACGAACGATGCTAATGGCCCCGTTGACCCCCCTAACGCTGGTGTCCGTATGAATAACATACTCAACGCGCTTTGGAACGCGGATGGCATGTCAGGTACCTGTATTATGCTATCAACATTAATCCCTACGACCAATGCAAATGGTATTGCAAACCAAGACACGATCAATACCCAATACCGTAATTTGGTACAACAGCGTGCTGCAGAAGGCCAATGTATCTACTTAGCCGAGATGTGGCCAGAAAACCAACAGTGGCTGCAATTTAATACAGACTATCTGGCTAATGAAACTCCTCATGTTCATCCCAACGTTCGTATCTCGAGTATACTAACCTAATTTTATAAGCTGACTATGGAATTAGGACGTCGGCCATGCAAAAATGGCTGCTGTTTTCTACAATGCAATCAATCAAGCCATAACAGACAACCGAATTGTGGCGCCAGGAGATTTCACTATTGGACCCAGTGTTTGTGCCAAGTACGGGGGTACAGGAGTCGATGCTGGGGGCCTCACACAACGTGGTTCTGGTTATGACGATGGTATCTATTACCATGATAGCGAGGAGATGGGGGTGAGTGCGGCAAATTCAAAACACCTACCTAGAATTCACTAATCAACACCGACAGGTACTTTGGACTGCGGACAGTGATTGGGATCGCGGACAATGGAAATTTGCTCGTCTGTTTGATCGCAATTATGATGATCTTGTTGCTTGGATTAATAAGACCAGCTCCTCCCAAGTATATGCGGTTTGGTAAGCCATGAAAATTTCTTCCTATTCATGTTTTTTATTTTTCATTTCCTCCTTACCTAAAGCTCTCACTCAGTTCTGGCTTCTTTTTCCTTACATTGAACTCTTCCTATTTGGTAGCGCAACGAATGCTAATCTACTTGAAGGGCCAACTCTGGTGACGGAAAGGGAGGCTTCACGCAGATGAGCGACCTGGTCCCAGATTTGAACTGCCAATATACAGAAGGTGTTAACTTCATCGACATGAACTCCGACGGTCTCGATGATCTAGTTTATATCGACGCAGATGGAAACGCCTATCTATCGATCAACCAGGGAGATGGTAATCGCGCTGCTGGAAAGTCTCCTACGTTTAAGCGCGTCAGCAGTACCGCTATGATCAAACCGACAGAAGGCTATGCTCGAGACCACGTTCTCCTGGCTGATATTGACGGGGATGGCCGAGGGGACTATGGAGTATTAGACGACTCCGGAAACGTATACTTCTGGAGAAATGGATGGATTGACGATATACCTGCATATTGGCAGTATCTGGGTCAACGCTTCACGGGAAAAAACATGGGCGATCTCAGAGGCACTAGATTTGAAGACGTGAACGGAGATGCATGTAGCCCTTTCGATCTCTTGTTTCATGCGCTAACCAAGTCCAGGGTCGTGACGACTGGGTGTGGCTCGACGATGTGGGGAAAGGTTATGTCTACACTAACGGTCGAAGTTGTCTGAAAGGCGTCGAAGGGAATGGCCTCAATGTCGCCTGGCGCGCAGGCTTTTACAAAGGTGAATCCTCAGGTCCAGCCTACAAGGGCATGGGATCATATGTTACTACCAAGGAGACCTATTTACGTGATCGCATTCACTTCGCACGAATTTACGGCCAATCAACGGTCTTCGGCAATCTTCCCAAACAGGACTATGTCTTCATGCAACATACAGCGGTCGATGGTAAGCATCGCTTCCAGATGCGTGTATGGAAGAACACTGGCTACGGTGGTACCAAACTGCTCGCGGATGGCAACAAATACTGCAATATGATGGGCCACTCGAATGGTATGGTAGATTACGTCTGGACATACTCGTTCGGAAGAATGGAGATGTGGGCCAACCGAGGCAAGGGGACCATCACTGATGCAGACCCTGATGGCTACTGGAACTACCAGGGAACTATCTGGACGCCACCACAAGATATGGACCGGAGGGACTTACACTTGGCTGACTGGGACGGCGATGGGGTCTGCGACATCATTTACGCTAATCCAAAGGGAGGTGCTGTTCAAGTTTGGATTAATACCTTTCCAACCACTGGCAACTGGAACAATTGGAAATATTTGGCCAATCCAGCGCCAAGCCTGACCTGTTCCCAGACGAGGGGATTGGGCATCTATGACCTAGCTGTGCGTTTTGCAGACATTACAGGAAACGGACGTACCGACTACCTCTGTATTGAACCGGACAGCAGAACAACCGGTTTCACTCAGAACAGTGACGGCAGCTGGACAAATGCCGGACAGATCAAAGTTTCCATAACCAAAGACCGTGCCAATCTCCGCTGGGCAGATGTCAATGGAGACGGGGCTGACGACCTTCTCTGGGTCGAGAAATTCTCGGGTGACGCCTATGTCTGGTATAATGGAGGTCCAGCTGATCCCGCCCAGGCGCTTGGTTCATCATTTGCCTGGGCAGGACAAACCGAAAAAGCCTATGCCGGCAATGTGCAAGGTTCTTGCGAGTTCTGGACTGACATCGATGGAAACGGTCGTGCCGACGAACACTTCGTGCTGGGTACGTTTAACAATAAGGCCAGGACCGCGTTGAACCCGTCATGCGGACTTCAAGACGCCACAGGAGACGATTCCAGCATGGAGAACATTCTTCCTACAGTCCCAGGATCATCTTCTGGTGGTGGTGGTGGTAGTGGTGGCGGCAGTGGCGGTGGTGATGGTGAAGTCCTTGTGCCTCCTGATATCTGGTCGAACCCCAGCCCAACAATCGGATGTGCGCCGCCTTGTACTCTGATCCTCCCACCCCTCGATATTGGCCCCGTCACTGTTACTTGGCCTGCAATCACCACATCTGTCTGGTCATTATCAGGAACTATTACCACAATAATAACGACCATTATTACTCTGGATCCTTTTGTGGTCTCGGAAGTCCCCTGGTGGCCTGTCACAATTGGCACCGGAGATGCGAACAACGGTGTTATCCATCCCGAGCAGAGCGTTCTGCCCCCCTTAATCACGATTGGCTTGCCAGCCAACATAGCCACTGTATCGACAACTACTTCTGGTGATAACACCACCATAGTCCCTCCCTTATGGGCCACAGGCGGGCATGTTGGCAGTTTCCAGCCCATGCCTACCGTCTCAGTGCCAGTGCCGTCCGGCCCGACAACCGATCCGACCCGGACCACCAACCAAGGGTCCCACACCGTGTCTTACACGAGAACACATCCAACAACCACATGCACGTCTCACTGCGGCGAGCGTGATTGTGGGTTATTTGGATGCATAGGGGGTGGTGTTAGCTGCGGACTGTTCGGCTGTCTTGGCGGCTGTGGACTTTTCGGTTGCAATGGGGGCTGTGGTCTTTCTGGCTGTTCGGGTGGGGGAGGCGGAGGCGGAGGCGGCAATGACAATCCTGGAGAATGCGAAGGAGAAGATTGTGGTTGTGAGGCAACCAAGACTGTTACTTCGTGTGGCGTCCTCTGCACCCACACTGCGGACCTCACTACGACGCAAACTGGCGAGTGCTCTACGACTGAGTGCATCACCACCAGCTGTGGGCGAGACACTACGACCACATCGACCACCACCACGACCTTAGAAGAGGAGGTCCTTATTACAGCCATTGCTACTGACGGCATCTGGACGGAAGACGTGACAAATGCATTCGCCACAATGGTTTATAATGATGTGATGAGCTGGTGGTCCGTCGAGGATGAGGCCGCTGCTGCTGCTGCCACCTCGCAAGCCACCACCACCGTTATCGTAACGGCGACAGCCACTCAGACAGTTGGTGGAACTACTACGGTTGTAGTCACACCGACATCGCCAAAGACAACAAGTACCACAAAGGCTTCTCCAACGCCTACACCGAGCTCCGCAGTCCAAATCGTTCTCATGGAGTATTACGAGAAGAGCGAGGGTCCAGGCGATTCCAACAAGAGAACTTACGATTGGCAGGTCTTTGCTACAGACTACGACGAATCTGTAGACTACTGCAATGATCAAGACTCCATATACACTCAGGCTACCACACAAGTCCTGAACTCAAAGGAACCTTTCCCCTCGAAAGATGTGGGCAAGTTTGACATCAAGAAGTTCAGCTTGAACAATTGCAAGTACACGGCAGAATCCACAACTGAGGTTGGGACAATGGCATGTGATGAGGACGTCAGTATTCACTGTCAGGCCGCGAACAACGTTGGACAGATATACGAATGTAATGGGTTAACTGCCACCGAGGGAGGTGTCTGGTGCTACTGGTAGAAGAATTGGAATGAGTAGTGGTTCTAAAATAAAGAGAATCTACGCAAGATGAATGTAATAAGAAGTGCACATAAGATAATAATTTAAAAGAGTCCATGCACGAATATTAGGGTGGTTTTTGCAAAGCCCGGACCCAAAGCCTTTACTGGATGTTGCGCGTTCTTGAAATCCAAAGTATACTATTGCAGCATATCAAGATCTGTTGCCAGCTTGTCTAAAGTAAGCTCCTGTTCAACTTCACTTTCCAGAAACGTCCATTTCTCCTGCGAAAATTCTTCAATAGTCTTGGCTCGACATGTTACAGATCTGGCTGCTTACCTTCTTTCCATTTGATGATTTTCCTGACAAGAATTTCTCTAAAGAGATCCATGCAGACTTAGTATCATAATTGAAGTTAATTATGTAACCTTTGAAAATTTCTGTCCGTGGTCAGTCAGCTTATCCACAATGCTCCATTCGATTAGAGGGCTTTCTATAAGATAATACTTACCCCCTTTGCAACCTTCCACTTGAGTACGGACACATACTTGTTGTCCATGAACATATTTTATTGCCTTAGACTTCGCTGACTCGGACATCGCGATCTTGGTGAGCACTCTTTAAATGCGTTTTGAATCACATTTCCTAAAATAAGCAAACTATGTTTGAAAGAAGTTCTTCAGCGATACAGAACTCTACTTTATATGGTCTTTGCCAGCAACTACAGGTATAAATTATAGCCTTACGATCCTATGAATCAATAGTATACGTGGTCAAACATGAACTGTTCATCATAGACACTATTATTTTTTTTCATATCGAACTCTGTGCTTGATTCACGTATGTCATTTGTCATTCTAGGGAGTGAGCTGTGAAAAGTTCTGCATAATGGCCAATCATGGGAGGCCATGCCATGCATCGATATCTGACTCAATGAACATTGGAAGAAGCAGACAATAGGATTTTGATGGGGTCTTGTGTGAGCCATGTCCGTGATCTAGTAAGTTGAGGTGAGCAAGGTTGGCTGTTCTCAGAGACAAGGTCTCCCAGAGTCTCCGTGCCAGCACTCTATTTCATCCGGGCTTTTCTGACTGTAGACAATCTAATTCGCACCCAGAATTGAGTGAGGCCAGTCGTTAAGAGCACCGCACTACAAGAGCATTGTAAGCTATCTATGACACGGCCAGCATCATGCCAAGCATGAGATCTATTTGCGTTCATGCTCTCGAAGTGGAAAGCGGACGATAAGAGTCAGATGGCTGAGCCGGGGAAATCATATTGAAAAAGGATGCGAAGTTACCCTTTTTTAATTTTCCGTCGAATGCGCGACAGTAGGCAACTCTTGGCATGTTGACTAGCTGTAAGCCAAGATATTGGCGCTCAGGCATTACATCCCAACCCAAGCTTTATTAAGGCTTACACTTCCAAGCTGCATCTTGCTCCTCACAAAATGGTCGCATGGTGCTGAAACAAGCCATATTTCTTCGCCCCTCCTTATAGATTGTTGGCAATAGGTGCGGCTATCTGTCGCCGCAAAAGAGCCGACTACCTTAACTCGACGGCAGCTCTATGTGTGTCTATTAGCCCTAAAACCACAAGCACCACTTTGCTAGACTTTCAAGCAGCCGTGAGTCAAGCTATCCACTGTAAATCCTTTCCAGCCTCGGTATTTAGACATCTATCCCAAAGGAGAGAGCCAGAATGCTTATTATGGTGATATAATGACAAAAATGGGGATTCAAGTCGGATGGGTTGCATTCCACGCTCGAGGATATCTCTGCTCCCATAGTTTGCCAGACATGAATTATACGAGCCTTCTTTAGATTTCAGTATCACGGGTTTCCACAGTGCCTAGAACTCATCACGCCAAAGATCTTAACTCGTAACGGCGGATGACCCCCCTGGCCCTTTTGTCCACCAATAAAATTCGTCCATTTCTTGGCTGTTTCCCCTTTTCGGGCAAGCCATTCTTACACTCAATTCAGTGAGAGTATCTCAAACTAACATATAAAGGTCTGTCATCGAGGGCTGAAAGGACCTCAAATTTACGTAGCAACACGGCCATTCTAGCTTTGATTGCTTCTCATCCCGAGTCACAAATTCCGACCTTAAATCAGTCATAATGCTATTTTCCAAGTCGTTGGCGCCTTTGCTGGCTGCTCTTCCTGCCGCATTTGCTTGCAATGGATACACTGGTGGCGTCCCAGTTCCTACCAAGACTGTGACTAGCAGCAAGGTTATCGAAGTCAAAGCCGGTCAAACTTATGACGGTGGCTGGGCCAAGTATGATCGTGGCTCTGGCGCTTGCAATGAACAAGCAGAGGGCGGTAAGTGAGGGCACATGACCCAGTCCCCAAAAATTCAAATCATTCCTAGCTCCTTGCTGTGTTCTGTTATTTTTAGTATCAACTCGTGGCCCGTACTTCTATGAAGAGTAGTAGCTAACTCTTGCATAGGTGACGCCGATGCCGTCTTCCTCCTCCGTTCCGGAGCTACACTCAAGAATGCCATCATCGGTAAGAATCAAGCCGAAGGCGTTCACTGTGACGGTCCGTGTACGCTTGAGTTTGTATGGTTCGAAGATGTCTGTGAGGATGCCATCACCGTCGTAGGTTTCATCCAAGTGTCGTGTTTAATCGTACATCACTGACTTGAGACGCTGCAAGAAAAATGACGTGGCTGGCCAGCACTCCTGGATTATTGGAGGTGGCGCCTATCATGCCTCCGATAAGGTGGTGCAACATAATGGCTGTGGAACCGTGAATGTCAGTTTGACTTATCTCGAAGATGTTTTACACCGAGTTGCTCATCGCATTTACAGATCATCAACTTCTACGTCGAAGATTATGGAAAGCTCTACCGATCATGTGGCAACGTAAGTCAGCCCACCATTCGCTATATAACTATACTGATCACTTTTGTCTCGCGCAGTGCAGCAAGCAATGCAAGCGAAACGTCTACATCGAAGGAGTCACAGCCGTGAATGGTGGCGAGCTTGCGGGTATCAACTCCAACTACGGCGACACCGCTACTCTCAAGAACGTCTGCTCCGACGCCAAGGTCAAGTGCCAAATGTACAATGGCTGCGCTGGAGGTTGCGAGCCCACCAAATCTGGTGTCTGCTCCGGTTAAAGGAAGCCGCGTGGAGAAATTGTCACTTTGCTGATGCAGGCATCGTCACCAGACGAAGCGATGAATACGATATTGTCCTTCTTTGCACATACGGGCCGCCCGTAACGGGAATTTCAGTTGTAAATATTTATATGAACTCAGAATAACAACTCAGCTGTACTTATGATTCGTAGTCTAACTTGCAACCGCATCTCACATACCGAGACGTCAAAGAGAGAAAGCCACCCCTGATTCCACAAGATATGGGGTAGACACCCGGGATTCCACAACAGCCTCCTCACAATTGCCTTGTCTTTTATGCACACAAGGTCGCATATCCACTCACAACAGCTGCAGTTGCAGCAACGATCCATCGTCCGTTGTTCGAGTTACCCCATCTAGCCACTATGTCTGCCATGTCTGTCTTTTCAGCCCATTTCTTCACGGTACTCGACGCCGAATGCCGGTACACAGATGGTATCCCATTGCCGTGCGGCATGCTGAAACCTTCGTCTCGCAGCAGAGTCTGAGCTCTCCATTTACCAGCGCCGTTGATACCTGGCTCGAAGTACATGAATGTGATTGGAAGGATGGAGCCTATGGCAAGCGCTGCAGCAGCATACAGGGTCCGCTGTAAGGAAGCCGGATTGGCACATGCCAGAAAGACATTTGAAAGCGTTCCAGCTGCAGCTATTGGCCGAACCCACACAGGCCCGAACTGATACATGTGAAGCCATAGCTTGGCTATGACAGGCGCGGGTAGCTTCAAACCGGCCAGGCGCTTGGCAGACACTGAGTCTTGCGCTGCCATTCCTAGACACTGTTAGCATCTCAGGCTTCCCGGGCCTTGCTCTGGCACTTACCAGCAGATAGCACCGGCCCCGCGGTTGCAGTCCATTGTGCTAGGGCTATAATAAAAGCGAAGTTCATTCTGATGCAAGCTTTGATGAAAATCAAGATGCCAGTTGGTAGAAAGCTCTAGAGCGCCCCGCGATTTATGGTAAAGGATGACGTTTGCTGACTGGCGGGGTGATATCTTGAGGTGTCGGGAAATCAGTACGCGACACTGTTTGCCTAGAAAAGCCGTAACATGCGCCCCGTGTTCGACTACAAGTACTACAACATCTTCTGCATTTCACGTCATAGTCTAAGCGCCTTGTATAACTAAGTTCAAAGATCCTGTATCATCAAAAAGGTGCAGATGTGAATCCGCAAATAGGCGTACTTTTGGCAGCCGACTGTGACTACTGTGGACAGCACTGCTCATGACCGGCTCGATTCCACCATGGGTTGCACATAGGTCTGAATGTCCACATCACCAAAGAATTTCCCCAGCCGCGCCATTATCATAGTCTTGATCGCAAGGGGTCCTATTTGCTCCAGTCTCTCACCAGATCCTTCGTTTTGATATACCAGACGACCCAGACGTGTTATAACATCCACGTCCCTCCGCATACCGGCAATCGTCTTCTTGGCCGGGGTGGTCGTTTGGGAGTCTACGCGGAGCCGCAGACCTGCTTCGGGACATTTCGTCAGCCGATAATGGCCACAATGGCCCCCGAAGCCGAGCGAAGGCTCATCTTCTTCATCCTCAAGCCAGCCAGGTGAAGGGCCGTAGTGCGGCCCAAACACGATCGACACGTCCTTCAGCGTGGTGAACTTGCGAAAGTGGCGGTAGAGAGACTTCCAATTTCTGATCACGGCGTCTGCAGGGAAGGCCATGTGCTGGACGCTCCGGAATATCACGGTCGGATGATCTGGTAGGATCCTTACAGTCAAGGCCTCCAGAGGGCTATCCGCGTACATATAGTCGAACTCAGGACGGAACTTTCGACAGGGAACGAGCAGCTGAGAGCCATTCTCAAGCGGCAGCTTGGCGAGTCTGACATGTTTGAGCGCCACGGCGCGCGACTCGTAGCATATACGCATAATCGTGGGGAAGCCCGTGAGGACATGTGGCGCGGGTGGCCATTCCGCGTCGTCCTTGCGTTGGCTAAGAACCCAGACCTCGGGCGTGTCTTCAAGCGTGTGCTGATAGATGGCCTCGCGGATCTCTACCGGGAGATCACCGAAAGTCGTCACCATCTTTGCAGGGCAGGCAATGGGCTGGATCACACACAGTTACTAGCGATGGTGGAAGGGTGGAGGGGATTGTCGCGCGTTGGCCATAACAATTTGGAGATAACCCCGCGATCCAGGGTCTGAAACAATAGCCACACGGGGACACCCGTCCTGAATGACCTCGCTTCCGATAAGCACCTTATCATATCGTCAAAAATGTCAGCCTTAGAGATATCGGTCGTAAGAAGTGGCCGGTGATTCTTATGATTTATTCACCCTTACTATTATATCATGTTATATCTTATGAGAGGAGTAAACTTTATCAGTTATCGATTGTGCTGATCTGCCTTTTTATGAAGACTTCGTCTTAGAAAAGATCATGTTCAACTCAACCGGAGAGGAGTTAGCCGATGAACTTTGACATATACTATGACAGATAGGTTTAACAACTATCAGATATCAGCCACGACGAATGTCTCGCAGTAACTTTGTAAATTGATTCTCCCAGGAGACAAGCCAATAGGAGGTGAGGAGTGAACTTTCATGCCAGCCTTCTATTAGTCTGTAAAATTGAGACACTATCTCAAAGCCCGGAGAACTCAATTTTTGCTACAGACCAACTTTCACAAATCTCAGATCTAGATTCATACAAATAATGAAATTCTATATAGAGTAGAGGAGTGAATCCACATCGATAGCTAAATCGTAAGTTGTGTGGTGGGACAGACTCTGGGGTAACTAGCTCACCTCGATCAACACATCCCGGGTCTTTCCCCATAAAACATGTTTCATGTTCTGCCAGTCTCTATCACATCCTTTTGCCTGTAGGATTTCGTGAGACCTCTGCTGTATGATGAACTTAAGCAATAATGGGTTAGATAGGCAAAGCATAACAAGTAATAGAAGCATACCTCATGACACGCGTCGGGAGAGGTCACCCCGGTATTCGGCACAGCGCTGTCTAGTGGTGTTTTTACCATCAGAGAACAGTATCTACAGAGCATGTAAGAAAGGGCTCAAATAGCTCAAATGCCCCTGACAGAGAGAGCTCCATCCCATGAACGTAACCGTAACCCAGATATTCTACAGATTCTTGAAGATACATCATGAAGCTTTCAAACATTGCATTCTTCGCTTTCGCAGCTCTAGAGGCAGCTTCGCCCACAGTAAGGAACCACTCTACATTCTACACCCTCTTTTCCTCACCCCTAACCTACTTTCATCAATTCAGGGAATTGATGAAAAAGGCGCATCTGTAAAGAGAGGCGTCTACGGCAGCTGGATCATCTCTTCCGTAGGCCTGACACCCGAGGAGACCAGCGCTCTTCAAAAGAGGGGCGTATATGGTGGCTGGATTATCTCAGCTACCGATCTTGCTCCAGATGACGGGAGTGATGTTGAGAATAAGGCATGAATGAACAGATGAGGAGAGAGCAGACAATTCTATCAGTCGTCAGTAACTATTAGCGTCTGTTACGAGAATGTAATTTCTACAGCGAGACCTGATACATGACGCTTGACTTGGCGGATTGTCTAAGCCTGTGCATCTATGAAGCAAAGCTCTGTTTGATATGACAACGACCTTTTTGTTATCTGCGTCTTTGTGTCACGGACTAGGGAGGAGTATGAAGTTCACTGGAATGTTTAATGGTTCTAATGTGTGCAACATGTCACCGAATACTAGAGGCTTGGGTAAGTTCCGAGATGAAATGCTAGGGCGCTTGCACAGTCTAGAGCTCAGCATAGTGTCACTGATTGCCTGGGTATATTGCGGCCAAGCCACGCGTCTGCTGAAGAGTAACCAAGCAAAACATATTTTCCATCCAAAGTAATAACAGTGAAGTCTAAAAGATTTGATAGTGTTGATGTACAATCGACGGTCCCAGCCGCAACACCAACCATCCGGGTATCGATATTGCGCCAAGAAAATAAGCATCATTGATTCCTCACTACTCTCCCGTCTAGTTCCCCAACCTCGTTAGGCAGTTCGTGCGCGGTGTGAGGTGACGACACATCCGTATTGTAAGCCGGCAAACTTTTCCACCTCCAGTCCTCTGGGCTAGCCATCTGAGCCGAAGCCGGGTACTGTTGTGCAGGATACGGTTGTGCTGAGTACTGCTGGTTGACCATCTGCTGGGTGGCCATTTGTTGGTTCTGACCCTGTATGCCGGCCATTTTACGCTTCCATGATCGCTCCCTGAAGAAGAGAAATATCAATGCGGCAACAAGAAGAGCCGCCATCGACCCTCCCACTGCACCTCCCACGACACTTGCTGATGGCCCATCCGCGACAACTGGACATACATTCGTTCCGTTCGAGGCACAGCTTGCTGTTGATGACGAGGATGAGAGCGATGCTGTGGGTGTCGATGATTCAGTTGCAGATGCAGATGGTATGGCCGAAGAGGTGGTCTCTTCTAGGTCAAGTGTCGGAAAGAACGGGACACCAGGATTCAAGCTGAAGTTGCTGGCACAACAATTTGAGTCACCACCGCAACATACAGTCCGCGGCGGGTCGAAAACACCGGGCTCGCAGAAGTAGACATTTGCAAAGTTGTCTATCCGGGCTATGATAGCTATTAGACTGGCGAGATATAAGAACTCTCCCAAGAAGTACTCACTATCAACACATTGTTGACCACATTGTGGCGATGTCCAAGATCGATCTGTGCATCCGCCTCGATAGAGATATCCCGCGCTACCAAAGCAAAGTCCAGATGTCGTGCACACAGATGACGAGAGTTCACAGCACACACTGACTCGTCCGCCAGCAGTCGAGTTACATGGCTGGCCGGTGGTGTATTCGTCCCCGTTGGGAAAGTAGCACTTGTCCGTCGACGCCATGATCGTGTAGATCAACGTTGGTGTTTTGAGATGAAGTTCTTACCAATGACGAATTTTGGGTAAGATGAGACACGGAGTTCAAGTACGGCATCGAAGACAGACCGTGGGGAACAGGGTGGGAGCGTGCCGAAGGGTTAATAGGAGAGCGGATTGTGTTACATGGATCCTGGGTGGATCGGCAAATTCGCAGTGGTGTCTGTGCCTCAGGACCACAGCATGGTATGAGACTGTCCGTTGATCCATATCGACATGGGGCCATATGGCGTTAGGGTGTTGTCTGCTGTGCCCGTTGAAGGATTCCCGTGCTCCAGCCCACATCAAGGCTGATTCTGCCCAGCGAGGTCATCGGCTCCATGTACCGATGCTCTGGAACCTACGCCAGTATCCACAAACTCGTGGCTGTTCATCGTGAAGCTTAACTCGAGAAGGATCTTCTCGCCTGTGATGAATCTAGCCTCTCAAGCGAGAGGTCTACGAGGAAAGCTAGCGCCGCGCGCCAGGTCTTGGGAAGGGCCACCAACACGATTAGCCGCGAGTGGTGAGTGTCGGGATGCCAATGGTAAGCTTGATGTAAGAGAGTCAATCGTTGCCGAAGATTCCTTTCGCCGTACTGGCGCCTAGCGTTGCTGTCAAGATTTGCTGGTGGACTTGTTTCTGGATAACTTTGTGGTGAAGGAGCCCGATCCTGGCATGTTGGGGGGCGGGCGAAATGCAGCCTTTCCCGTCTCAACCTTGGCGCGCGCATAAACGCTGTTCCAAGTTGCATCGGGAGTAGCTTGGCAGGGTCTGAGGGATCAATGCACTCTTTTAGCCCACTGCTTCGAGGGCAGTCGAGGCAGTGCAGTGCAAGCTTTTTGGAAAACGGCTCGATCTGCGTCTGATTCGGGATTTTCCCCAGAGACGGCTTTCGGTAGATGAGCGTTCAAAGAGCTTGGCGTAAGAGCTAACATCCCGTCAAGAAACTCTTGCAGAGTATGTGATGGTCTTATATGACTCATGGAAACCCCTACAACGACAGAACAGTGACCTCCCAGGCTACAGATAGAAAAGGCTGAACGAATTGATCCCCACACGTACGAAACAAGACTTGAATTCGGGTTGCAGTTCCTGTGTATGCAAGGGGACTCGCTAATCAACGTGGCTTGCGCTGGCTGTTAGAGGAAACGGTGGTGTTGTCCGGCCTGCACGCATGCAGCCCCGGGTCTACCTAGGGAATTTGCAGTTGTGAAACCCGCGAAGACTTCCTATAACGATCATCCCGAAGAGAGGAGGACTGGTAGCGGACCCTGAATATCCTATTGGTGGCTGGGGTCGCTGGGCTTGCGGTTCACCTTCATCCTTCTGGTAGCTTGCGGCACAGCGCGTTGGGCAGAGCTCTTGATACGATGGCCTTGCAAGGCTTGTCAATGTGGTGACATATGGGATCGGGGAACGGCCCTTGCAACGTCCGGCAGACTCGCCTATTCAAGCCGGAGTGGGCAATGTTGCCGTCCATCTTGGAATCGTGGATCTTTGTCAGGGGATTCGTAATAGGGCAGGAAAGAAAGTGAAGAGAGGTAAGAATAAGCTACACACTAAAAGCTTGATCCTTGTGCTCCCGTGGCCGTGATTGCCTATTCTAATGCTCTCCTCCAGCGTCTTGCGGCTTGGAGTCTTCAAATGGGAAAGAGCCCGGATCTATTGGGAAGCCACGCCTCAACGCAATGCGCACCACTCCCGATGCACTACATAACATTATCTGGTTCATTCCTTCCATTCTCTGACAATCTGCTCAAGTCAAGTTCTTGCCCCGAGGCAGGCGACCAGCCCCGAAATGGAGGCATACACCTGCCCGTGCCGCGATGCTCAACGTCATAGCTCCCTGGGGCAGCTTCCTTCTCGCGGACTCTTATCCTTTTGCTCATTGTTGTGCTGTGTGGCGTGTGCTTCATACGTGTCGCAGCATATCGATGTTTAGTCCAGTCCAACAATTCAGTGTAATGTCACGAATGGCAAGACTAGCATAGCGACCGCTTTCTCCAAGGAGTTAGATTCCATCACGAAACAGTTAGCTAATCACCAAGAACCTACTGTTATTTCTTACGTTGTCCTTTCCGCATCCACCCGTATCCGTGGGCGGCTTGGAGCGGATTGAGGTTTGGAGACGAGTCGGTGGGAGGTTTGGGAGACCCAATGCGCCGACAATAAGCGGCCCCTCCGAGTGTCTTCGGCTCGGCACCGGAGGGGATGACTAACCACAGCTCATCTCAGTCGATGTCATCGTGGAATATCGGCCACATTCAGCGAGAAAGAAACCGCAAGTATTTGAGCTTTGTGCCGCAAACTAGCGGCGCCTGCAATCAAACTCCGTTCGCATGTTCTCTGGCGAAGTTTCTGATGCAAAATACTCTGTGCCATCATGATCTATCATCAGGCATCCCGCTGTGGATGGAAGGGGTGGAAGGTCAAGGCATCGACTGCCCCTAAAGTTTAGTGAATGCGGGGCATCTGCACTCCCGCCCTCGGCAGCGGGGTGCATCGTCTTAGTCAATTGGCCTTGGAGTGTCGACGAGTACGATGCGCCCCACGAGGAACGGAAGCCACGATCCACGATCTATTCACCTAACTGCCAGCTGATGGAGATGGGGACGGGATGGCGGAGACCAATTGACCCCAACTGAGACGCGGTGGAGCTCAAATGACGCCTCGTAAACCGCTTCCAGTTGTTTATATGTGTCAAAGCCGTCCGTCTCCGCTCAACGCTAAGGTGATTTGGCTTTCCACCTACGATGTCTTGCCCTTTGTTTCTGCTCTGATACTCTCCGGTTTGCCAGAAAGATCACTTGATGCCCCTTTTCTCTGTATCATAAACCTATAAGGACTTCTGCAAGCGCAAAAGCCTTCTTCCAAGAACCGGTCTCGTGTCTATCTTCCAACCTCCAACGTCATATCCAATTGGCTCCTCGACACCCAATTAACGGCAACCGCCAAGCAATCGAGACGAACATGCTCCCTCGAACGGTGACCCCACCTCCCGACGTGCTATCCGCGATCCGCACGCAATCGAGGACCAGGGGATTAGTGTTAACCCCCTCGGCAAGCCTGCGATATTGTCGCCCCCATGCCGCCTCTCGACTCCGAGGCTTCTCTAGCCGCAAATCCCCCGCATGCCCCGGTCTTCGGACCTACTTCTGGCATGGCTCATCCCGGGCTGTCCCCGAGAAGCACGGACAATATCAGATAAATGGGAAGTTGTTCACCACGTCTTCTAGAGACCCCACGACGACGGGACTTCAGCCATATAGTAGAACTCGAGGCTCATTAGCGATCCTTTCGTCGCCATCTGACCAGAAAGACTCTTCACCAGCGGTTCAGAGTAATAGAACGTTTGCGTCTGCATCAACCCCGCCCAAGATGTACACAACGTCATTTGCCTTCTTTGAGGCGTTATGGGAAGCTGGCGTAACCCATTGCTTCGTTAATCTGGGGAGTGACCATCCAAGCATCATAGAAGCTATGGTAAAAGGACAAAGAGAAGCACAAGGAAAGTTTCCGCGTATAATTACCTGTCCAAATGAAGTGAGTCCTTCCTCACTCTTGGCCGAGATATGCTCTAACTCGTGCAAAAGATGGTGGCAATGTCTGCAGCCGACGGTTTTGCCCGCCTGACGGGACAGCCACAATGCGTGATCGTGCATGTAGATGTAGGTACACAAGGTCTCGGGGCTGCCGTCCACAATGCATCTACCGGTCGAGCTCCAGTGTTGGTGTTCGCTGGATTGTCTCCATTCACAATTGAAGGAGAGATGCGGGGCTCACGAACCGAGTATATCCACTGGATACAAGACGTCCCTGACCAAAAGCAAATCCTGGCTCAGTACTGTCGGTACTCCGGTGAACTGAAGACTGGTAAGAATGTGAAGCAGATGGTCAATCGGGCCTTGCAGTTTTCAAGGTCGGCGCCGCAAGGTCCGGTCTACCTCTGTGGAGCCCGCGAGGTAATGGAGGAAGATATCGAGCCGTATCACCTGAACCAAAAATTCTGGGATCCCGTGCAACTCGGTGGCTTGCCGACTCCTGGAGTCAAAGATATCGCGGAGGCACTAGTCAATGCGAAGGAACCCCTCGTCGTAACCGGTTATGCGGGTAGAAACCACGCCTTCTCTCCCGCACTCGTGGAGCTAGCGAACACCGTCAAGGGGCTCCGCGTCTTGGACACTGGAGGCAGTGACATGTGCTTTCCGGCCGAGCATCCGGGCTGGCTGGGTCTACGCTTTGGGCGACACGAGGCCATCAAGACGGCGGACGTTGTCCTCGTTATCGACAGTGACGTACCGTGGATCAACACTAGCTTCAAACCCAAGGATGATGCCCAGATATTCCACATCGACTGCGATCCATTGAAGCAGATGATGCCGGTGTTCTACCTCGATGCAGTGCAGCGATATCGCGCGGATAGCCTGACGGCCGTAGAACAGATCACAGCATACCTGAAGAGCAACGAAGAAACGAAAGGGAAACTTGCGAGCGAGGAGTTTAGCAGTAAATGGGAAGCGTTGGAAAAATCATATAAAGATCAAATAGACGACATCGCCGAGCGAGCGAAGCCACTTGAGGATGGTTCCTTTGGCACTGGCCACCTTTGTCAGAGACTGAGGGAGCTCTGCCCCGATGATACGATTTGGAGCATAGAAGCCGTGACAAACACGATATTTGTGCATGACAACCTACAGCCGAATCTCCCTGGTCACTGGATCAACTGTGGTGGCGGCGGTCTGGGCTGGTCTGGTGGCGGCTCTTTGGGAATCAAATTGGCGACGGATGAGCAGAATGGCGGCCCGGGCAAGGGCAAGTTCGTTTGCCAAATTGTTGGTGACGGAACATTCCTCTTCTCGGTACCAGGTAGTGTGTACTGGATTGCACAGCGGTACAATATCCCAATCCTAACCATCGTGCTGAACAACAAAGGTTTGTTGGTCTCGCCCTTACCTGGTGCTGAGAGAAAAGCTGATAAACGACAGGATGGAATGCGCCGAGAAACTCGCTCCTGCTGGTGCACCCAGATGGTCTAGGGTCCAAGGCCACGAACGAAGAGATCAATATCTCATTTGATCCCGTCCCTGATTACGCGGGCATTGCCAAGGCTGCTGCGGGTGGCAACCTCCATGCGAGTAGGGTAGACAAGGCGTCAGACTTGGAGAGTGTTTTGAAAACCGCTATCGAAGCGGTTCAAAACGGACAGAGTGCGGTCGTTGACTGTAAGGTTGTCAAGGGCCAGTAAACAATATGAAAGAGGGTTGTATTGCGGTGACGTGTACATGAAATAACATTGGTCTGTGAGACGGCCCAAGAGTGTCGACCACCAGAAGGTCGGTATATTTGGTGGCTATATGAGCATATATTATAAGAACTCGTCAGGATGCTCACCCGTCTGTTGTCTTCTGTGAAAAAATCGTGACACTCACACAATGCAGGAAATGGCCAAATTGCGGCCAGGGCGTCAATGCATCGGAACCAGAGAAACGAAGCTCTCACCACACGATGCGCGTGGCGATCGCCAGATCAACTTACCTGATCGAGAGCGGCAAAAGGCAGACTGGTTGCATATCAAACGGCTTTGGCGTCGCAGGCCTCGTGCGGCAGTCTCAGTTGAGCCGTGCAGGGCTGTTTCGGCAGCGGTCTCCGAGAGTCTGGGGTCGCGATAGGCGGCGTTTTAAGTGGCTGTTTGCTTGGCTTGGCGGCTTGGATCTTATCAATGCTAGCCTGCACGTGGTGGAAAATATCAGATGCAGAAATGAGAAAATGGAAGTAAAGCAGTGAGGAAACCTTTATTTCTTATGGCAATAACTGGTGTCTGGGTAAGAGTAAGCGAGCAGCCGTCAGATAGCCGATCCGTCCGCAAGACACTGCATGGTAAGACTCCTAGGAGGATGTTGGTGCAGCGAGCAAGATTTCCCGATTCGTCTCAAAGCGGCGTCTCCCCAGATAGGCTGGCATCTGTCATCTCAACAACGGCTGCCGGTCCGAACGAGACACGGCAGTCTGATCGGCTCTTGGCGAGCGGCGATCCTGACGTGCCCGCATGGCCCGCCCAGGTTGGCCGTGACAGATCGGATAACTACTCCTGTCTGAGGAAGACGGGACGGCATTGGCAGGATCTCTTTATAAGATCCACTGACTCTCCTATGCTACGATCTCGTTCTCTCTCTTGCCTTCTTTCCTCACCCACGAGCTCTTCATTTCCATTTCTCGCAGAGTAGATCTCTCGATCGTTACCAGCCCAAAGTTCTGTGAACTTTTTCCATTCTTTCGTATATAATTTACAACAGTCGTTACACCGCAAGCCGGTCTTTACACCACTTCACTCTTCAAATCATCCAAAATGCAGTTCAACAGCCTCCTCCTCGCGCTCGTCGCCGCCTCGGCCGCCACAGCCAAGCTCTTCCCCCGACAGGCCGGCGCCGCCGACTTCGGTGCGTGCACGCCGACGATCGACTTCCAGCTGGGCCGCGAGGGCCGCAAGGCGGACGAGGGCACGTTCCTGCCGACGGACCCGCTCGTGGCCAAGGGCCAGCAGGACGCGCTCAACCCCAACATCATCACCAACCGCGTGTGCGACCAGCTCACCAACGTGTGCGACGCCAACGACGCGGCCAAGGCGCTGTGCGAGGACGCCAAGGCGCAGGTCCAGGCGCTCGGCACCAAGGACGCCAGCACGGCGGCTGCGTTCAATGCCGCGCTGGGGTTCTAAACGACGAGCATACTTGTTTTGTTTGTTGATGAGGGGACTACCCTAATGGCGGAGGAGTGGAGTCGAGGATGAAATGTAGATTGGAGGAAGGAAAGTGACTCTGAGAGGGGGATGGGGAAGCTCGTTCGGGATGGGGGAAGTATGCTCCAACGGAGCGTACTGTTCACGATGAGGGAAATCAGTTGTACTATTGTCACCTTTGCAGTAGACAGACAACATTGACAACCTTGCCTCATATCAAAGTCCAAGGCAGCATGAAGTCGCGGGTGAGTGAATGATGCAATCATAGACAAGTTTCTCCAAACATTACCTCCAAGTCTTTGGGCAGTAGCGTACTATTCTCTTCATCTTGCCCTTCTCTAGTCTATGAGAGCAACGGCCTAGAACATTGGCGGCAGACGCGGCTTACTCCAAGTCGTCTTTAGCGGTGAAGTGAGTTTCCCCCTCGAAAGAGCCTCCAAAAGCTAGTACAGTGTGAGACAAGTGTCGTGTCGTGAGTCGACACACAAATAGACGGCATCAGCACCCGCCTTTGGCTCGCTTGACAAGGGGCGCGTAGCTTCTGCAGGAACGTTACCCGAGTTCCAATGTGCCGAATGAAGAGACGATGGAATTAGGCAGTTAGTTCCCATCGCGGCTGTCCGCGACGAAGATGCAGACGGCAGATGGCCAAGAGAGATCCTACAGGCTCCGAGAGGCTCGTGGGTGCGCATCGTGTATGCGGAGTGCGAGGGACTCGTCACTTTGGTATGGGAGTCATTCTGCGTAGTAGGCAGGCTAGACCCCGATTTCTCCAATTCTTCAGTGCCCATGTGATGTGAACCCTGCAGGTGAGCCGGGGCCTCGATATTACCCTACATGAGCCTAGCAGGCGAGGCAGGCTAGCACGACCAGCCGGGTCTTACTTTCGGGCTTGTTAGACTGTTGACTGTGCAGTAGTTGAAGGTTCGTCGAGATGGTGAGATGGGACTTTTGCGCAGTTTGCCGCCTGACCCCTGCTGAATATCGGCCGGTTCTCCTCCATAATGCTCATTAAATGTTGAGGCCAAGGATTGTGATAAAAAGCCGCGAGACGGCCCTTTCGATGACGCCGTTCTGGAGCGCCGAAAGCACGCAGCTTGGAGACGATCATCTCAGACTACCTCGACCGGTCGTTCGCGTGCGGGAATAGCCACGCCTCGAAGCGCTTTGGTGTCCCCATCAGATCTGCTAGCAGGACTAGCATTCCATTCCCATCTTATCTCTCGGTTTCGCCCCCGACGGGAGCTCCCCAACAGATCTCATTGCAGACTGTTGCGCGAGTTGGCGGACACGCCTGGACATTCTCCCTCGAGGTAGCGTATCTTTCGTGGGACGATCTTCGCCACCGGCCGAGAGAGGAAACGAGTCGGATTCTGCACCAATTTGCGTCTGCATTAGGGCCGATGCGGCGGGACAAGGACTCTCCTTCCAATTGCTACGCTCGCCCGTCTCGCTAGGCACCGTGGCACCGTGAGGCACCGTGAGAAGAGCCGGGAATAGCTTGCAGCTGCATCCAATTTGGGGGGAAGGTTCCAGCTCCAGCTGTGTGAGATGAGGGGTTGCATCCATCCACCCATCCCACACATTTCGTTCATTCCATTACATCTCTCAAAGAGACCCATCCCACAGATAATAATACTAAGGTAAAGAGGCATGCAGTGAAATCTGCCGGACGGAGTCGCCTTCTGCAGAATCAGATCAGGCAGCTGCGACCGGGGCCGGCGAAGGGGACGCCGAAGGAGACACGCACGAAGTGCATGCCCCGTTCAATCAACTTACAGTACCGCACTTTACTACGACATCAGCGAGGCGAGTTGCTGAATTGCCGATCTTGGACAAATCCAGAGAGCTCCAAAGAGAGACACAGCAGAAGCAAGCAAGCAAGCAAGAGCAAGACAGAGCAAGACAGACAGCTTTCTGCAAGCCACACATTTGCCCCGCCATCGTTCACTCAAGCCAATTGATCGGGAGCAGAGAGAGACATCGGCGTATTTATCGCGCCAGCCCACGCAGCCTTCGCTTGAAGTGCACTCTACCAGCTATATACAGACACCTAAAGACAATTGGAGACGCAGCTTCTTTTGTCGCGGAGCAAGCAATTGAGGGCTCCTCGCAGTGCGTGTGAGGTAGCTCTGGGCGATATTCTTCAACGACTCAATCCCTCTTGGTATCCTTTTTGATTTTATTTTAACCTCTGGCGTTCGACCGTTCTCGACCGTGCAACGGCGGACCCCTACAGGTACCAGTTGCAGTCTACTGCAGCCTCGACTAATAAACCCGCCGCCGTCGCGTGTCAGCCGAGCTAGACCGAGGCGAGAAGCAACAGACATCCTTGGGAAAGAAGACGACGAACACGCACGAGATCACCAGATCACCAGATATGAAGCCGTGTGGCACCGATTCGAGCACGTCCATCCATACAACAGCCTCGGTGACCCTCCAAACGGATACATAGACGCCGTTCCAACCCGCCTGGGCTCATCCTCCGTCTGTGGTATATCTCTAAATACACACTCGGCGGCGGGAAGTGGTGGGGCTTGGAGAAGAGAAACAAACAAGCATCATCCACCTGGACCTAGAAACGGTACCTGACTCGAGCACTTGAACAAAAACGTCGACGCCGCCGGTTCAAAAAACACCAAGAACACTATACCCTCTTCTGACACTGCACTGCTTGGAACGCTCGGCTCTCGACAGAATCGCTAACCCCCTCCGATAACGACGGCGGAATGTCGCCGAACCCTGCACAGACCGAGGAAGCGATACCTCCACCGAACGAGTCGACTGAAGAGGCTGACCTCCCCAAAACGCCCCCTCCGCCACCAAACCCCTCCCACGACCGCACTCTAACCATCGAGACACCCGACTCAACCCTCGAGCCTATTACATCACCCGAGCTCAATGCCCAACCGGACAATATCTTCGATGTCCCGCCTCTCGCGGCCCTCAAGCTGCTCAGCGCCGGCGTCGAGGCACTGGTGCGCATCACAGGCGACATCCCTCCTACCCCGCCGCCCTCGACACCGCATATGCCGAACATGAGAGGCATGCAGGCAGAGAAAGAAAGTATACAACGCAATCTGTCCGAAAGGAGCCTCGCCCGGCTTAGGGAACAAGCAATTAGAGACACTGCGCGAGCAGCAGGCTCCCCTAGCAAAGGAGCACGGCAGCCCATCCCAGGCTCACCTCTGCGGCCCACTCCCGCCACGCGCACCTCCTCGAGCAAGTCCGTCCCCATGCCCGGCCAGCAGACACCCGTAGCGCCCATCGACGGGGTGCGCCTCCGGACGCCCACGCCCGCACCCACGCCGGACCTCGCGCCGCCCTCGACGCCCGAGCCGTACATCATCATCGGCGACGACAGCCAGCCGCTCAACATGCAGCACAGCGCCATCACGCGCAAGTTCTACAGCAAGAAGCCGCCGCCCATCGGCATCACCGACTACCTGCTGCGCATCCACCGCTTTTGCCCCATGTCCACGGCCGTCTACCTTGCCACCTCGCTGTACATCCACCGCCTCGCCGTCAACGAGCGCGCCATCGCCGTCACGAAGCGCAACGCCCACCGCCTGCTGCTCGCCGGCTTAAGGGTGGCCATGAAGGCGCTCGAGGACCTGAGCTACCCCCACGGCAAGGTCGCCAAGGTGGGCGGCGTGAGCGAGCTCGAGCTAGCGAGGCTAGAGATCAGCTTTTGTTTCCTGTGCAGCTTTGAGCTGGTCGTGGGGAAGAAGGCCCTCACGGACCACTGGATGACGATGAGGAGCGGGCGGAGCCTGAATACGATTGGCCAGATGGACGGGGCGATGCCGTTGCCGAATCTTACCATAAGGAGAGGGAGGACGCCTTCGAGGGAGGAAGGATGAGGATCGAATTATGTGGGCAGACCGAGAAGCGATATCTCTACTTATTTGGTAACAATACCGGGATATGACTGGATTGCTGTCGGGACATTGCTGGTGCAGTCAAGGCTATAAGCGATCAATACTTTGCTGGTTACTAGGAGGTCCCAACGCTGTTGGGATCAGGGGGTATAATCAGGGCTTCAATATTGAGCATCAGTTGCATTTTCGCATCTAGGGAGGCAGCATATCATCATCATGGGACAACAAATTGCATTTTGCTTATGGCGGGCGGCAGGCCGGCAGGCGAGGGCAGCATCAAGTCCGGGTTCAAATGGGCATAGGGGGGACGGGCATAGCATTGGCGGCATGTTTTCATTTATTTATTCCTGGAATTCATTTCAAACCATATCTGATTCTTGATACCCGGGGTTGTTTGCATGGGGCGGTTTGCTTGCTTATTCGGGACTCTATATATATCTGCCTCCACTTATTTTGTAGGCAGAGAAAATGAAGTAAATTTCTCTGTGTCCTCTTTCGTTTCAGCAATCCACAAAGGAGGTTCCTTGATCCAGCGATGTATTGACTACAGACAGTAAAGTATGGTCTTGCAGGAGTCCAGATTGCTGTTGGCGTAAATGAAATGACCGTCGTCCTGTCTACATGTAAACTTCCCCCGAGAACTCTCAAAGGTGCTTCGATCGGGGATGGGGATGTCAGCTATGCTTTCTTGCGGGTAGAGAGAGGGACTGAGCAGACTCACCCGACCTCTGTCCACACAGGAGTCTCGGTTGTTTCGGACGGCACGATCTCGAGCCAACCTCGCACGTCAGGATTCCCTACGAAGTTTGTCCAGAGCCGCTGGGACTTCCAGTCGGGATACGAGTAGGCCTGTATCCATCCAAAATCTGTATACTTTTCTTGCCGGCCGACCTTGTCGTCATCGTCGTAGTACTGTTGCTGGGATAAGCACATTGTAGTCGGTCCAAGTACGAGCTTCCGGTGGTTGACTTACAAACGCCAACCCGGCTTCAACTGGTCCAAAACCAGTCGACTCGTCTTTCAGAAGGCAATTGACCAGGTGAACGCTGGGTGTCCCGCGTTTCTGAATCTGCTTAGTAGTCGGCAGAGCCACGACGCAAGACAGAAACACTGATGCTATGAATAATTTCATTTTGATTTTATCTGCGATTTCGGCCTCAATTCTTTGAATCCTAAATCTCACACACGCTTTAAATCATAGCAAAGATCAAGTCATTTATGTAAAATTTCTGGTGAAGCTATATTTAGCCATCCTTGTTTGGTGCTAAGCTGTTCGCTTCCATGATGGGCGCGTTATGGCGGCCGCTTGCGGATCATGAAGCAAGTTACATTGCAATTTGAGCAAATGTCATTCTGTTTAGACGATTGTCTCATTATTCAAGAGCTACACAGCTCGGTTGCTACTACCAGGGGTAGATTATTGCAAACAGAGCATCGAGCTAATGCTGAATCAATACAGTCCAACTCTACTACCACTGATCAATTCGGATATTCATTACTCCAATAACAAGAGTCAAAGCATTGACACTAGACAGACAAGGTCATTTGCTTTTGGTGATATCAAAGCTCTCTTTATATTGTTATCTCTGGACAGAAAGTAACGTGTCAGGCGTCTGTAGCAATATGTCCAGCCTTTTCAATGTACAATCATACCTCATACTTCTACACATCTACCCGATTATATGAAGCAGAATTCTGGTCAAGAAGAAGCCAATAGCCAACCAGAGTGTCACTATTGAATTGCTAGTCGCCCAAATTCGCCGCACAATCATCCTTATAGTCTCAACCAGCCGGGTCCGGCTGCTCTAACACGAATCCGGGTCCGTCGGATTTTATTGCCTCCGAGACTATGATCAACATACCCGGAATATTGACACAATAGCGTTCCTCCGACGTGATGCCATACCAAATCTCACTCACGTGTAGTCCTATGCAGATCTGAGCTGTCGACACTGTATATTCTATCCTCATTTGGTTGATACTTTAGTGTTGTTACCTGGGAGATGGATGCCAAGACAGAATCTGCGAAAATGCATCTGCTCATCTTAGGAGCGACGGGGAAAACCGGCGGCTACGCCTACAAGTATGCCCTGGAGCAAGGTAAGCAGATCATTTTCAAGATATGAAGTTGCATGGTAACATGTACTAGGCCATCACGTTACAGCCATCGTCCGAAACGCTTTGGCCGTGGCTCCGCATCCTGACCTTACGGTTGTTGAAGGCTCGGTCCTGTCAGAAACTGATATGAAGCGTGCCTTTTCCGCCGCAGACATCCCTGTGAATGCAGTGCTTGTATTCCTAAATCCACGCCGCGCTTCAAATCGTCGCTTCTCTCGCTTTATTGGCCCGCCCCGTCTGATGGCAGATGCGACGGCCAATGCAGCACGTTTGCTGCGCCAGGCATGTCGTGAACAATCGCGAGAGCAGAAGCCACGTCTGGTTGTCATGAATGCTCTTGGCTCTGGGGAGAGCCGGAAGGTGACACCGCTTATTATACGACTAGTCATTGACTACACGAATGTGGGAAAGACATACGAGGACCACAATGCTGTCGATGCGGAGATTGAAGGGAACTGTGGTGACGACATACTGTGGACTCTTGTATTACCTGTCGGGCTCAAAGATGCCGGCACTGAACCTGTGAAGACGTATGGACACACGGAGAGAGGTGCTAGCTTATATATTACCCGTGAAAGCTGCGCGAGATGGATGGTCGATGTGGCAGCAGGGACAATGGATGACGAATTTAGCAACAGAAGAGTTATTGTGTCAAATTGAGATGATACGGAGAGTAGTACAGTTTCTGATTTGTTTTCGGGAATGCATATAAATGTGATTTTGATTCCGCCCACGTAAATGCCCATGCTCAAACATAGATGTAGCATAACTTGCCATCAAGTCCACCCATTGTGTCCATCATGTCTCTCGTAGCGACCTCCGGTGCCAGAACCCCTAAACCGTACTTATCATCTAACGTGCCGTTGCGACTTGGAGGCATGTTATTCATGGTCATGGTCTTCGAAACCTGTGTAAGCCGAGTCGCCAAATCTTGAAGCTGCCAGATCCACCACACCCTGTCAATCATGCCGTGATGGAGCCAGAAGACTGGATCGCCGGGGGACACGAAGAAGTCTCCTGCCGGGTCACCGCCCACAGTGTAGTGACCTCCACTGTGGACTCCCCACTGACCCAGATTGAACTGCCCCTCCATGACGGTTTGGAACCAGTAAACATTATTGTTCTTGGTGATGAGGTCGTAGGTATAGTTTGCCGTGGTGACAGCAGCAGAATTCTTATTCACGTCTCGACGTAGGCATCGCGGATTGTAACCAAGTCCGTCTGATCGCGGGTTGCTCTTCAAGTTCGGAATAGTCGCAGCCATGGGTCCCAGGTTCACAGACATGCTGTAGATATTTAGATAAGTAATGGAGTTTAACTCTGTTCATCATCATGTTGGATCTTACTTCTTAAATGGGCCACTCGTCACACATCCGCCACCATCAGCAGGAGGAATGACGTTGTATGGTGCTGGAGCACCAGGGATAGGGATTCCTTGATGTGCTACTTTCTCTCCATTGCCTCCCATACTGGAGTCATTTCCATTGAACAGAGGTGAGTTAACGGGATCCTTAGCATATCGATCCCAGTTCCAATACTGGTCAACAATTTAGCATGAGTAGTCACCTTATTGTTGGATTGAGGCTTACGGGCTGATATCCTGTATATCCACACTCTTCCCGGAGAGCATTCTCGTAATGCCACACATAGTACCGATGCCAGGGTAAGAAGCTCGTCTGAATGTGTGAGTGATGTGGCTTCTCTAGAAAATTGAGTATTGGCAGCTTACAGATCCATGAACTTGAGGTGTCATTTGGATGTGTACAGCGACATAGTCATCGAAGCGGCTCTTGGCACCTGGTGCCGAGGTCTTCGGGGGCTTCGATTGTAAGCACAAGACCGCTTTGGTGTATTCCTTCCTTTCATCTATTGTGAGATCGCTCCTATTAAAGATTAGACTCTCATAGAAATCAGAAGGGGTGTCTTATATGCACTAACCATTCCTTTCGCTTAACAGCCTTTTCAAATGTGCACCCATTCTTGGCGGGATTCTTTGCTAGGTAGTCCTTGAGTTTGGCAATCCCAGTTTCTTGAAGCTGGTCTACAACATCGGGAGGATAAACTCCAGCCGCGGCAAGGCTGGTGAATAAGATGAGGCCCAAAGTAGAAGAAAGACGCATCATGGTTGACTTGGCTCTAGAAAGCTTCTTTGGCGTAAGTGAAGCAAACTTTTTCGCAAGCCTTGCCTTCTAGGAGCCTTGGCTCCCCTTCTATTTGAAGTCCACAAGCCCGGATCAACGGCATCCATGACCAAAACGCCACAACATCGCGTCTATATTACAACCAGGTTGAAGAGTGCCAAGACGTCCGTCAATCCCACGGCTTCGGCCCGCTTAGCAGCAGAGTTGCCGCCGGCCTCTCTTTCATTACCATGTATCTGATTCCAGAACTGACAACTACCGACTTTTCGTAAACGAATATTAAGCTTATATACTTTCATCTCGTGTTGGTGGGTGGGAATCTGGGGTGCATCTGCCGCGTTAGTGCCAAGACCTGGATATTAGCAAAGTTCATCTCGGGCTGACAAAGGGAAGCCCTTGATTCGCCGCTGAGGCTGACAACACCTGGCCCTGATATAATTCCTGAAACGTATCACGGATATGACATTGGCTTTTGACTAACGGCGGGCTGTCGAGAAAACTCAGCCAAGTGCGCCTGATCGAGTTGGTATCCATCACAGCCAATTGAGTCTCTGGAGACGCAATAGCCGCCTTCTTCTCCCGAATAGCCTTATTGATGAATTCCAAAACGGGCATGGTCAACAAACGTGCTCTGTCGTCGAAAATGACCACTTCGTAACTTCTTCATGCAGAACCAGGAATAGTTTCCTACTTCCAGCACGTCCGCTTGAGCCCCCTGGGTGGGTGTCACCAAGCAAGTACGGAAAGGTGATGACACGTTGAAACGCGACATGTTGAAGTGACAGGAAGAATATCTGTTGCTGTCAAAAAAGCGAAGAAACAGAAAATCCTGTGTGGTGGTCTAACCGAGATGCTCGACGCCTCTGGCCACTAGCCACTCTTATGGTTGTCCTTGTCTTTTTATGTTGTATTTGAACCGTTAACCTAAAATTGTCCAACTTGTCACCGTCAGCACTTCGAACATTGTTAAGAAAGTATCGTAAATGGAAGACCGTCAATACAAGTGAAATTAGACTCATTGACTCTACCTCAATCCGAATGGTATATGATAATGACCTGAATGTAGCTATCAGCAACAGGACTTTCTTAATCATACTGTCCAGCGGCCGGTTGAGCGAATGGCGAATATTGGCGAAACTCTTGTACTAATTCTTTTATATGGAGTGAGCACAGTAAGGAAGTGAGGAGTTCTTCAGGCGATAGTATGTTACGTACATTCTACTTCAAAGCGCCCATATTTTATTCGAGTGGTAGCCCCTCAGAGAGCCAAGAGTCAAAGAGTCAAAGAGTCAAAGAGTCAAAGCTTGACTCAACTCATAACTATCGCTAATTATATTTTATTGTCACATTCATAGCTAGAATTGTAATCTGTAACTTTATTAAAGCTCTTTGATGAGGAACTTTAGATTATTTGCATCTTTTCAGCAGACAGACTCCGCAATGAAGAGCGCATGCATTCTTTGTGCGCTCTCAGTTACGAACAGTTGATGTGCTCTTGTCTTTTGTCAGCCATCGTTGTTTTCTCCACTGGCACTGGCGAGACTAACCCCGCTGTGGAAGGTACCTTGTTTGAGCGAGCTGTTGCCCCGCCATCGTCACTCGTACGGCGAACAGCCCTTCAACGCCGCCCCGCATCGGGCCGCTGCTTTCCTTGTGCGACGGATACTGAAGAGAGATAGCATCTTCCACATTGCCTCACCTGACCTCCGTCTTTCTTCCTCCCAACTCCAGTCCTCTCGATTGATGCTTCCGCGTAGCCATCAATACACGCGGCTTATCACACGGCGCCTCAAGCACTTCACGATAACCCCTGCGAGCTCCCGGTGCATTGCGACCGCCGCAAGCCGAGCACCGAAGCGACTGATAACGCCTTCACATCAGACCGGTTCATTCCCACGAGAAGTTGACCGCCGGCACCCTGAGCTCCGCTGCTTTGCGACGCACTCTCAGCATATCACTAAGCTCAGCGACCAGGGGAATCAAACGTCAGGCACAATGGCGACATACGAGGAGGTATTGAAGGGCAAATATCCGGCCAAGCTCCACGTGAAGCGCGTGGTGGACTACATCCGATCCAAGGTGCCCGATGCCTCCGGAGTGCTGTACCTCGAGGGTCGAATGACCAAGATGATTGAGGACAATGACGAGGCAGAACACTTCAGGTAATCTATTGCCCTGGGAGCTTTTGCGTGCACTGGTGCTAATCATTGTGCCTCTCAGACAACGGCGCTACTTCTACTATGTCACCGGCTGCCCGCTTGCTGATTGCCACTACATCTACGATATATCGACATCAAAGTCCACTCTCTTCATCCCGCCGATCGATCCCGAGTCCGTCATATGGTCCGGCTTGCCTACGACAGCCGAGGAGGCGCTCGAGCTGTACGACGTCGACGAGGTCAAGTACACGAACGATGTCAACGCGACCCTCACACACCTCGGCTCCAAGGTACCTAAGTCGACGGTCTTTGCTATCCCGGAGCAAGTCTCCGACCATATCACCTTCCTCGAATACGACAATAAAAACCTCTCGATCCTAAAGGAGGCCATTGAGGTCTCCCGCGTCATCAAGTCCGACTACGAGATTGCGCTCATCGAGAAGGCCAACGAGATCAGCAGCGCAGCGCATCGTGCGGTGCTGGAGAAGGTGGCACATGTGAAGAACGAGCAGGAGCTGGAGGCGGTCTTTCTCGCCAATTGCGTGTCACGGGGCGCAAAGGAGCAGGCGTATCACAGCATTGTAGCTAGTGGGCGCGCTGCTGCGACCCTGCATTATGTGAAGAATGACCAGCCGGTGGAGGGCAAGCTCAACCTACTTTTGGATGCTGGTGCGGAATGGAACTGCTATGCGGCTGATATCGTGAGTTGAGGTAACATACTAGAGACAGGACCAAGCTGATATAATCTCCAGACGCGAACATTCCCCATCTCGGGCAAGTTTTCCAAGGAGTCGCGCGCTATTTACGATATCGTGTTGAAGATGCAGCTGGACTGCATTGCTGCGCTCAAGGAGGGCGTCAAGTGGGACGACGTCCATGAGCTCGCCCACAAGATTGCCATTGACGGTCTTCTAGAGCTTGGCATTCTGCAGGGCGACAAAGACGAGATCTTCAAGAGCAGGACGAGCGTTGCGTTCCTACCGCACGGCCTGGGCCATTATCTAGGAATGGACACTCACGATACTGGCGGCAATGCGAACTACGCAGACAAGGATCCGATGTTTAGGTATCTGAGAGTCAGGGGTACTCTCCCAGCAGGTAGCGTGATTACGGTTGAGCCTGGTGTAAGTCATCATCGGGAGTATTGGCCAGGGCACTGCTAACGCTTCTCAGATCTACTTCTGCAGCTTCATTATCGAGCCCTTCCTGAAGGACCCCGTCCACTCCAAGTACATTGACGCGGCAGTATTGGATAAGTACTGGGACGTCGGCGGCGTGCGGATTGAGGACAACATCCTGATCACGCACGACGGAAGCAAGAACCTAACACCTGCTGTGAAGGACGTCGCGGAGATGGAGAAGATCATCGCTGGGAACTAAACAACGGCGTCGTATGCGATGTTAGTTGGTCCTATCAGGCGCGACCGTTTGTAAGACCAAGAAGGCAATAGAGCCGAGCGTCCATGATAAGATACAGTAGATAATCCTCCGTGTGGTAGAAAAAGTCCCATGCATGATGCACTCCTTCGCTCGCAAGTGAACCTCCCGTGCTTTTGCAATATATCTCGCCGAATCAGTGCCTAGACAGCGACTGTATGCATCTTCTCGAGCCCTCGTCAGCGCTAGCTTAGTGCTTTCTAGACCTTGGAGCGCGGTTTTCACCTACACTAAACTACACGCGGTCCGTGCCTTGGGGTCTCCGACGTCATTTCAGCGTTATTCCTCAGATAGACCACTGTTTCAATCCTAAATCGTGGCTTTTCACTTGGGAAAGACATTCTACACGCAGCCTCGCAGGCCATACACACCCACGCACCCATCTATACAGCTTGAGGAGCAGTATTCCATGCTTCTTTCAGTTCCCCACATTCCCTTGAATTGGGTGGACGGCGCGCTATTGGCGTTGAGTTAGTTTCTCATTAGCTTCTTCACGACTGGGCGAACACGCTCAATTGATCTCCAAATGCTGACGTCGCGCGCTTCGAAGCGGTTGGTGGCGTCTCGCAATGCCTCACTGCCGCCGCCACCACCATCACTGACCCCTTCACACCATTCTGGCAGCCGCCAGGCCTGTGCATCCCGGCTGAGTCGTGCCCGGCCATCACCTTGTAGGCATCGTATCCAGACAGGATCACTAGTCCAAGCACCTCGAGGTAACCAGCTTGTTGGTGGTCACAGATTGAGCGACTTGTACCCGGCGGCGTTCTTCCACCGGTCCTCGCGGCACATGGCCCCAGATGCAACTGCCAAGATGGCCTCTTCGATACGCGAGATCATCACGCCCACGCTGCTGCAAGATGTCAGGACGACGTGGTTCGAGCAATGTGACAGCGACGAGCTCGTGATTCTGCCCAGCCAGGACACCATGATGCAGTGGTTCCGCCGGAACGAGGAGTTTGATAGGATCTGTGTGTAAGCTAAGCGACACTCCCGATTACCCCTGCCCCCGAGACCCCGGGCGTTGCGACCCTCGGTCTCCTCTGTCTCTTACTTATCCCTCCCATGCCATGCCATGCAGGCACCGGCTGATCAACGCTTAGCTCCCGGTTTAGCCCTGCCCTCGAGGAGCTCAAGGCTTCCGGGGTGGACGGGGATGCCCTCCTGGACGCGGTGCAGCCGTCGTCGCCACTGGACTGGCTGAGCCTGGTCCTGCTCTTTGACCAGATACCCCGGAACGCGTACCGCGGCCCAGAGTCTGCCATCGTCTTCAATGTGTTCGACCCCATAGCGAGGGCCATCGCCACGCGGGCTATAGACGCCGGCATTCCGCTCCACGCCCAGATCCGGTACCGTATCGGCTACCGCATGTGGTTCTGCCTGCCGCTGATGCACAGCGAGGACATCGCTTTGCATAAGCTGGCCGTAGAGCAGATAGAAGCCATGGCAGACGATGTCCGAGGTGCTGGGGCGGAGCCGGGCTTCAGTAATGCCGACGGCGACGAGCTTGCGTGCAGGAAGGTACTCGCGGATGACAAGGAGGCGGCGGCGAAGCGCTGCGAGGGACAATTAGAGTTTGAGAAGAAGCACCAGGTCATTATTGAGAGGTTCGGAAGATATCCGCATCGGAATGAGGCGCTTGGACGGACGCCAACGCCGGAGGAAAAGGAGTATTTGGAAAATGGGGGCGATACCTTTGGGTGATCTGGTGCATTTTGCGGTGAACAGCAACGGGCTGGTATTGGTTCTTATCCTGCTGCCTGTACATCTAAGGTTGAGATATGCATGGAGATCTGTCGACTTTCTGATAAGTGACTACATCAAGGTCGAGGTGCGGAGTAGCAAGTGGGAGTCAATTGACACGAGTAGCTTACTACACTACACCGTTGACAGGCGTTTCCTCCAATAGCTTGGGGAAGTGATGGCATTATCTGATTAGTTGTGAGTTCCCAGATAGGCAACTCTCCACTCCATCGGAGGCTCTGCATCATGCTCCGCAAGCCCGCCGCTGCAAGAAGAACGTGTGATTATGCTGTGCCACATCAATGTCAGCCGCTGACACCGGTCTCAGAAATAACACGTTATTGTTCAGTTCGGTGTTATTCCCGTCTTTAGAGGCCATCTCAGGGCGTCGAAAGGTTGGCTCAAACGCCGTGTAACACAAGAATCAGCGCTGTCACACGCCACCAGACGCGGCGTTTGTGACAGCCCGACAAGTTGATCGGGATTGAAATTGATATCCCAATGGGGAAGCGTAAACGGATATGTTCTATTGGCCACTGTGCTTAGAAGGATTCGCGAGATATCTGCATCGGGCGAATGAGACGGTCTGCACTCTTTTGTGAAATGCCCGCCAGTTTTCCGAGCACACACCCGATTGTCCGAGCTCAAATACCTTTCTTTGGACGAGACACCCATTGTGTGTCTTCACATAATAGGCGATGATCCGACGTCTGCATATGCGGCTACGGCACTCAGGGCGCCAGTATGCGCGAGTCTGTCGGGTATGAGCGCGGCTCCGAAGGATTCACGCTGCAGCCCTACGCCCCGTTCTCAACAGGCTTCCACAGAGCCTTATCCATTGTCGGTGTAGTAGGCAGGACCTGACCATCCTTGGAGTTCTTGGCGGACGCAGTTGGCAATGGGAAACGTCCGTTTTGGCAAAGCCTCACATAAACTTGCACCTCCCATTACAATTCGTCGGCTTATCAAAGCAGTGGCTGTGATATAAGAAGATGCCTTGGCACGGCCCCTCCTCGCTCATGATTAGGACAACTCAATTTTGTAGCCAAATCTATTTGTCCAAAGAGATTCAAATTGTGCTATCATCAAATACGATTCTATCTCGAGCAGCATTGCCCGCAGGTCGCTTTCCTATTACGCACGATGAGTCAAGACGTAGCCGCCCAGAACCTGGCTACGCCCAAGACACCCATCATTCTGATCAAGCCTGGAACAGGAGAGACGCTGAAGCTGGGGCCGATCACTTGCCGTATAATAGAAGACGGCTCCAATACAGGTATGACATCTCAGCATAGCACAGCTCGGCTGATTGCGCAACACAAGGCTGACCTCCCGAGCAGATCACCGCATCGGTACCGCCGAGTTTATTGTTCCTCCAAACACGACGGGCCACCCGCCGCACTGGCATCAGATGCACGACGAGATCTTCCTGGTCACGACGGGCACTGTTCAATTTCGAGGTGCGAACGGCATCGTCGACGCGAGACCCGGCGACTGCGTCGTGGTTCCCATTGGCGCGCCTCACACGTTTTCCAACATTGGTCAGGAGGAGGCCAGGTTTGTCAACACGTTCAACCCTTCATATTACATCAACTATTTCAGGCTGCTGGCGGCGATGTATGCGGACAAGCCGGATCTCGACGAAGAGACTGTGTTGGAGACCATGCACCCATTCGGGACATTGGTGGCTCACGGCCTTTGACTTAGAGGGAGCTGGAGAATATGTTCTCGGAATTGAATTTGGAGTTACGGCGCGTGGCGTTAACAGCTTGTCGACCGGGGGAGGATCATACTCGGGACTGGCTTGAAAGGATAGTTGGTAGTCACAATGAGGATCATTGATCGCGTCAATACAAGTCCTAATGACAGCAACTAGGCGGACTTAGTCAGTTGCGCTAATCCCGCACTTGCTTGGCCGGCTGGCTCGGGCCAGATCCAACATTGCCTGCAGGCTTCTAGTGCTGTAGCTTACAAACATTAGATGTTGTCATAACCATGACAAGCGTCACTACCCTCATATTTATTGTATTATTGTATTGCTCCGGGATGCCTTGTTGTTGAAGTACCGAAGTGCAATCACGCAGCACTTTTTCAGGGTCTAGCTTGCCATGGACTTCGGTAGTTGATTGACTCCATAATGGTCCGAGTTTTTTTTTCCCCAGTCTATAAGTGACTATTGGCTTGCTAGATCCGTACGGCCTGTCAATCACATCACTTCTGCTTCTTGCTGTGTAGTCTCCAATTAGTCTAGTAATGACTACTTGCCTAGTGGCAAGCTGAAGCTGGCTGCAATGCCTTTCAAAGCTTAGTGTTTACGCGTCTATCAATGAGGACTGGAAACTAATGGAAAAGAACCGCCCAGCTACAAGGCCCATTTGAGGAGATCCACTCAGTAAAGGGGGTATATCAAGAGTACGTCTGCTTTCAGATATTCTGCGGTTACAAGTGATTTGTTTGTCTTGGACTTACCTGTACTTTTCTGTCCATTCGTTACTGTGCTATTAGGCATTGATTATTAATTATCAGTTAAAATGAGAACTGATTCTCTCGTTATCCTCTCCTTCGCGACGGCGGCCCTGGCTGGGTTGTGCGTTCATCGCCCGACTTCGTCTGGATTATCCACAACCTCTGAAGCATCCACATCCTCACCTACATCTTCTTCATCAAGCAGTTTTTCTGCCACGACCACCTCGGCATCAGGAATTACCACTTCGTCCACAACGGTGGAGATCAGCACCACGACCAGCTTCGTTGTCTCTGAAAGCTCAACTACTTCGTCCGAAACGACCATCTCGACATCAGCCACTTCATCTGCTTCACAGCCTTGCCGTACCAACCTTGTTTCAAACGGTGGATTTGAGAGCGGCAGTCTCTCCGGCTGGAGTGTTGATAGTAGCATACATGTGGTAGACGGTAGTGCTGGGTATGGTGAGCCAGCCGAGGGTGACTACTTTGCCTATTCGATTGGCAGTGCAAATCAGGACTCGTTTGGATTCACCCTTAGTCAGACATTGAGCAGCGTGGCCCAAGGCGACAAAGTTGCATGTTCGGCGTTCCTCAAAATCACGGGCGGAAATATTGGTCAAATCACTGTCTATGTTGGCTCGACGGTATGCGCCCAGACAGAGGCGGATTCTAATGGTGTTTGGGTCGAAGCGTCCTCGGGCGATAGTTATGTCATTGCTGCGTCTGCTAGCCCATTGGCAAGGATATTCGTCGGTGTAGAAAATGCATATACTTCTACTCCTGTGGGATATGTGGATGGGATCGGACTATATAACCCAGACGCTGTAGTCTGCTCAGTGTAGTAAAGTTTGATCTTTTGTTACCCCTGGGATCTAGTAGACTCTGAATCTGATGAGTCTGTGACTATGGAAAGTGGCCTTGAAGCAGATCCGATTGCATCGGCGTCCACATCTCTCTCCCCTTGCCAATGTAGCACTGCACGTTGCGGCCAGTCTTGAATACCCGTAACTCCTTGTTCACATTTATGAGTTGTACACACTAAACTCGTCTTATTCTTTGTGATCGGGACGTCGAGTGCCGGATTTCTGTCAAAGAAGTCTGCTGGCTTGATATGAAGGGTGTGAATTTCAGACGGCCTGCAACTGTGAGCAATGATGAAAATAGTCGCCGAAAATCAAATAGGCACTTACATTACTGGCCAATCCTCCACGCGTGGGTTATGTGTAAGACCAAATACATTCCATATGACAGGACTGCTCTTCCGAGCTTTAGCATCGTTGTCCTTGTTGACGCCGATTTCAAGGGAGTCGAGAAACCAGTCTCCTCTGTTAACCATGTCTGCTACACCGCCTACCTCGTGTTTGCTCAAATTTGTGAACTCCCCGGCAGCCCAAAGTTCATCATCACGGTGTCCCGTCACCCAAACATGGTGTTGTGCGAACAAAGCGCGCTTCGCAACCCTTGATCTAGGGTCTGCAAGGATAAGCTGTGTTGGCTCTGGCATGAATTTATAGCCAATATACCTGCCGCTGTGCTTATTTGTCTTGTTCCAGTTGACCATCGTGATTTTCCTGTTCAGCTTCGGCTCCGCATCAAACCATCCTGCTTTCTCCACTGGCGTACGCACAACTTCATACGCATTCCCGAATGGATTAGTCTTCTCGTTCATCTCCATGGCTTTGCTCTCCTCCACCACGACTCCAGTGTCGCCCTCCGCGTATGAGTCGATGGCAGGATCGATGCGTACAGCAATAAGATGCTGGTGATTCTGTGCCAGGACACCGTCCTGCACCACAGTACCGTACTGGCTCTTCTTCCCATAATCGATGGCGACTACACTGACAATGCCAGTGGCGCGGGTTTCGAGCGTGATACCACCGGCCTGGTCCAGCTTGTATGCAAACACGTACTCATAATTACCGAGTGTAACAACGAACTGCACGACTAGCTCACGCATACGCGCCACGACGGCACGTTCTGTTTTGGCAATCGTGTGCTTCCACAGAATACCATTGTCCTGCTCATGCATGCAAACGCGATTACGAGCTAGTGCGGGCTCTCCATCTGGCATGACCAATACCGCATGGAAATAATGAATGTGCCCTAAACAATCACACCCAACTTGCAAGTTGTTGGCTGCGTAGCCAACATCGCCGTCCCCAAAATCAAAAGCTTGCTTGTGATGAAATGGAGGGCGGGGATCGGCATACGGCACCGTCATTTCCGAAAGAGACATCCGATAGAGAATCGGTCGGTGGTCGTAAGTCAAGTCATGCAGTACAGCTCCCTCTCGCGGCGTGAAGACCAGCCGGAATCGCCATTTCTGCCATGTGACAAGATTGCCGTCGGTGACTGTGAAGGAAGGGCCATCTGGTTGGGTCACATTTAATGGCTTCAAATCCGTTCGAATAGGCGCATCAAGAAGTTCCGGGATGTATTCTGATGGTTTAGAATGCGTAAACAGTTCTCTTGGCTCTTTGGATGGTGGATCGGGGTACAGAGAGTCGCCAATACCGCCCGTCGCACAGCGCTCTACGCGAACGATCTCGTTTTTGGTGATGTCAAATACTGGCACAAGAGGAATTGGAAAGGGGTAGTGATTGGTGTCTGGGTTGCCACTGGAGGTATCCCTAGCGTAGAGCAGTGCCTGAACATACCGAGTGTCATCGGAGTCCAGATCAGGTCCCCCATATGGCCAGGGATCTATAGACAGTGTGAAGTGATCCGGTATTCTGAATTCCTCCAAAGCCCTCTTAACTAAAGCTGAGGCCTTTACTGCATCGAGAAAAGCCATCATGTCCGGTCTGTTTCTGTCAATTTCTGCGGATCATGTAGTCATCTCCTTCATTGAGCTTACAGGTTGAGTGAAATAGGGAAGCTGGGATCAAACTTCTTGACAGTAATCTGCTTCTCGGTCTGAATATCCACTATGGCCTCACAGTACTGTGACTGTTTCCCACATTTTACAAAGTACTCTACTTTGGCAAGCCTCGGTGGCCGCTCTGTAGCATCCGTAACTCTTCCGTCATGTTCAGCCGCCAGAAACGGAGTGAGTTCTGCTCGCTTTGGCTCTTGCAGGTAAATTGAGCGGTACGAGAGAATTGTTTCCGTGCGGTGCTGTCTCGTAACGACATCCCGCGCACGACAGCACTCCTCTGCTGAGAGGGGGAGTAACGGATGTGGACGAGTAACTGTCTTGTCGATGATGATATCGCCCATCTTGAGAAATGCCGAGTGGTGAATGTGATAGACGTCCTGAAGAATCTCAATACAAGAACTATAGATGACTCTTGATACTGCACAACAAACTATTATATGTCTACAGTGGACGTTGGCACGACCAGGCCTCCGGAACCAGATACAGATAACGCTGGTGTCATCTTATTGGCGAGGTAATGAGAGATAAGGTGATAGGGTCTGTTTCTCACGCAGCCTGTGACATGCGGGGTTACTACGTCTTTCTCTCACCAAATGCTTACAACACCTCCGGCGCACCGTGGAATAGATACCAAGCTCGAGGTGGAAGGTCACTAAAATAATATTCATTACGTCACAGACTCCCGGTTCCCCCTAATCTAGCAATATTGCTGTAGCTACTCTCACGCCTTGACCAGGTAGGCTCTACTCAAATTTGGCAATCTCGTACATATCGTCCGGATCTACGGAAGTCAGTGTCAGTATCTTTATTGTGCAATGTCAGGACATGCAACTTACCCTTGCCATTGTCGCTAATGAAATTCCTGATCCCCTGGACACGCTTGTCGATGTCCCCAAGATAATCATTGAGCTTTGCCTTCACCTCTTCGTTGGACTCTGCGCCTGCCGTCAAGGCTCTCTTTGCAACGTCGAAGCGGCTGACGGCATTCAGAAGCATCATGTCGAATGGAGTTGTCGTGCTGCCTTCTTCCTGATATCCATTGACTTGCATACGATGCATACCCAGTCGCCCGAAGAGAAGACCTTGCAACTCAGCTGGATACCCGTGATAGTTGAACATGACAGGCTTGTCCTTCGTGAATAGTTCGATGAACCGCTCCCGAGTTAGACCATGTGGATGCCGCTCATCTGGTGCTACGACAAAGAGGTCCGTAACATTTACGACGCGCAGTTTGAGAGCGGGACACAGAGTCTTGAGAAGCTCGGCAGCTTTGATGACTTCGAATGTGACCTCGACGCCGATGCCAACAAGTACAACATCTGGATCTGTACCCTCCGAAAGTGGAGTTGAAGCAAAGTTCCAGATGCTTGCTCCTATGCGACAATGTTCTGCTGCTTCTTCTGGCGTAAGATAGACTGCGGTAGGCTGCTTGGAGCCGATCATGAGATTGACATAGTTCTTGGATTTGATGCAGTGATCCACAGTGCTCAAAAAGCAATTTGCATCAGGGGGTAGGTAAACCTTAACACGTCGTTAGCAACAGATTCATTGAAGAAGATGCAAGGCCTACTTACACGAGCTGCGGTCGCCTTCAGATTCAGGACGGCGCCGATGAAAGACGGATTTTGATGAGAGAACCCGTTGTGTTCCTGCCTGGCCCATGTACTCGTCTCGATGTAGTTGATAGAACTTAGATCGCCTCGCCACTTGACTTCCCGAGCGATCTTGACAAACTTCGAGTACTGAACCATCATAGTATGTATGATACCCAGGAACGATTCGTAGCTTGGGAATATGCCAACCCGTCCTGTTAAGGTGTAGCCCTGGAGGAACCCCTGACAGCAATGCTCAGAAAGGATCTCAATCACTCGACCTCCTTGAGCTCGTGAGTATTCATCCCACTGAAAGTTTCGGCCTGTATTATCGAGGACTGCAGCCAGCTTGTTACTCTCCAGCTCGTCGGGAGAGAAAAGGCGAATACGCTTGGGATTCGCCTGGAAGACCTTGTCGAGAAAGCTTCCGATCGTCTGCATGCAGCTGGCATCTTGACCCTTTTCTACTCCAAATGGCTTCCACTCCACCTCCTCCAGGCCGATGGATGGGTTGTAGCTCGCTTTGATCTGCCCCAACTTCTTGGAGTCCTCTTTGGGTAAGGTGTTCAGAATTTGATCCGAAGGGTTTCCTTTAGGTACGAGACTGCCTATATCATAACTCGATAGCCACTCTTGCAAAGCTTCAAGCTGGCCCTTGTCTTTGTTCGCCTTGGGCAGTGGGACTTGGTGTGAATGAAATGACCCCTCGATAAACTCGCCGTCAACTTTCTTTGGACCCGACCATCCCTGTGAGTGTATTAGCATTTAGCGCCAATTGTTGGCTTGCTCGTAACGCACCTTTGGGGTTCGCAGTATCAACACCGGCCACCGCGGCTTTATGATGGGATTGTCCGAGCGTGCAGCGGCCTGAATTTTCCTAATTTCGGCCACCGCCCACGCTAGAGAGGCAGCAAGATCTTCTTCAATGTGCTCAAGATCCTCGACTATTCGAACTTGGTAGCCATAGCCCGTGAATAGAGACGTGATCTCCTTGTTGTCCATGCATCCGAAGATTGTCCGTTCACTGATCTTGAAGCCGTTTACGTGCAATATCGGCAACACGGCACCTGACTCTTTGGGATCCAGGTACTTGATGGCGTGCCACGCGCTGTTCATGTCAGCTATGATGTCCTCTAGTTACGTACCAAAATAAAAAGGAGAAGAAGAAGACAACACTCACGCTGCCGTTGGCCCACTCTCTGCCTCACCATCACCAACAAGACAGGTAACGATCATGTCGGGGTTGTCCATGGCGGCTCCAAAAGACACAGCCAATGCATAGCCAAGCTCTCCTCCCTCATGAATGGCACCTGGGGTCTCGGAGTTGATGTGGCTGCGCACTGTTAGCAAAAGTCGCAATGATGGACTCGGGTCGTGCATTACCTAGGAAAGCCACCTGGAACGGAGAACCTGGTAATCAGGTTTCTGAGTCCAGCTTCATTGCGATCATATTGACCGGGGTAGAACTTCTCAAGCGATCCTTCCAGCCAGAGAGCAGCCAACGCAGCCGGAGCGCCGTGGCCTGGACCAATGACAAACATCATCTCCAGCCCCTGATCCCGAATCAAGAGATTCAAGTGCGACCAAACCAAAATGATGCCGGGACATGTTCCCCAGTGACCTGGTGGTTCAAATTAGTCGACACTCGAAGCGACACAGCGGAAGATATTGCTCACCTAGCAGCCTAGGCTTGACATGATCCAGTGACAGCTCTGAATCGAGCAAGACGTTGTCCCGCAGGAATATCATAGCTGGACTATGTTAGCCTTCCATCAATGATGATGTCTCTCGCGACGAGGCGATAAGCAAAGCTCACCGGCAGCGATATAGCAAGCCGCGCGTTGGAAGTCTTGCAAGCCCCGGCGGACATCGTCCGGGAGTGGCGCCTTATCAATCTGCACCGCTAACTTCAGCACATCGTCGGGAAGATGTGATGGCAACGGCGGCGGATTAGGCCGGTCAATGATCTCTCCAGGCATCGTGGGCTAGGGTAGCGATGGAACTCCAATTTCGAGAAGTGTTGGGAATTCGAAGTGTGGCGCGACCATAGAAGTCTGTTTGGTGCTCTAAACGTGGCCACGGACAGTGCTGTTAAAGTGTGTCCAACTTGCCTGTTACGTTGTGGACCAACAATGACGTATATGACGTCGCTATGACCAGCGAATCAGAGCCGAAAACCCGTGTGCAATCACGGAGTACTTAAATAAGCACAGTAATGACACGATCAAAGATCTTGTACTTGCTTCGTCTTTTTGATGACAGTGTGAATGGGAAAATTGGCTACATGATGTGTTTTGTTTTGGCGCAGTGCAGAGCTAGGATTGCTAGGACAGTGCCAAGACATTGAAGATGCTGTCGCTGCAGGTACCTTGAAATCCAGAACGAACCGCATATGCGACGAATTAACAGTGCATATTGACCAAGTATGACTCAAAGCGTTCGGACGCCTTCAATTTGCCTTGCTACATGATGGATGACATATTCCGGTAACAGACTGGAATCGCCTCAGAGCTCCAATGTTGATTCTAGCCTGCCATGAGACGAGGCGCCGACGCACTGCTCTTGGACCTGGTTTGCAACTTTGCAAGACCCATTGCGCACAACAACATGGTCTGGAAGCTTCCCATCACGAAAAGGAAGTTGCAAAGCGACGGTTTCCTTGTCAGACGGATAGTCGGTGTAGTGTCCAATGCCAGTAACGTCGTTTGCGACCAGCAGGCCATTTACACCTTCCATGATCCAAACATCGTCATCGCCAAAAGGGAGAGTCACATGAGCTAATCCTGCCAGAAGGATAAAGAGCCTAGGACAGTTTCCGCTTAGTTATTCCATCACTGGTGGACAGGAACGGGGTAGCGATAGCAGGTTCAACGCACATAGGGTGAGGCGGCTTGTGAATGCCCTCCCCGGATCGTGGCGGGAGGACAACATAAGTGACATTGGATATGTCCGCCAGCGTCAATGCTGCTCCCACCGTCGGATACGTCTTGAGCGGCGCTGTAAACTTCCAGCATTCAATACGCGCTACGCCATCTGGCTCTGAAACCACGGCCGTTGAGTACAAGTACGGGATACAATCATTGGCTTGCACAAGGTTGAGGAGCAGTAGAAAGGCGACTATCCGTTTGAACATTGACATTGTGACGTGTGCTCGAAATCCAGTCTCGTTGATTTCAAGATGAAAGGTGAGTAATTGCTTCTTACTACGAGGACACAGCGGGGATTGACGGTACAGCACTGCCGAAGTCGGCTGTGTTCTGGACGTTTGTACCGCCACGTATGCTAGGGGGATCTTCAGTGAAGCGGCTTTCTAATTAACAGCAATCGGCGCATCTGTTCAATACTAATCCATTAGAAACATTCTGACTTTTTATGTTATATCCTATTGCCCTCTAGCCCGTTTCCCAACTCCTGTACTTTTGATATATTAATTAGTGATTAAGCTGTTCCTATACTACCTCCCGACTCTTGCCCTCGGGACCGGCAGAACCCTCGCCGGCTAAAACCGACGCCAAGCAGGACTAGCACAGGGGCAGCACCAGATGCCTCACGACTATAATTTAGTTTAGTCGACAATACTCTACAACTATAAGGCCCACTAAGAAGAATTGTCAACTCTTTACGAAGATAATTGTTTTAAATAACTATAACCTATAAGTAAATACAAAGAGGCTCTTTTCTACTACTATATAATATAATAAGGATCTTATATAATATATAAAATATATTATTTTCTATATTCTTTACTTATATAGTTTTTTCGCTTATATTTTCTTCAATAAATCGTCACTTTTTTTAGATCTTACTCTTCTATCTATCCTACTTATATAATTAAATTCTAATTTCAACTTTTAAAGCTTTTTTATTCTATCTTTATAATTTTCTCTTCTTCTTTATTAAAAGAACTAAAATCAAAGATACTTAAGATAAGATCGATAGTAAAGAAGATAAAGAATATAGAATAAAATGATTATATTGACAATATCTATATTATAAATAATGATTCTATCTTCTAACGAATGAAAGAATATATTAATAAAAAAGGTTAAATTTTATTAGACCTTTAGTTTAAATAAATTACTTTAAAAATTACTTTTTTTTTAAATAAATTATTAATATATATTTATACTTAGTTTTATATAAATAAAAAAAGATAAAAGTCCTTAATCTTTATAAAATCTTAAGCTTTTTATTAAACTTTTGGTAAATTCTATCTTAGATAAAATCAAAGAAAAGTCTAATATAAATAATATATAAAACTACTTTTATATACTAAAGTTTATATAAAATTTATAAAATCTAAGATATTAGATCTTTTATAACCTTAGTTATTCGATTATCAATATAAGTTCTAAAATATATATTCATCTTATAAAGTATATCTTTATGAAAAACCTTTAGTATAAGCGTAGCAATAGTTATTTTACGTATGCGAAAGTAAGTAAAGTAAGAGTAAAATATAGTAGTATTTTGGTATGTTCGTAGGTATATAGATGTAAGGATATAGAAAGGTATAAAGGTGAGAATTTCCTGAGGTAGGAGATTCTCTCCTATATGTAGGCTTATGCTACTGAATCCGAGGATATATATGAGGTCATATGCTAAAGTATATGACTTATGACTAACCTAAGTAATAGCTTTTCTTCTAGAAGCTTAATAACCAATATACTAATTTATATACTATTGTTTAGGCTATAGTAGCCAGATAATAGTATGAGTATTACTACTAGCCTTATTTAGATATATAAGGTCTTAACAATCTTTCTAATATAATATAAAAATATTAATATAAAAATAAAAGAAAAGGATAGATTATATAAGAAAATATAACTAAAGAATTATTTAACTTTTGAGAATTATATATATCTTAAAAGATAACTTTAAAAGAATAATCCTTATGATTATGTTTATAAAATATACTTAGTATTCATTAGTATAAAATTAAAATATTATCTATTTATATTAGCTAAGGTAGATAAACTAAGCGAAAGTTCGACTTAAAGAATATAAGGAACCTAGTATAAGTATAGTAGTAGTTATTTCATATATATATAAAAGTAAGTGAAGTAAAAGTAAGGTATAATAGTATTTTAGTATATCTATAGATAGAAGTTAGAATATATGTTTATATAGATGAAAATCTCTTAAGATAGAAGATTCTCTCCTATATATAAAGTTATACTAAAGACTATAGACTATATATAAGGTTATATACTATAGTATATAACTTATGACTAACTTAAGTAATAGCTTCTTTTTTAGAAGCTTAGTAACTAATATACTAATTTCTATACTATTGCTTAGGCTATAATAGTCATATAATAGCTTTCATAATATTATTATCAAAAATATACTTAATATATATATTTATATTTTCTTTAATATTAGACTCTTTAGAATCTTTAGCTTTTATTATACCTTCTTATTAAGACTTTAATTAAAAAAATAAGCTTTTAAAAGAAATTAAGATAATAAATTTAGATAGTATATTAGATTGACTTTAGATACTGATAGATTTCTCCTTAGCCTATAATATATATATATACTATAACAGGCCAGATAGATAGTCTATTCAACT